TTCTTCATCTCAAAATGTGTGTGGCTCCTTGGCCTTGGTGGAGCATTGGTAGCTCGTACTGTCCATAGGGGTTCCAGTTGGTCTGGGAGAAGTCCTGGTACTGCGGATCGTACTCGAATCCAGGATCCTCAAACAGGGCTCCTCCAGGTCAGCTCGACCCTCAGCTCGATCGAGTTGAGTTTCCTCTGTTTGGACTCGATCGAGTCCGGTGGTCGAGCTGGAGCGTCTGGCCTTGGAAGTCTTCCTCCTTCTCTGCGTGTTGTCTTCTCCTTCCCTTGGCTCGAAAGAAGAGGCTCTGTGAGGCTCTTGGGTAGGGAGCCTCCTTGGTGGTGAGGAGTGACCTACTCCTAGGGAAAGTGGGGGCCTTGGACTTCTTCTTCTTGCTTGAAGAACCAGAAACCTTCTTCTCCAAACTTTTGATCTTGCTCACCATCTTGTCCATGGACTTTTGCATCTTCTCAATGGCTTTCCCTTGCCATTTGTTGAACTTTTGGAGAAGTCCAATCCTCTTGTGGGCAGCCACAACAGAGGGGTTCATCCTTGGAGCCTCATACTCCTCAAAATAATAGCACTCAGGCTCACCCAATCAGCCTTTCCTGACTCATCTCAGCTTGAATCTCAGCTCGATCCTCAGCTCGATCGAGCTCGATCTGCAAATCCGCTTCATGCCCAACCAAAGTGTACACAGGGGGTCTGAAATCAATGTTTGTACCTCCTAGACCGTGGTGAGCTCAGGGTTGGGCAGAAGAAGCTTGGAGGGTCCAGCCAAGGATGGGTGAACTTGAATTGGAATCTCCCATCCAACTCCTTGTGCTCAATGAGAAGGTTGGTCTTGCAAAACTTGATGTCCATCCAACCTGGTGGAGTAGACCTTCTCTTGTCCAGTTGGGTTCAACTCCTGCTGCACAAAGATAGGTGTGATCACCCCTCCAACACTAAGCTTTCTTCCTCTTGGTGCCTAGTGTTGTAAGCTGTGACCTTGTAGGCTTGGAGCTGCTCAAGGAGAGGCATGAGTTCCTGCATGTGCCCTATCTCCTCTGATCTTCTTCCCATCCTTGTGCGTGAGATGATAGGCTTGATTCCCATGTCAAGGAGCTTGACTTCTCCCTCATTGATTGTCCAGTGGCCTTCCTTGCAAAGAAGGTGTTGGCAAGAGCCTTGTGGACATATCTAAGCACAAGACTTCCTGATCTGGGCAGCCTTGGACCTTGAGGAAGAGTACCTCTTCAGCACCCTTTGGAGTTCTTTTCCTTGATGTTCCATAGGTTCCTTCTCCATAGTGAACCCAAACAGATCTCAAGCTGCCTAAAGGTCACCATCTTCTTCTCTCCCTTTGCCAAGAAAGTTATGTACCCCCAGCCTTGGTCCAACTCAGCTCGATCGAGCTCATCAAACTGTGATGCCTTCATCGAGCCAAAAACTCACAAGTGACTCCTTGTAAGACTCCATGCGGTGAGAGAAGAACTTCCCCAATTGCATGTTCTTGAGCACCAACTCCACATCCTCAAAGATCCAAGGGCTCTCATGTGTCATCATGTGGGTACTTGGTCTCCACAAAGTCCATGGAGAAGAGAGCATTGTAGTGCTCTTGGTACATGGGGAGCTCATCCTCCTCTTGCTCTGCTCAGCCTCTTCCATTGGCTCATCTTGGTTCCCCTCTTGTCATCTTCATCAACCAATTGGTTCACCTCTTCTCCTTCCTCTTCACTCTCAGTTTCCTCACTGCCTTCCTCATTTGGAGACCATTTCCCTCCTCTTGAACAAGGTTCACTCCAATCTCAAACTCTCCTTGCTCACTCTCACTACTAATAGGGTCATTCCTCTTCTTGGTTCTCCTTTCTTCCCTCAATCTCTCACTCTCAGACTGTTCCTCAGAGTAGACATACTCCTCTGCATCAGACTCTTCCATTCTTTGATCATCTTCTCCAAATCGGCTTGCATCTTAAGCCTTTCTCTCTTGCATTGCTTGATTCACCCTCAACCATTCTCCCTGTGAAGCGCGGCTTCCCTCACTGTTTGTCATCCTTGTTACTCTGTTTCTTCACTAAAGTACCTGAAATGCATCAAAGATTACAAAGAATTAGAGTTGCAATGATCGGTTTGGTCAACTCGACACCAGCTCGATCGAGTCAAAAAACTCGAGTGACAAACTCGATCGAGTGGGTGAAAACAGAGTATAACCAAACCTAATTCAAGTATTAAGAGCTGGAAAGGATGCTAATCAATCAAATTGAACCAAGAACAACTAGTAAATGGAACAATGAGCAACTATAGAGAAGCACTAAGCATCTTAACCAAACCAAACTCAAATTCAATTTCAAGCACATGCAACAAGTTTAAGGCAAAACAGAGGTGAGGTGAAACAAATTAACAAGATTATACAGCAGAGGCGAAATATGAGGGCAATTACTCAAGAACAAGTCCACAAGGGACACATGCAATCAAAAATCAAAGAGAAACAAGCAATAATGGAAATCGAGATGGGAATCAAGGGTTTTAGGGTTCATACCTTGCTTGAATGATGAATTGAAGAACAGTAAACTAAACCCAAACGAAACAATGAAGACAAGAGGAAATCGCAAAAACTTAAGAGAGAAAGAGAGGAATTCGAAATTTCTTGTGGTGAAGAGAGAGAGGATGATTTCAGAAATTTTAAGATTGTGGGAGAGAGAGAGGGTGGATTCGATCGAGTTATGGGGAAGAGGGGTGTTTGAGATGTGTGGTTGAGATTAAAAGATGAAATAAAGAGGGGACAAGAAGCTAGGGATTCTCTGATCAATTAGGGTAGTGGGGGACCAAAATCAGCTTGTGGGACCCACTCCCTTGACCAAGAAAACGGTTATGAATTTGAAATTCAAAAACTTACCTCGGTCGAGTTGTGTAGCTCGATCGAGTTGCCCTGGTTTCTAGCTCGATCGAGCTGTCGGTCGAGCTGGCTCCTTTGACACCTAAACTTAACTTATTCAAAGGTTAAAACATAAAGATAGATAGAAATTGCATAAATAGAGTATGTACAAGGATAAACATGGGACTTCCTCCCAAGTGAGCTTGTTTAAGGTCCCATAGCTTGACCTTTACCTTCTTAGGCATTGGTTGAGCTAGTCCCACCATCAAGGGTGATAGTGAGGACTTGAGACAGAAGCTCCTTTAGCTTGGTTGGGTCCCTGGACTGTTCTGAAGTCACCAAGGCCTTGGCTCTAGAGAATGGCCTTGATCTCCCCTTGTACCTTATCTTGTACTCAATCTTCCCATTTTCAAACTTGGTGGGGAACAAAGTCATTGTGAGCTGAGATGGCTTGATGAAGGGGCCTGAGCTGGTGGATCCTTTCTTTTATCCCTGGTCTTGCCTTAGAGGCTACATCCTCCCCTTCTTTTAGAGCCCTTCCTAGTGGCTCATCAAACAAAGCTTGAAGGCTCTCTTCATCAAGCACACAAGGGGCTTGAACAAGTCTCTCAGCTCTTGGCCTATCAGATCGTGGTTTCTCAACTCTAGCCCTCTCAAGACGTGGCTTCTCAATCCTTGGTCCTCTCTCATCCTTATCCTTCCCAACTCTTGGTTCCTTGTCAACCTTTCCTTCACAACCTTTGTAGCTCCATGACTCTTAGAACTGAGAGTGGTACTGTCAATTGTGGCACAAAAGTCTGAACCTCTAGGCTGCAAGCGATATGACACCAAACTATTCACCTTGTGAAGGATCACTTCTTGCTTGTGAAAGTCTATTGAAGCGCCAACTGTACTAAGGAAAGGGGTTCCCAATAACAAAGGCAAATCCTTCTCTTCTTCCATTTCCATCACAGTGAGATCAGTTTGGATGATGCATTCTCCAATTTTCAAGTGATAGTTCTTGAACACTCCAAGAGGAGACTTAGAAGTTGCATCTCCAAACATGATTGAAGTAGTAGGGCGCTGCAAGGCTCCAGCAATGCCTAGCTTCTCTGCCATGGAGAGAGAGATCAGATTGATGCTTGCTCCAGAATCCACTAAGGCATTGTCAATCTCAAGATGCCCAAGTGTGCAAGGGAGAGTGAATTTCCCTTGATCCTTGACCTTTGGTAGGAAGGTGGGTGAAGTAAGCAGGTTGAACTGATGAGTAGACTCTTGTAGGACCTCTGAAACTTTATCACTGTTGGCAATAACATCCTTGACCATTTGCATTTGATCAAATGCCTCACTCATGCTATCCATAGTGTTAGAATATAGAAACTAGCTATATCGTCATTCATTACATTCCCATATATGTAAAGATAGACTTGGAGCCTACTCCTCTTGTACCTATATTAGGATCCCTTTGTCAATAGAATCACTCACGGAGTTATTCACAATCTTACATGGTATCAGAGCTTAGACTCTCTTAAACCTAAATCTCCTCTCTTTTCTTTTACTCGCCGCCCACCCCTATCTCTCTCATCTCTTCTTCTCTCTCGTTCATCTCTTCTTCTTCCTCTCATTTCACTATGGCTACAACTCCAGCCAACGACAAACCTTTTGGCATCAGCCAAATCAAAGCGTACGTTCCCATCACTCTCGACATGACCAAGCTCAACTACGACATGTGGCGTGAGCTCTTTGAAACTCACTGCAACAGTTTCGGAGTTCTCGGTCACATCGACGGATCCTCTGCTCCCACCGCTGAAACCGAAAAATCCTGGAAAGAACACAATGATTTGGTCAAGATGTGGATCTATGGAACCATATCTGACTCAATCCTTGAAACCGTTCTCAAGCCAAAGTGCACAGCCAACAGCCTCTGGCTTGCGATTGAGAATCTCTTCCGTGACAACAAAGAAGCTCGTGCAATGCAACTCGAGAACGATCTGCGTACCACGGTGATCGGAGACATATCTATCCACGACTATTGCAAGAAGCTCAAGTCCATCTCCGACCTCCTGACCAACGTCGACTCTCCAATCACCGACAAGGTTCTTGTGATGCATCTTCTCAATGGACTATCTGAGAAGTATGATAGCATCATCAATGTTATCAAGCACAAATCTCCGTTTCCCGGATTCATTGAGGCGCGATCGATGCTCCAACTTGAAGAAGATCGTCTTGCGAAGCACCACAAGCCGAATCCCACCAATCACCTCACATCTTCTGCCCCTGCCGTTCTCTACACGACGTCCGACAACAGATCTCGTGACGGAAACGGCTCCACCAACAACAACGGCGGCAACTATGGCGGAAACTACCGTGGTAACGGAAACTACAGGGGTCGTGGTCGTGGACGTAACAACAGAGGACGCGGTGGTTGATACAACTCGTGGCCCTCATCGCCGTACATGCCGATGTGGCCGTCATCATTTGGTCGTCCACAATGGCCAATGATGCAGTATCCTTTCACACCAGCTTTCTCGCCAGGTTACAACCAGATGGGCTCGCATCATGTGAATCAACCTGGGCTACTTGGTCCCGGCCCATCTAGGCCCACCAATGAAGCTCACTTGATTAATGGTGGCTCGACAACCTCTACGCCGTCACTCAACAATCTGTTGCCGGCTCAGATCACCCATGCTTTCAATACAATGGCGCTTCAAGACCCCAATGACGCCCCATGGTACATGGATACGGGAGACACCAACCACATCGCATCAAACGCAGGTAACCTACGATTTACGTCTAATTCAAGCTCAATTCCTACTATCACTGTTGGTAACGGATCCTTAGCTAGAGTAACGACGCTTGGTCAAGGAACTATCTCTTCTCCTTCTCGCTCTTTTACACTTAATAATGTCCTCGTCTGCCCATCTATCATAAAAAATCTTGTCTCGGTGAGAAAATTTGCAACTGATAACTCTTGTTCTATTGAATTTGACCCTTTTGGTTTTTGTGTTAAGGATCTGTTTACTCGGACCAAGCTTCTCCGATGTAACAGCCCTGGTCCGCTATACTCCGTCCAACCGTCTCTCTCTGCTCCATCAAATCTTGCTCTCGCTGCTTCTCCTACGGATGGTTCCCTTTGGCATCGCAGATTAGGCCACCCAAGCAATCAATCTTTATTTCGTGTTTTATCTTCTGTTTCTCCGTTATGCAATAAAACTTTTCTGAATACTTTATGTCCAGCTTGTCAACTTGGAAAACATGTTCGACAACCTTTTTCTAAATCTAATACTTTGGTTTTTCACCCTTTTGAAATTGTCCATTCCGATATATGGACATCACCAATTAAAAGCGTTAGTGGCATCAAATACTATCTTCTCTTCCTTGATCAATTTTCTCATTTTATTTGGGTTTATCCTCTTCACCGCAAAAGTGAAACTTTGTCCAAATTCATTCACTTTTCTACCTATGTGCAGACTCAATTTAATTGCAAGATAAAATCTCTGCAATGTGACAACGGGGGAGAGTATGTTAACCGTGATTTCCAAGCTCACATGGACAAGATCGGCGCCACATTCCGCTTCTCATGCCCATACACGTCTCAACAAAACGGCAGAGCCGAACGCATGCTCTGCACAGTCAACAACCTCATTCGCACCTTGCTCATTCAGGCTCACATGCCGCACTCATTTTGGGTCGAAGCTCTTCACACGGCGGTCCATCTCATCAACATCATGCCTTCCTCCGCCATTGACAATCAAGTTCCTTACACAAAGCTATTCCAAAAAGAAGCTCGCTGCCAGCACCTCCGAACGTTTGGTTGTCTCTGCTATCCCAACCTCTTGCCGATGACACCACACAAACTCGCTCCTCGCTCAACTCCATGTGTGCTTCTCGGTTATCCGACGGATCATCGCGGTGATCGCTGTCTTGAGATATCAACACAGCGCATCATACTCTCCCGTCACGTCACTTTTGATGAGTCCGTTTTTCCCTTTGGTGCCAAACACATCGTCTCAGAAACTGCTCCGCTCGTGCCTCCACTTTCAATTCTTCGTTTACCTGCTCCTCCCAGCCCACTCAATGCTCCACAGGTAACGTCTCCATCTCCTCCTCCTTTTCCACCAGCTCCTCCATCTCCCCCTCCATCTCCTCCTTCTCCACCTCCTCCTCCATCTCCTCCCACTCAATCTCCTTCGCCCTCTCCTCCTCCACCTGCTCCTCCTGTTCATCATGCTATGAACACTCGCAGCAAAAGTGGTATCATCAAACCACGACTTCCATTGTGTCTTCACACCGACGTCACAATTTCTCCCTTACCATCGTCGCATATTCAAGCAGCTAAGGATAGTCATTGGAATAATGCCATGACGGAGGAATATGATGCTCAAATTAAACGTAAATCGTGGGTACTTGTCCCACGGCCAGTTGCTACTAATATCATTTCTTCTTTATGGCTTTACAGGCACAAGTTTCGCGCAGACGGCTCCTTATATCGTTACAAAGCACGACTTGTAGCGAATGGAAAATCACAGCAACCCGGCATCGATTGTGACGAAACATTCAGCCCCGTGGTTAAGCCAGCAACGATCCACACAGTCCTCACCGTAGCTGTCACACGCGACTGGCCTCTTCACCAACTTGACGTCAAGAATGATTTCTTGTATGGAGACCTTGAGGAGACGGTGTACATGCATCAACCACCCGGGTTCGTCGACAAAACGAAACCCAATCATGTTTGTCTGCTTAAACGTTCTATCTATGGCTTGAAGCAGGCTCCACGGGCATGGTACAACCGCTTTGCCACATACGCACGGAAGATCGGGTTTCATCAAAGCAAGCTTGACCAATCTCTCTTCATCATGTCTCATGGCAGTGACATCGCATACCTGCTACTTTATGTCGACGACATCGTCCTTACAGCATCAGCTCCCTCTCTCCTCACGAAAATCATTGCCAACCTCAACACCGAGTTTGAAATGTCTGATCTCGGTCCAGTCCATCACTTTCTTGGCATCTCCGTCACTCGCGACTCCAATGGGATCGTCATGACACAGCATAACTACGCCGCAGACATTCTTCATCGTGCTGACATGACATGATGCAATCCTTGCCTCACTCCAGATGATACCAACTCGAAACTCACCGCTGAGTCTGGTAAACCCGTTGCTGACCCATCTCTCTATCGCAGCCTTGCCGGAGCCTTACAATACCTGACGTTCACTCGCCCGGACATCTCGTATGCGGTTCAACAAATCTGTTTGTTCATGCACGATCCTCGTGAACCACACTTCAATGCATTGAAGCGGATTCTCCGGTATGTCAAAGGTACCATATCTCATGGCCTCCACATCTACCGTTCCTCTCCTCTCACGCTTACGGCATACTCAGACGATGATTGGGCTGGCTGTCCCAACTCGCGACGCTCTACTTCCGGATATTGTGTCTTCCTCGGTGACAATCTTCTGTCATGGTCATCCAAACGCCAAGCCACAGTCTCACGCTCAAGTGCAGAGGCCGAGTATCGCGGCGTCGCTAACGCTGTTGCCGAAACTACGTTCCTCCGCAATCTCCTTCTTGAAATGAAGATCACCATCCCTCGTGCCACGATCGTCTATTGTGACAATGTCAGTGCCATCTACCTCTCTACCAATCCAGTTCAACATCAGCGCACCAAACATGTCGAGATAGACATCCATTTTGTTCGAGAAAGAGTTGCCATTGGTGAAGTCAAAGTTCTCCATGTTCCATCAGCACGACAAATTGCAGACGTCTTCACCAAAGGCCTCCCGTCGGCCCTGTTTCAGGAGTTCAAGAACAGTCTCAGCATCCGTTCTCCTCGACGCTAAGACTGCGGGGGAGTGTTAGAATATAGAAACTAGATATATCGTCATTCATTACATTCCCATATATGTAAAGATAGACTTGGAGCCTACTCCTCTTGTACCTATATTAGGATCCCTTTGTCAATAGAATCACTCACGGAGTTATTCACAATCTTACACATAGTAGGCAACTCAATTCCAATCCCACTGAGATCTCTTCTGAACTTGTGAATCACTTCCTTGTGACCTTGACTAAGTAGGCGAGACGAGGAAGCGGCAACCGGTTGGTAAGGATCAAGCAAAAAGGTTTTGGGACAGAAGAGGTCGGACTCGATCGAGCTAGAGTTGGACTCGATCGAGCTGCCGATCGAGCTTGTCGTGCGAGCTCAACTGGTGAAGTGTGAATGGCCACAGTAGGTGCCTGCACTTCTGGTTGATCAATCTGGACTCCAGGAGCCTCAGCAGCAACAATCTCTTCATCATTCAGCAGTAAACAAAAATCTTCAATGACCCTTTCTTGATCCTCTTCTTCAACAAGTCCTTCTTGAGTGAAGATGACCTTGCACTGTTCCTTGGGGTTCTGAATAGCTTTACCAGGTAGTTGTCCTTGCTTTGTAGCAGCAGCAACAGAAGAAGCATGATTCTCCAGAGAGTAAACCCTTGTGTTGAGGTTCTCGATCTTAGAGTTTATTTCAGCTAGCTTCTTGCTTGTGTCCACTACCCCATCAGCTTGCCCTTGAAGTAGTTGCTTTAGCATTGCCTTGAGCTCATTCTCTTGTGAAGGTGCAGGCTGGGGCGGTTGGTGGGGAAGCCTGGTGGGATATTCATTTGTTGTCCAGGGAAAGTGCCTTGTGGTCCTTGGTAATTGTTCTTTTGACCATACCCATGTTGTGGCACCTGACTCGATCGAGCTGCTTGTTGTTGAGGATATACTTGGTCCTGAGGGTTAGCAACATCAGTGTTGCGGTATGACATGGCAGGGTTGGACTTGTAATTATAGTATCCTTTGTTGTAACCTCCTTGCCCATTGCTCATGTAGCACACCTCAGCAAATTGTGTATCCTCCCCTTCTTGGACTGGTTCCATCTCCTCAGCAGACACAAAGTTGACTTTCTTCATTGTGGACTGAGCTAGGATCAGCTTATCCAACTTCTCATTCAATGCCTTAACATCTTTTCTCAACTTTTCGTCTGACTCGATCGAGTGGTGGGTCGAGCTCCGGTTGGTGCGATCATACTCTTCTCCATAGCTTCCATTTGAGTTAGCTATGTTCTCCACAAGTTGCCAGCCATCATCTACATCCTGGTTGAGGAAGTTCCCATTGCTAGCTGTGTCTAGCATCTCCCTATACCTAGGCAAGCATCCTCTATAAAGAGTGGAGAGTAGTGATTCATTGTTGAATCCATGGTGTGGGCACTGACTTGTGTAGCCTTTGAACCTCTCCCAAGCCTCTGCGAATGTCTCATTGTTTCGCTGGATGAAGCTGGATATCTCTCCTCTAAGCTTGGCTGTGCGACCGGTGGAGAAAAACTTAGCAAGAAAGGCCTTCTTGCATTCATCCCAAGTGGTGATTGTGCCATGGGGCAAGCTCTTCTCCCATTGGTGAGCTTTGTCAGCTAGAGACATAGGAAAGAGTCTCAGCTTGATGGCATCTTCAGAGACACCATTGATCTTTGTCAAATCACAAAGCCTATCAAACTCATCAAGGTGGTCAATGGGGTCTTCACTTGGCAATCCATGGAACATCTTGTTCTGGACAAGGTTGATCATTCCCAGCTTGATCTCAAAGTTGTGGTTCTGCACTGGTGGTGGAACAATCCCTTGTCTCTGTTGGTGGCGGTTTGGAGCATCTCCTTGACCAATCGGTCGAGTTTGCCTAGCTCGACCGAGTCCATTCCCAAAGGGTTTCCATTCCCCTCTGGTACATCCATTGTATCAGCAACAAGCACCTCAGGTTCCTCTTGTACCCTCTGTGACCTCTGAACCCTCTTTCTACCCGTTGTAAGTCTAGCTCGACCAAGTCCTCTGTAGACCGACTCGATCGAGTTCGCATACACCTGCAAAAAGAGACAAAAACCCAGCAGTACAATAGAACAGGGGTGGTATAGCTTGATCGTCCAAGTGTGTTTGAAACTCAAATGCAACAAAAATATTCCCAAATCGGCAACGGCGCCAAATTGATGATAGGATTTTTGTGTGTGGATGTGAATGATAAGAGAGGTGGAATGCAAACAGGGGTGAATAAAGATGAAATGGTGCAATCACAATCAATCAATTCCTCTTAACCATCATAGTCATTGAAGTATAAGAGGTTATCAATCCAAAATGGGAAACTTGTCACTCTTGAGAATATGAAACAACCAGAAAGTCAAGCAAGCAGTATAGATTTGAAGTAACACTAACAACCTAAAAAAATGAAAAGCAGTGCAATAAAAGTAAACAAAGCAGTGAAGTGTCAGCTCGACCAAGAGCTCGAGTCGAGTCAGAGCAAAGTACCAGCTCGATCGAGTTTAGGGACGAGTTGAGACAAACAAAGCTAAAGGTGACGACTTTAACAAGATAAGAGAGAATTAGGGTTCAAGACAGGGTTTTGCAATCAAAGGAATCTACACTTAATCAATCTAGCTCTTAAAACTCCTTGTATCAAGGCTTCTCTTGATATTGGGCTTCTCAATGCCTAGCCAACCCTTTCCCAAGGTGGAGGCTATCAACCAAGGAATGATCTCAGAAACAGGGGGTTAGCCAGTGAGAATCAAACCTTGGAGGCTATAGGATCATTGCCCAAACTAATCCATCCAACCCCTTAGACCTCTATTGTCTAGAGCAAGAGATATTGGAGCTCTTAGTGGATCTTTTCCAGCGAATGCCATCACTTTCGTGTGGGGAGTCGCCTAAGGACTTACAAGCCAGGGGTAGTGGTCATGTAGCCTTAAGATCTATCCAAAAGAGAGAGAATCTAGATTAAGACCATAAGCTAGAAGGATTAAGCATATGAAACCTCTAATCTATCCCATCTCAAACCCCAATGGGTAACTACTCACTACACATGAATGTAAACACAAGCAAATGCAATAAAAGAGACATCATAAGAAAGAGGAGATGAAATTAAACAACTTTTATTGAAATAAGCAAGTGCAAATACAAAGAGATTATCCAGGATCTAGGATTCAAGAAGCAAGAGCTTCAAGAACACAAAGATGGGATTAGATCTCTAAAAAGTAAAAGACAATAAATTAAAAGAAACTAAAACAAAATAATCTAAAGCTTGGTGGTTTTTTCGTGGCTTAGAGCCTTTAAATACAAGAGGATTAGGTTTAGGGTCAAAGGAAAGTCAAGGGGGAAGCAACATTTTTCGGGTTTGACTGTTGACTTCTCAGCTCGATCGAGTTGAAGCTTGGCCGGTCGAGTTGAGGAACTCGACCGGTTGGTCGAGTAGACGGTCGAGCTGGTCTTCAAGATGGCTTCTCCCTTCTTCCTTTGCGTATCCAGTTGAGCTGCTTCCATGTGCCAAGTCCCTCCATGCTCCTTGTCCCATATGCTCCAGAATGCTCCAAAAGACCTATTTCAAAGGACCAAACATGCATATGTATGCAAATGCAACCTAAAACTAACATGAATGCATAAGAAGAGAAAAGGAACAAGATATGATGCAAATGGAAGCTAAAACTATGCAAAAGATGCATAAAAGATGAAATGCCAAAAGCTCATCCACATCCTGATTAAGGAATTTCCCATTGCTGGCTGTGTCCAACATCTCTCTATATCTTGCTAAGCATCCTCTATAAAGAGTAGAGAGCAAAGACTCATTGTTGAAGCCATCACTACAAGAAAAGCGGCATTTTACGTCAGTTATAATGGCGGTTTGGAGCATCTCCTAGACCAATCGGTCGAGTTTGCCTAGCTCGACCGAGTCCATTGCCCAAAGGGTTTCCATTCCCCTCTGGTTCCTTTTCAGTACTCTCTGAGTCCTCTGACTTCTCTTTCTACCCGTGGTGAAGTCTAGCTCGACCAAGTCTTCTGTTGTTCGACTCGATCGAGTTCGCATACACCTGCAAAAAGAATCAAAAACCCAGCAATACAAAGAACAGGGTGGGATAGCTTGATCGTCCAAGTGTATTAGAAACTCAAATGCAACAATATTCAACCCAAAATGGCAACGGCGCCAAATTGATGATAGGATTTGTGTGTGGATGTGAAAGATATGATATGAAATGTGGTGGAATGCAACAGTGGTATATAAGATGAGGTGGTAGATGCAAACACAAACACAATCAACAATTCCCCTTAACCATCATAGTCATTATAGTATAAGGGTATCAATCCATATGGGTGAAATTGTCACTCTATGAGAATATGCAATAACAAGGAAGTCAAGCAAGCAGTAATGATAAGGTGGTAACACTAACAACCTAATGAAACAGAAATGCAATGCAGTAAGTAAATAAAGCAGTAGAGCAACAGCTCGACCAAGGACTCGAGTCGAGTGGAACAGAGTAACCGAGCTCGATCGAGTTTAGGGTCGAGTTGAAGTAAAAAGCAATAAAGGCAGCGACTTTAACAAGCTAATGCGAAATTAGGGTCTAAGACAGGGTTTACAATCAGAGGAAGGCTATACTTAATCAATCTTGCTCTCAAACAACTTGTATCAAGGTATCTCTTGATATTGAGCTTCTCAATGCCTAGCTAACCCTTTCCCAAGGTGAAAGCTATCAACCAAGACTTGATCTCAGAAACAGGGGGTTAGCCAGTGAGAATCAAGCCTTGGAGGCCATAGGATCATTGCTCAAACTAATCCATCCAACCCCTATGAACTCCATTTCGAGAGCAAGAGTTATTGGAGCTCTTAGTGGACCTTTTCCAACGATTTCCATCACTTCCATGTGGAGAATCGCCTATGGACATACAAGCCAGGGATAGTGGTCATGTAGCCTTAAGGTTTGTCCAAAAGAGAGAGATTTCTAGATTAAGAACATAAGCAAGAAGGATTAAGCATAAAATCCCCTAATCTATCCCATCTTTGACCCTAAGGGAATGTAAACTACTCACTACACATGAATGTAAACACAATCAAATGCAATGAAAAGACATCAATATGAAAGAGGAGATGAAATAAACAACTTTTATTGAAATAAGCAAGTGCAAATACAAAAGATATCCAGATCTAGGATTCAAGAAGCAAGAGCTCAAGAACACAAAGATGGCTTAGGTTGCAAAAAGTAAAAGACAATAAATTAAAAGAAAGCTAAAACAAAATAATCTAAAGCTTGGTGTTTTTTCGTGGCTTTTAGCCTTTAAATACAAGAGGATTAGGTTTAGGGTCAAAGGAAGTCAAGGGGGAAGCAACATTTTTCGGGTTTGACTTTGACTTCTCAGCTCGATCGAGTTGAAGCTTGGCCGGTCGAGTTGAGGAACTCGACCGGTGGTCGAGTAGGTGGTCGAGCTGGTCTTCAAGATGGCTTCCTCCTTCTTCCTTTGCGTATCCAGTTGAGCTGCGTCCATGCACCAAGTCCTTCCTTGCTCCTCACGTCCCATATGCTCCAAAATGCTCCAAAAGACCTATTTCAAGGACCAAACATGCATATGTATGCAAATGCAACCTAAAACTACTATGAATGCACAAGAAGAGAAAAGGAACAAGATATGATGCTAATGGATGCTAAAACTATGCAAAAGATGCATAAAAGATGTACTAAAACTATGCAAAATGCAAGTACATCAACACCCCCAAACTTGACCTTTGCTTGCCCTCAAGCAAACAAATAGAACAAGAAAGAGATGAGGTTTGAAAACAAATTGATTCAACACAAAACATGTCCTCAAAAGCGATATATTAACAGCTTTGACCAATTAAAAGAGAGTTGCTGAGAATCACCCCTTTTAGTGGACCCCACCATGAAACAAATCGGATAGTTCTTTATTTTCAGATTAATGCTAACATCATTGCCTAAGCTCAACGAAAAAGTTAATCGGCGAACCCAAAAAAGAAACCCCCAATACCAACGACAAAATTTAGACCCAATAAGACAAATCAAATGAACAAAACATTAGAAATTTCTTCATCTCGTTTCACCTCCCGTACCTCTCTCACAACTACAGTTATAACTACCCAAGGTGATTCCCTTCGCCACTCTATTGTAATAGTAGTAAATTCAATATCAAATTCAATATCAAATTCAATATCAAATTCAATTCTTCATCTCAATCGTCTCTGGAAAAACGTTACAAAATTCTCTCCTCATCCTATAAATACGGCAAGTCCCACGGCACATAATCACATCTCATTTCTTTTAACTTCTTATTTCATATTATTGCTCCCTGGTTACTCATCTTAGAAAAATGGTCGAAATCGATATCGTTGCAATCTCTAATGTGCTAAATAGCCTGAATTACGTCACCTTCGATGACTTACATCTTCGTCGATCATCTCAAGAGGTTGTAGACCGTTTCTTGCTTTTAGATGCAAAAAATATTAACAAAGATGGACAATTCATGGGAATCATGCTCCTCCTGCTTGATGAGAAGGTATAATTTCCACACTAATCTCTGTCTCTGTTCTTTCACCCACTCTAAAAATGACAAATCAATCTTTTAATAAAGATGGTTCACAGGCATAGGCAAATAACTGATTTGTATAATACTTTACTATGCTAAGATGAGGAATTGATGTAATTTGTTTCAGGGAGTAATCACCGATGAGGGGAAGTCACTCCAAACGAAATCGGACTGACCAACAACTTCAGAGACGGTTATGCATGAAACTGAAAGAACTCCAACTAACAAGAAGTACAGGGAAGTAAGTTTCAACGACAAGAACGTCGAATTTACCCGCAAATTTGGCCGTAGTAGTTCGACATTATGATACACATCCATCTTCCATAAGTCAAATCTATTACTATGTCCAGCTTTTTTACATTTCATGTTGCTTGCATTTTGTATAAAATTTCATGGCCGTCTGATTCCTTACTTTCAGTAAACTCATATGTAAAACACCATATCTCTGTTTTATAATAGCAAAATGAAAAGGCGGTCTTTCCATATTATTTCGTGGTCTACATACATGAATAATTCAAGGTCTCGCTGCACCAACCGAAAAGTGTTTCACACGTAAATCTTCTTACTTCCAGGTTCCGAAAATCTAGCAAAACAAAGACTATTGCTGGCAAGAAAGTTCATTTTTCCAGATTACTAAACTCTTTTCCGTTTCACACCCAAGCACCAAACTTTCACCGTCTCAGAAATGACGAGCAATCCATCAAGGAAGAAAGATGGTTCCTAATTGTTAGATTTGAGATAGTGATGTTGAGTCAGGTTTTACCAAACTCTTAGACCTCTGCAAGTGCACAGATCGCGGAAGTATGGGTATCGAACACAAGGACTGGCTATTGAGTACACTTTGAAACTATGGATTTTGGATCAAGCTAAAACAAAAGTATGATTGGAGGTTGTAATGGTGAACAGAACTAGCAAGTATAACGAGGTTGTAAATCAATAAGGAAGAAGCGCTAGGTCAACAGGGGCTAATCGCAGAGAAGCAAGCAATGATCAATGAAACAATGATAGATGAATTGATTAGGGATATTGGGATATTAAGAACCGTCTAGAACACAGATCACGAATATAAAACCATTCCACTTTCGAGGCTCCGGCTCCTTTGTTAATCTACCTAGTCGCTAAACTTTTGGTATGTCCCTAGGTGATTAAATCAAGCTTTAGAATGAATAGGTTCTGATACAGTTCACTAGATTATAGTAGATCAACTTTCGCAGTCTAAGAAACCTAGCTTGCCAAAGAATATGTCCGGCGAATGATACAACACTGTCGAGGCTCAAATCAACCTAAGATCGGATTACTAGATGCGCGGTAAAGCAATCAGCATTAGTTAAGTGCACAAGACGAGACAAAGACTCTATGATAATCCCTAGCTAAACATCGAAATCAAAGATCATGCAAGCAACTCATTGATTAGTAACCCTAGCAACCTAACTAGTGGATTACTCAGACATGATCAAAGCAATAACACATAAAGATGAAGAAAACATGATTGCAATAAAACTCAAAGTATGAAATCGTGATACAAGGGCGGCTCTCTTTCACAAGAGGCTAAAAAGTTGTATATATAGTGCTAGGTCTTCAGAGGCGGCTTAGGTTAAGCCGGGCCGTGAAAATACGTGAAACGGGCTTCAAAACGGGCTTCGGGTCGACCGCCGTTCGGACGGTAGGCCGGTTTATCGGGTCATGGTCGCTATCGGCACGATCGGAACGGTCATGGCCGAGAGAATTCGTGGTCGGCCGCTGGTCGGCCGGATGAAGGATTTGGCCGATGATATTTGGTCGAGCGTGAGACCCGGCTTTCCTGATCGGATGGCGCGATCGGCCGTTGATGCGGAGTCAGGTTTTACCAAACTCCTAGACCTCTGCAAGTGCACAGATCGCGGAAGTATGGGTATCGAACACAAGGACTGGCTATTGAGTACACTTTGAACTATGGATTTTGGATCAAGCTAAAACAAAAGTATGATTGAGGTTGTAATGGTGAACCGAACTAGCAAGTATAACGAGGTTGTAAGCAATAAAGGAAAAGCGCTAGGTCATAGGGGCTATCGCAGAGAAGCAAGCAATGATCAATGAAACAATGATAGATTAATTGATTAGGGATATTGGGATATTAAGAACCATCTAGAACACAGATCACGAATATAAAACCATTCCACTTTCGAGGCTCCGGCTCCTTTGCTAATCTACCTAGTCGCTAAACTTTTGGTATGTCCCTAGGTGATTAGATCAAGCATTAGAATGAATAGGTTCTGATACAGTTCACTAGATATAGATAGATCAACTTTCGCAGTCTAAGAAACCTAGCTTGTCAAAGAATATGTCCGGCGAATGATACAGCACTGTCGAGGCTCAAATCAACCTAAGATCGGATTACTAGATGCGCGGTAAAGCAATCAGCATTAGTTAAGTGCACAAGACGAGACAAAGACTCTAATATAATCCCTAGCTAATCATTGAAATCAAAGATCATGCAAGCAACTCATTGAATAGTAACCCTAGCAACCTAACTAGTGGATTACTCAGACATGATCAAAGCAAACACACATAGAGATGAAGAAAACATGATTGCAATAAAACTTAGAGTAGGAAATCGAAATACAAGGGCGGCTCTCTTTCACAAGAGGCTAAAAATCCATATATATAGTGCTAGGTCTTTCTAGAGGCGGCTTAGGGTTAAGCCGGGCTTGAAAACATAAGTTTGGGCTTCAAAAAGGGCTTCGGGTCGACCGCGGCGTTGGGACGGTCGTGCGGGACGATCGGCCGGACAATCGGGTCGTGGCCGAGTCGGAACGGTCGGGGTCGGACGGATCGTGGTCGGCCGCTGTGGTCGGACGGGTGAATTTGGCCGATGAAATCTCGGCCGGACGCGGGACGTAGTTTCCCGGCTCGGACGGCGCATCGGCCGTGGTACGCGAGAGGTTGCGCGGCCGCGAGGCGTTTCCCGGCTCGCGCGGTTTGGTCGTGCGCGGTCGTGGCGTGGCGTGGCCGACCGCGGGCAATGTTTCCCGGGTCGTGATTGCGTGATCGGCCGAACGGTTTTGGACTTTGGCCGAGACTTCAGACGGACGGACGAGATTTGGCCGAGCGCGGAACATTCGTTCCTCGGCCAGCCGGACTGCGCGGTTGGGCGCTGATTCTCGATAGAGCCGTCTGGACAGTCTTCACTCTTTTGGTTGTAACTCCTTTTCTACTCATCCAAATTAGGCCATTCCAATTGCGTTGGAAAGTTAACTCAATCAGAGCACGCAGGGAACTGGTCTTGATGAAATCCATTGAGTAGATCTTTTTCTGGGCCCTCTTAAAGTTGGTGCTTGTGCATGGAGCTGCTTGAAGTGCAAATCCTATGGTTTTGCTCCAAAATGCATCATTTCACCTGTTTAGACTCTAGACACTATAAACACAGTAAAACTACCTTTTTAGATAGAAAACCTGCCAAAAACCATTAGAAAACAATGCTAAAACAGTATAAAAAGTGGGTAAATTAGAGGTATATCAACTCCCCCAGACTTAGATCTTTGCTTGTCCCCAAGCAAAAAGAATCTAAATCCGTGAAAGAGGTTTGAAAACGTGGAAGCTCCCTTGCTCTTTTGAATATCCTGTGAAAGGTTCCTTTCCTGTATTCCACTATGAACATAGACAACATAAGGTTAGCTTCACATACACCCTGCAAGTTTAGCGAACAATACCAACCCAACTAGTCTCATCCAGCAATCCAAACTCTCTATTGCTAACCTCTTGCATAAATTTAAAGCGTGAATTCTTTATCAAGGGACATCGATCAATTGAACTTGTTCTTACCCACTTGATCCTCTCCAAGATTGCCTCTTTAAGTGCAATGAGTTCTTTTCCTCTCTCTTTCTCACATCAGAACTTTGAAAGGTCAATTTATCCCTACTTTTCTAGGGTATCATTTTATTTTTTCTATTGACCCTTCTTTCAACCACAGGATAAGTCTTTAGCTTGTTCCTTGTTTGACTAAGGTATTCCATAAGACATGAAGGTACAGACATATGCATTCCTCATGCTTACTTGTTTTCCTTGTGCTCTTTGAGCTTTTTCTCATATATTACTTACCATTTGGGATGGGAGAGAGAGGAGAACTCTTTAAAGATTGGACAAATGATTCGCGGCATCTTTATGGGATGAGTACAAGTAATAATTCCCTAAGACAACTAGTGTTGCAAGTGCACAACATATAATTGTAGTATTTAGGGGTCGAACCACAAGGGATTGGATTTCACACATTACATAATCATAGAGTTTAAATGACTAAGCTAAATCAAAAGATGCAAGGGTTTGTGTTTGTTTAGAACACGCAAAAGAAATAACAATGCAATTCTATACAAGCAACATTATTGAACTATTGAAAACTCTTTTGAAAACATGAGCCAAGTCGATTGAAAAGTTTGTTAAAATCCGATTCTTTTGAACTCAAAACACTAAGGAAGGATTATTCCACTTTCGTGGTTCCAATCCCCTATGTCTCTTAAACCAATGGGCTCAGCTTTCGTTGGTCATTGTAGAGTGAGACATGCATTACATCCAAGTAATGATTGTTCACAAAACTCTTTAGGTCTACTTTCGTAGCCTAAAACGATTTGCCCATCAAATATTGTGTCCGGAGATATAACAAGCTTTTGGAGAGTATATCAACCTAAAATCAAGTCACTAGTTAGCTACTCTAGCAACAAGCATTAAGCATAAATAAAGATGGAGAACCATAGGGTTTCCCCTTTTAACAATCGATTCAAGATGGCCATTATATCACGTCCTCATTGGAAGGATCCATAATTCAACAATGAGTCTTAGATAGTAGATGAAGTCTCATGAATCCTTAGAGAGAGAGGCGGCGGAATATAGACTAAACCACGCCTCACCCTTAGGGAGAAATCTCTACTTCTAGACTATATAAATTGAAACATGCAAGCTATATACAAATGCAAAAGAAGAAAAGAAAGAAGAAGGAGACCACCTAAGTGGCTCCGAACTTTATTGAATAAGTGTTTCTTGTTATGCGGCTGGTGATTCTTATTACAAGAGGCTAAAAGCAAGTATATATAGGTAGAGAGCGGGTCTAGGTCGGCAAAGTTGAGCGCGCGCAGAAGAGGAAAGTTTCCATTTCTCTTTAGCCGCTTGAGCTTGCTCTCCAAGTTCTTGAATGGGCCGCGTTCAGGCCAATGGAAGCTTCTGGATTGAGTTATGCTAGTGTCAAGATGAGCCAAGGCCTTGGGCGCGGTATCTCGGGCCTCTTGATCCATCAAAGTCTCCATGGGCTCTACTTAGGCGCTCGTCGGACATGTCTTGGTAGAAAATAAGTTCCGGTCCAACGAGTGATCCAAATGACCTCTTTCCACTTCGCCGCGGGTCATGACTCAAATATCTATCTTTCCATATAAGAAACATGACTTTTGGACGTCGGGAAGGCATGAATATGCGGTCGTACTTCGGATGCTCCGGTTTGGTCTTTAGCGAGAAATGTAGATTTGGTGCTCTAGACTTGGGAACTTGGTGATTTGACTCTTTTTGCTCCATTTTGGACTCTTCTTTGCTATTTTGACCTGAATGATGCTCAAAACCAGAATATACAAGAAAACTACCTCTTGGGCATAAAAACCACATTATTTGTATTAAAAACATAGTGAAAACCTTGATAAAAACATGAAAGATATGGGTATATCAACTAATCTTATTGAAAATCAAGTAAGGAACTGTCGACATGTATGCCAACCCCCTTGACAAGAGTAATTAAGATTGATTAAGTGTGAGGTTAACTCTAGATTGCTTGGTTACCTTAGAAATTTTGCTGAGCTAGCATGTCGATCCACTGTAAGAGCTTCTGTTAGGCTTGTGCCTTTAGCTGGTTTCTGCTCTAGGGTCATGGATTGTTAGCATAACACTCTCAATTCTCAAAGCAAGTTCATAACTTCCGGACTGGTTTTTGACTCAATAAAACTTTTTGAAAAACATGAAACAAAGTGAATAAAACATAAGAAAAGAAAGAAAAATGCATTAGTAACACAATAAAACTCCCCCCAGACTTAACTTGCACCGTCCCGGTGAAAGCAAATCACATTAAGGTGAGAGGTAATATTCAAAGTAAAAGAAAAATAAAGAAAAATTCATTAAAATAAGATAGGGATAGAAAATGGAGATTTGTAAGTGTCCATTGCACTAAGTACCACTTGAGATGACTATGTGTGGCAGTGAGAAGAACTCTCTTCCTCATCTATGGGGTCATCGCCTTCTGAACCAAGCTCTGAGTCTAGTGAGAACTCACCAAGGTCAGGCTCATATGGCTCTCTAGCGGTGGAAGAAGGGCGAAAGAGTCTCTCCGGTGCAATGTGGCGAACTACGCGGACTAGGCGAGATGAAGCGAGATTGGCATTCCACTATCTTCTCCAGCTTGTTAACACGGTCTAGAGCTTGTGCGCCCATGCCAGTAGTGAGAACATGGCGTTCTTGGATGCGGCGTTGAGTCTTGACTGCATGCTGAAGTGTGCGATAGGTGAGCATGGGGAATGATGGTTTCTCACTTGATGGAACATAGAACTCTTCCTCATTGGGCTGGAAAGTGACAACTCCTGAGCGTAGGCTTGGGATGTCTCATGTGGCAGCAAGACAAGGGAAGTGTTGGCTGGACCAATTGGAAACTCATAGCAAAACCGAGTTGGGTCTTTAGTCCAACGGTTTAGGAAGTGGATGTGCTGAAGAGCATGGAGATCCAAAGGGGTTGGCTTGGGTAGTGGCTCATAGTTGGGAATGTCAATCCCCACATGCAGTACTATGGCCGTGATAAGCCTCCCAAAACGAACACAAAGCTTCTTGTTGCCTTCCAAGTCTTTAGCTAGCTTCCTCACATTGATGAATGTCTTGGCAAGTAAAAGTCCAAGGTTGGCCTTGTACTCATGCTTGATGAATGGTGTGGTGAGGATGTAGAACTCATCAGTTGTGACCTTGTTGGCTTCTTGTTTGCATTGGAAAGTGGTGGAGATGAGGCGGTGCACATAGCGAATGGCTGGATGAGTGATTCTAGACACCTTTGACCTTGAAGGCAAGAATGGTTCATTGGCAAAGTGTGTCCAATCAGCAAAGGCAGCTTGTTTCCTCTTTGAGTTCTCCTTGAAGTCATGTGCTGTCTCATTGGGAAGTCCAAAGAGTTGGCATAGAGCTGAGATGGATATGCGCCCATTGGCATCGCCTATCTTGAAGAGTAGGAGTCCATCACCAGCTGGTTGGTCTCCATTGTGGTTGGGAAAGGCAAGAGCTACTGTAGAGAGGAACTCCTTGGTGAGTTGTGAGTACTCACTACATTCTAGCTTGAAGAGCTTGCTCAAGCCTAGCTTCCTTATGTACCATGTGACATCATCTCTTATCTTGAGAAGATCAAGGGTTTGGGTGTCCATCTTCACACATGGCTCGATGTTCACCTTCTCCATTGCCTTCTTACACTTTCTTGGGTCTTGATTTTGTTCTCCAACAAAGGTTACAAGTGCCCAATCATCTTCTCCTCTTCTTGGACTCTCCACATGTTCTTGACTTGCATCAATGGAATGTGGTGAAGTTGGTATTGCTGCTCTTGCATTGGAGCTACTACTCCCTAGCTTGATTTGCTTCTTTGGTGGTTCCATGAATGGGTTCTTCTTCTTCTTCATACTCTCATTTCCTTTTGTCTTTGCCATTGTGTACCTACAAGAGCAAATTCTTGGGAAGAAATATGAGTTTGTGATTAATGCAAAAGAAGAATAAGCTAATTGAGTTGCAATAATGATATGGAATAAAGGAACAACTCAAGGCTTAATCATGAATCAAAGAGACAAAATAGAAATTTCACTTTTTCAAAATTAATTTTCGGATTTTACTGTTCATCCCAAGATTATGGTGCTTAAAATCAAAATTTTCAGCAAATCAAGAGAAATTGAGTTTCTAATCCAAGTAATCACTAGATAAACTAATGAATTGAAGTATGCCCAAGCAATTTCACCTTTGAATAAGGGGTTTGGAATGCCCAATAAGTTTTGTGAAAAACTATTCAATTGTGAAATTAAACTTCAAATTAACTCTAAACCACCTAGGTTCCACCTAGCAAAGTTCATTACAAGACTATAAGGATGCTAATTTCAAGTCTAGACAAGAGTTTAGACCAAACATGAAACTTATTGAAGATTTTCGATCTTGCATAAACATAGGATTAGAGTTAGAAGACATACCTTGTGTGTTGAAAAGTGAATAAGGTTGCAAGAGCAAGTAAATTCCAATTTAGAGTTATGAACAGTAAAAGTTTTGAAATCAAAACTCTTAGAGTTCCTCTAATGGAGTTTAGGGTTTTGGAGAAGAAAGAGAGGTTCTTGTGGTTTTCAAGGGAAAGGTGAAGTAAATAAGATCTAAATCCTATCAATTTTCCTTTTCAAATTCGAATTTTGATTGAAAACCGGTTTAAGTTGGTTTAGATTGGTTAAAACCGGTTTGAATTAATGAAAAGGGGACTTACCTTGGCCTAGAAAAGTTTTGGGCCGATGGCCGATGGATTTTGTCGCGGTCGAGCGATTTGGTCGGCCAAATTGTTTGGCGAGAGAATTTCGGCCGAGGCCGAGCGTTGTTTCCCGGATCGACCGGCACGGTCGGTCCGTTCCGATACAAAATTTCGGCCGATCGCGGCCTTCTTTCCCGGTTCGTGCGTGGCGCGAACGTTTTCTGTCGCGCAAGTGAAATCCGGCCGAGCACGGCTATTCCTTCCCGGCTCGACCGTACGGTCGGCCAGATTGAGAATTGCTCGGCCAAAATTCTTTGCGCGTCCGCGGCCAATGTTTTGGCGCGGATTGTGTTTTCACACCTTTTTCTCCTTCTATCCTATCTTAAAACAAAGAAAACACAAAAGCAAAACAAAAACTAAGAAAATTAAAGAAAGAAAAGTAAAAGTACCTCATGGGTTGCCTCCCATGCAGCGCTTGTTTTAAGTCTTTAGCTTGACTGTAAGGCTTGGCGCTCAGGAGAAGATGGAGACAAGAGGCATCTTTGATCCTCCAAGTCTTTTCTCCTTGCAATGAGTATCTGGTGGGTGATTCACAGCTGGATAGACAATCTCTCCATGAATGTCCCTTGGCACTACTGCCTTAGGAAAAAGCTTTAGAGTTCTTGTCACTTTCTCCTTGAATCCTTCTAGATTCTCATCAATAAGCTCCTTTGGGAATAGAAGCTTCATGTTGCGGCCAGACCTAGGCTTTCTAACCTTCCTTCTTGGCTTGGCCTCATCTTCAATCTTGGTTGATCCCTTGGGCGGTTTTGGTGTAGGGGCCTTAGTCTTACTCCTTGCTTGTTTGGCAAGCTGCTTGGGCTTAGGAATGGGATCTTCCTTGATTGTTTCTTCAGTTTCTCCTTCTTGGGGTGGCTTCAAAGTAGCTTTCTCCTCTTGGACCATGTCAACAAAAGAGTTCTTTGTTGAACACATAGGGAAGAACATACCCTTGTTCACCTTGTTGAAAGAGATTCTTTGATTGGGGAAATCAAATATGGCACCCACAGTAGACAGGAAAGGGGTTCCAAATATGAGAGGTCTATGGCTACTCTCTCTCATTTCCACAATCTGGAAATCAGTAGGGATAGAGCAATTTCCAATCTGCACCATCACATTAGGCACAAAGCCATAGGGGTTTGTGAGAATGAATCAGCATAGTTGATGGAGATGGATGATGGCTCTATCTTGGTGAGGCCTATCTTGTCAGCTATCCTCTTAGACATGATGTTCACATTGGCTCCTGTGTCACACAAAGATTGCTCAAGAATGTTACCTTTGATGATACAAGGCACAACAAACTTTCCTGAGTTATCTGTCTTGGGGATAATCTTTGGGAAGAGTCTTCTCTTTCTAGCTCGATTGGACTCTCTCTCTGGGTAATTCTCTTCAGGCCAAATCATGCAATCAACAGTAGGTTTTGAAAGCATCCATTCTGGAACTTGGTCTTCAAATCTTTCTTCTATGGCGGCTGAGTTGCAAAAGGACTTCTTGGATTCAGCTTCCTGTCTCTTAACAGCTTCCATAGTTTGAGTGACTTGAGTCTCTAGTTTCTTCACATGAGTGGCAACAGCATCATACTTGGTGTTGAGATTGCTGAACAAAGTGTCCATCTTCTCATACATCTCTTTAGTGTTTCTCTTCTGGCCATCCATGATCTGTTGGAGGATTCCTTCAAATCTCCCACCTTGTTGGTTTGGAGGAGCTTGATTTGGTGAAGAAGCATATGGCTCCTTGGGCGGATATGATGATCTCTGCTCATATCCTTGCCTTGGCTGAAATTGACTTCCTTGAGATTGGTAAGGAGGTCTTTGTTGTTGTGGATACCTTGGAGGATACACTTGGTCTTGAGGATTCTCCACATTGGGGTTTCTATAAGACATGTTGGGGTTTGGGCGATAGCTTGGATTGTATCCCTTGTTCCCATAGTTTCCAATGTAGTTCACATCTTCTTCATTGGCTTCATTAGAGAAATCTCCCATGCATTCTCTTGATGAATCTTCATTAGCATCACTCATCCCTTCTATTGCATTGATATGCTTGAGCTGTCCCTTAAGAACTTGAGCCATCATGTTCTTGAGTTCAGTCATTTGAAAAGAATCAGGGGAGCTAGTAGTGGTGCGGCTTGAGCGGTCATAATCAGGACAGTTGTTACAATCACTAGCTGCAAGATTCTCAATAAGAACCTTAGCTTCATCAACAGTCTTGGTCATGAAGTTTCCATTGCTTGCTGTATCCAATGAAAGCTTGTACTTGTGGTCTATGCCACGATAGAAGATGTTCCATAGGTTTCCCTCATTGAAACCATGATTAGGGCAGTCCCTAATGTACTCCTTGAATCGATCTAGCGCCTCATAGAAAGACTCATTGTTGCTTGGCGAAAGTGGAGATCTTGTTTCTCACAGAAATTGATCTCTGTTTGGTGTAGAAGTGGTTGATGAATGCAGCCTTGTACTCATCCCAAGTGGTGATGGAGTGAGCTGGCAGAGACTTCAACCATCTTGAAGCTTTGTCGCCAAGAGAGAATGAAAAGAGCTTGCACTTAAGGTAGTCAGCAGAGACTCCATTGGATCTTGTAGTGCTGCAAATTTCTTCAAAGTTTTCTATGTGATCAAGAGGGTGCTCAGCTGGAAGTCCATTGAATTGGTTCTGTCTAACCAATGCAATGATCTGAGGCTTGATCTCATAGTCATTCCTTGCAGGGTGGTGGATGGATAGGGTTTCTATCCATGAAGAAAGCATCGGCAGAGTCATAGTCTCCGATTGTAGGTGCTCCAGCTTGGGTTGTGCATTCACATCTCCAGCAGGGTCTTGTGGATTAGGAGGAGGAGGTGGATCTCTTCCTTCTTCTTGAGCGCGCGCCACTTCAGCGGCGTGAGCGCGAGCTGCTTCGTCGGCCATCTCTTGGGCTTTTGCTTCCTAAGTTGCTTCTCAAGCTTGTCTATCTCTGGATGTTCAACTAGGTTGTCCTTGTTGGACCTCCTAGTCATGCACCTGAAAAGAGTCTTGGAAACAAGTTAAATCAAAAATAAAAAAAGGAAATCAAAAACTGAAAATTCAAAAGCAAAAGAAAAGTAAAACAGGAAAAGGTTCTAGACTAGATCCTAGTCGAGTTCCAAAGGTACTGCTGCAGTCCCCGGCAACGGCGCCAAAAACTTGATGCGGAGTCAGGTTTTACCAAACTCCTAGACCTCTGCAAGTGCACAGATCGCGGAAGTATGGGTATCGAACACAAGGACTGGCTATTGAGTACACTTTGTAACTATGGATTTTGGATCAAGCTAAAACAAAAGTATGATTGAGGTTGTAATGGTGAACCGAACTAGCAAGTATAACGAGGTTGTAAGCAATAAAGGAAAAGCGCTAGGTCATAGGGGCTATCGCAGAGAAGCAAGCAATGATCAATGAAACAATGATAGATTAATTGATTAGGGATATTGGGATATTAAGAACCATCTAGAACACAGATCACGAATATAAAACCATTCCACTTTCGAGGCTCCGGCTCCTTTGCTAATCTACCTAGTCGCTAAACTTTTGGTATGTCCCTAGGTGATTAGATCAAGCATTAGAATGAATAGGTTCTGATACAGTTCACTAGATATAGATAGATCAACTTTCGCAGTCTAAGAAACCTAGCTTGTCAAAGAATATGTCCGGCGAATGATACAGCACTGTCGAGGCTCAAATCAACCTAAGATCGGATTACTAGATGCGCGGTAAAGCAATCAGCATTAGTTAAGTGCACAAGACGAGACAAAGACTCTAATATAATCCCTAGCTAATCATTGAAATCAAAGATCATGCAAGCAACTCATTGAATAGTAACCCTAGCAACCTAACTAGTGGATTACTCAGACATGATCAAAGCAAACACACATAGAGATGAAGAAAACATGATTGCAATAAAACTTAGAGTAGGAAATCGAAATACAGGGCGGCTCTCTTTCTCAAGAGGCTAAAAATCCATATATATAGTGCTAGGTCTTTCTAGAGGCGGCTAGGGTTAAGCCGGGCTTGAAAACATAAGTTTGGGCTTCAAAAAGGGCTTCGGGTCGACCGCGGCGTTGGGACGGTCGTGCGGGACGATCGGCCGGACAATCGGGTATGTGGCCGAGTCGGAACGGTCGGGGTCGGACGGATGCGGTCGGCCGGCGTGGTCGGACGGATGAATTTGGCCGATGAAATCTCGGCCGGACGCGGGACGTAGTTTCCCGGCTCGGACGGCATCGGCGTGGTACGCGAGATGAGTTGCGCGGCCGCGAGGCGTTTCCCGGCTCGCGCGCTTTGGTCGTGCGCGTCGTGGCGTGGCGTGGCCGACCGCGGGCAATGTTTCCCGGGTCGTGATTGCGTGATCGGCCGACGGTTTTGGACTTTGGCCGAGACTTCAGACGGACGGACGAGATTTGGCCGAGCGCGGAACATTCGTTCCTCGGCCAGCCGGACTGCGCGGTTGGGCGCTGATTCTCGATAGAGCCGTCTGGACAGTCTTCACTCTTTTGGTTGTAACTCCTTTTCTACTCATCCAAATTAGGCCATTCCAATTGCGTTGGAAAGTTAACTCAATCAGAGCACGCAGGGAACTGGTCTTGATGAAATCCATTGAGTAGATCTTTTTCTGGGCCCTCTTAAAGTTGGTGCTTGTGCATGGAGCTGCTTGAAGTGCAAATCCTATGGTTTTGCTCCAAAATGCATCATTTCACCTGTTTAGACTCTAGACACTATAAACACAGTAAAACTACCTTTTTAGATAGAAAACCTGCCAAAAACCATTAGAAAACAATGCTAAAACAGTATAAAAAGTGGGTAAATTAGAGGTATATCAGCCGTGGTACGTGAGATAAGTCGCACGGCCGCGAGGCGTTACTTCCCGGCTCGTGCGGCATGATCGTGAGCGGCATCGACTGGATGGTTGTGACTTGGCCGACCGCGGGACATTGCTTCCCGGGTCAGTGCGTAAGCTCGGCCATGGTTCAGGCGGGACGGACGTGTTCGGAATTTGGCCGACCGCGGGACATGCGTTCCTCGGCCGGCCGCTCTGCACGGCTTGGCCGCGGTTTCTCGATAGAGCCGCCTGGACCAGTCTTTGCTATTTTGGCCATCACTCCTTTTCTACTCATCCAAATGAGGCCGTTCCAGTTGCGTTGGAAAGTTAACTCACTCAGAGCACGCAGGGAACTGGTTTTGATGAAATCCATTGAGTAGATCTTTTTCTGTGCCCTCTTAAAGTTGATGCTTGGTACGGAGCGGCTTGAAGTGCAAATCCTATGGTTTTGCTCCAAAATGCATCATTTCACCTGTTTAGACTCTAGACACTATAAATCCAACATAACTACCTTTTTAGATAGAAAACCTGCCAAAAACCATTAGAAAACAATACTAAAACAGTATAAAAAGCATGTAAAATAGAGGTATATCAGATAGCACTTGTTAAAACGGGTTACCAAAGATGTGAGTTTAGGAAACTGGAAGCTTGATTTAACTCGAAGAATATCAGGAAGATTACAAAAGATGTTATCTCGCCAATAAGCTTGACGAGATGAATTATGATGAACAAGAGGAGAACAGAGAGGAAAGTCAAGAGGGCGCTAAGCCTAGATTTCTTATGGTGTAATTCTAGATGATCTTTTTTTATGCCTTTCCACGAATGGGGGGTCTTCAATATATAGTGTTGATAGGTCGGCTCTTTGGCTAATATTTTCCTTCCGGCGAGATGGAAAACTTCCTCTTTTGCGATATGGAAAACTTCCACTTCTTCTTGATTTACTTCCATTCCTTGGGTCGACGTGAGAGTTTGTTTACATATCCTCATGGATTATGCCTTCCTCCTCAAGTCCTGCCATTTTGTTGAGGAGATTAGGCCTAAAGTCGGATTGGGCTTCATGATTTTACTAATGATGACGGGCTCAGGGAAATGTGCTAATTTCTCCTCTAACAATAAGTCCCAGTCAAATGCAGTTTGATGGCGAGTTTCATGAATAAAGAGGGAGCTTAAGAATCATTAATACAAATATGCCACACCAAACCAACTTTAGTACCCAAGTGCTTGCTGAATGTAGATTCGTGCCGCCTCATTAAAACCTTGGTACGGAAAAACCCAGTTGGGACAAAAACCATAAGAAGGAAAAAGAGTACGTTGACGTCATCTAATTCATAAAAGAGTGTGTTTCGAATGGTTCTTGCCGAGGCCGAGAATGATTTCTCGTTGAATTTTAGTAATGGGCATAATCGGCCCACGCCCTGATTTAACCGGCCCGAATCTTGCCAAGATTGCTCGGGTGGGAAAAGAAAAGAGTCCCGGAGAAGTTTTCTTCGCGAAGCTCTTGTTAAGGAAACCACTCGGATTTCTCGAGTTGCTTATTCCTTTTACGTGGTGCTAATTTCGTCAATTGCTTTGAAGGCAATCTTCTCTCCCTTCTTTCGGTTTTAAAATCTCTTTGCTGCCGTCTCCGTTGGCGTTTTATTTCTTTTCTCCTTCTCTTTTGCGAGTTCGATGGCACAAATCGAAGGTAACTCATCGGTATCGACGTCGGCTTCTGAGTGGAACGCTGTTGTAACAAATGCTGATCCCAAGGTGGTTTGCGAGGCAGTCGAGGCGACGAAGGTGGCGGATTCATCCTTTGAAGGTAGATCTGTGGTTCTAAATGGGGAGTCCATCAACTGTTTGTGGGGGAAGGCTCCATGCGAGGATCAGCGAGGAAACGGTTCCTGATTGTGCAAGACTTGACGGTATTCCCCGAAGGATTGAGATGCCGTGGAGATCGTCAGCGAGGTCCCTAGCCCAGGATGGTCGATCAGGGATGACCGAGGAGATTGTCAATGCTCTGAAGGAGGGGGTAGGGATCAGTGATGCTGTTCGGATTCTCATCCCTTCGCCTGACCAGAAGCCGATGGATGCTCCCATCCGGATGGTTTTGCATCTACAATGCTTCCTTACGGAATTTGGGATACGCTTCCCCGTCCTTCCATTGCTCCTCGAATATGCATACGAACGAGGCATTGCATTGAGTCAGCTTACTCACGACGCTGTGCGGCATATGGTTTTTTCAATTGCTTTAGCGAAAGCGGCCGGGATGAGATTAGACAGGGAGCTCTTTGAACATATCACCGACCTTCGTGCCGGGGTTAAGGAAGGGAATTTTAAGCGCTTCCACACGTCGATGAAACACGATATCATTTTTGGTGATTTTCAGACAAATTCATCATTGGACGCGCTACTACTTCTTTGTCAAGATCGACCGTGCTTCGGTCGGAGATTTCGATCCCAACCACGTTTTGACATAATGGGTTCAAGAGCCGGGTAGAATATTTGCGAATTGTACCCTACTTCGATGATTCCTTTGTACGTTAACCGATGCTCTTGCTGTTTTATGTGCAGAAAGGGTTACTCCGAGGAAGGTAAATACTACTTTGAAAGAGAAGTTTAGAACTTTACGTGACCTGAGTAGGGAAACTTGGGCGGATGTGGTCGCCGAAGCTGAAAGGAGGAAGAAGGAAAAGAAAGGAAAGGCTATTGTTCTAGCGACTCCTCTCGCTGGTAGGTGCTCGATCGTTTAGTCATTGCTTTGAGTTTTTGTGCCGACGAGGCTTTTGATTGTATCTTCTGATGCTTTTAGACAAGCCGTCAAACACTGTGAAGAAGATGGGCTTAAGGAAGGGGGCTCCAACTTTGGTGGATGATGACATCCTGATTTCCGACCCCTTATCTAAGCGAAGAAGATCAGATTCTTGCGAGCCATGCAGTCTTTCTCGGCCATCGGAGTCTCTTGTGGCTGCTGCCAGTGGTGATTTCTCGTCTCCGGTCGTCACGGCTTCTCCTTGTCGAGACTGCGATGACGCGACCGAGTTGGAATCTGGTGATGTTGTCGGAGTTTCTGAGATTGGGGCCAGAGGTCTTGTTGGGATAGATGATGTACTTGCATTTTACATGGTTTTAGTACATCTTTTATGCATCTTTTGCATAGTTTTAGTATCCATTAGCATCATATCTTGTTCCTTTTCCCTTCTTGTGCATTCATAGTAGTTTTAGGTTGCATTTGCATACATGTGCATGTTTGGTCCTTGAAATAGGTCTTTTGGAGCACTTTGGAGCATTTGGGACGTGAGGAGCAAGGAAGGACTTGGTGCATGGACGCAGCTCAGCCACACACGCAAAGGACGAAGGAGGAAGTCATCTTGAAGTCAGCCACCACCTACTCGACCATCCGGTCGAGTTCCTCAACTCGACCGGCCAAGCTTCAACTCGATCGAGCTGAGAAGTCAACAGTCAAACCCGAAAAATGTTGCTTCCCCCTTGACTTCCCTTTGACCCTAAACCTAATCTCTTGTATTTAAAGGCTCTAAGCCACGAAAAAGACAACAATCTTTAGCTTACTTTTAGTTTTAGCTTTTCTTTAATTTTGTAATTTTACTTTTTGCAACCCTTAAGCCAATCTTTGTGTTCTTGAGCTTCATGCTCCTTGAACCTTAGATCTAGGCTATTTCTTTGTATTTGCACTTGCTTATTTCAATAAAAGTTTTTAGTTTTATCTCCTCTTTTTTTAATGTCTATTTCATTGCATTTGATTGTGTTTTCATTCATGTGTAGTGAGTAGTTACCTTTAGGGTCCAAGATGGGCTAGATTAGAGGATCCTTATGCTTAATCTCTTTTGCTTATGTTCTTAATCTAGAAATCTCTCTCTTTTGGACAAACCTTAAGGCTACATGACCACTACCCCTGGCTTGTATGTCATAGGCGATTTTCCACATGGAAGTGTTGGGAAATCGCTTGAAAAGGTCCACTAAGAGCTCCAATAAACCTTGCTCTCGAAATGGAGTTCATAGGTGTTGGATGGATTAGTTTGAGCAATGATCCTACTGCCTCCAAGGCTTGACTCTCACTGGCTAACCCCCTGTTTCTGAGATCATGTCTTGGATGATAGCTTTCACCTTGGGAAAGGGCTAGCTAGGCATTGAGAAGCTCAATATCAAGAGATACCTTGATACAAGTTGTTTAAGAGCAAGACCCTGTCTTAGACCCTAATATTCGCATTAGCTTCTTAAAGTTCCTGCCTTTATCGCTTTTTACGCTAACTCGACCCTCAACTCGACCGAGCTTGGTTACTCTGTTCCCACTCGATCGAGTCCTTGGTCGAGCTGCTTGCTTTACTGCTTTCTTTTACTTATTGCACTGCATTTCTTTCTTTAGGTTGTTAGAGTTACTTATCATCTTTTTACTGTCTGCTTGACTTTCTTGTGATTGCATATTCTCATAGAGTAACATTTCACCCTTTTGGATTGATACCCCTTATACTTCAATGACTATGATGGTTAAGGGGAATTGATTGATTGTGATTGTGTTTGCACCATACCATCCCATCTTCATTTACCACTGTTGCATTCCACCTCATATCATTTCATATCATCACATCACACACAATCCTATCATCAATAGACTCTGACGCAATTTTTCTGAAGTGGAAGGGTGATGCTCCACTCATGGATAATGATGATTTTGGTGGCGAGATTGTTTAGAGCTGCAAACCTAAGCCGTGCTGGGGGATTCCGCGCGGTGATCTTGAATTTAAAGGAGCTTTCGACGAAGCCTCCGGTAGTCTTGTCAGAGCTGGGGGAAGATTCGCCGCGCTGATTCAACTTTACGATGGGGCGCTCAAGGGTGCTCGGAGCAAAGTTGATCGGATGAAGGCCGACCTGGTTGACAATCTTGGTGATGACACAGCTGCGGCCAAGCTCCGGGAGGAAAAGATTGTTCTTGAAAAGAAAGTTGAAGCTCTTAAGGGTGAGGCTGTGAAGGCTTCTAACCTCAAGATTGAGAACGACCAACTGCGGAACAAGGTAACAGAGTTGGAGGATAGGGTACGTCGAGATGCGAAGAATTCAGCTGCCGAGATGACTCGTCTTCGCAGGTCCCGGAAGAAATGGGCCGAATTGACGGCTGCTCAGGTGTACGAATCGATGGATAATTGGTACACTCCAAGGTTGGACAGTATAGGCAAATATGTTGGCCAGCGGGATGCGGTAGAGAAGGCGGTGGTTAAGATCCAAGTCAACGAGGCTCTTCTTTCCTATTTCAGAAAAATTAAGGGGGTCGAGCAAGATTTCGATGCGGTGGAAAAGATGCTCAAAGCCCGGTTGAGAGAGAGCAAAGCTGCTGGGGATTTGGTCGAGGACGACGAGATTGGTGCTAACGATTACGCTCCGCCTTTAAGGTTAGATCTTCGTTTTCATCTTGCTGGCTTTTGCTTTGATAACACGTGGGTTATTCCGCGGAATTTTGATCAATATAGGTCAATATATCGAACTTTCAGGCCTACCCTTGCAGAATTGGCGTTTCCGGGGTCTCCACCGCGTAATCGATCGAAGTAGCAGGCGAGAAGAGATCGGGATTGGTTTCCTTTTCTCTTTTCAAAAGTTTCTTAAAAATTTCTTTTGTTGTGACAATTTGCTTTAATCCGTATGCTTTGGATTTGGTTTTTCTTTTGGATTTTATCTATTGCCTTATTAGCGAGACAAATAAATTAGACATGGTTGATAATTTCACAGCGCGATGAAAGAATCCAGCTTTAGGCCATGTCTTTTAATGAGAAACAATATGCCGTTAATCGGTTGAGGTAGGTCGGTTTATCCAATCGTCACCGGATAAATGACTTATTATGCCGAGATGGCTTGTTAGCCTCAAGTGTGTCGAACAAGTGCTTTTGTTTGACGATGCGGATGCGTCGTGATGTTCTGTGAAGCTTTCGTAATTCATCATGATTCTCATTCGAGACACCGACCAATGCGTATTAGGTCTAGGGTGCGGCGACTTGGTGGGTCGCATATTTTGGCGAGGAGGTCTAGGGGCTCGATTTATGCCAACGATACCACGGTCCGATATGTGTAACGAGGTAGCTATTTTGTCTCTCGCCCGTAGGGACTGGCATCGTGCGAGGTGCGTGCTCTCGTCTTTTGTGGGTGCGTCCATGGGTTGCTGTTTTCAAGTGCGTTCAAACGTTGGGCAAGAACGTTGGGGAAGTTGCGTTTTTCAGAATTTTTGCTTTGCATGCTGAGCTTGCTTTGCTAACGTCGTCGATGAGGGCTTCAGTTACCAGCTGAAGGCGAAGTTCTTATTTCGTGGTCTTTGCCGAGACGGGAACCCTTCCGAAGAGGTTCTATAAGAAATGCGTGCATTGGGATTAATAAAATATAAAAGGGCTTTTTATTTTTATTAATTTATAGCTATCCCTTTAGCGAGAAAGGCTGCCTACGTACCCGTGCCACGATCAAGCCAGTTGTAGTTCGTTACAAATGTTCATGTCATGGACATGTCTCTTTCTTTTTTCTTTTTTTTTTATATTTGACGCGGTGCATCGCGTCTAGCTATGGAACTTGCGCATGTTTATGGAGTTCCATGAGCGAGGAAGCGGGTTTCCATGACAGTCGTCTAGCTCGTAGACTCCTGGTTTGACGATCTTTGTGATGCGAAACGGCCATTCCCAGTGGAATCCGAACTCGCCAGCGTGCTTGGGTTTGGTGAAGTCGTGGACTTTTTTGGAGACGAGGTCATGGAGTTAGAAGCGTCGGTTCCGCACCTTTCTGGCATAATACCTAGTTGCTTGCTGTTGGTAATTTTGCATACGCAAGAGGGCGCGGTCCCGTAATTCTTCGGTGTTGTCCAGGCTGTGCAGGAGTGAATCGTCGTTTAGCGCCGGGTTAAGGGGCATCAAGGATCGCCGCAAGCTTGGGGCGTGCAGTTCTGCTGGTGCTAATGCCTCACAGCCATGTGACAAAGAGAAGGAGGTTTCCGCGGACGCTGATCTGGGAGTGGTTCGATGTGACCAAAGTACTCCACCCAACTCGTCCGCCCAAGCTCCTTGGTAGCCTTCAAGCCTTTTCTTCAGGCCATCGACGATAGTCTTGTTTGTGGACTCGGCTTGTCCGTTAGCTCGAAAATATCTAGGCGTGGAGTAGAGGAGCTTGATTTTCCATGATGCGCAAAATTCTAGGAAGGTCGTCGCGATGAATTGCCCACCGTTATCGGTTACGATCTTGTAAGGTAGACCGTGACGACATATGATGTGTTGAAACACAAAGTTCTTCACGCATGGGAAGTTGGGTTTTTGTATGCTTTTGCTTCTACCCACTTGGTAAAGTAGTCAGTGACGACCAGGAGGTAGGCACATTGCCGCGAACGCGGCATAGGTCTAACAATCTCCATTCCCCAGCGCATGAAGGGGTATGTTGGGATTGCGGCTTGGAGTGTTTGCGTTGGAGCGTTGATGGTGGGTGCGTACCTTTGGCAAGGGATGCATTTTTGCAATCCCCGACCATCGTTGGCCAGAAGTATCCGATCTTCTTGATCTTTAAAGCGAGGGACCTTCCACCTGCGTGATTTCCCGAGGCTCCTTCATGAGTCTCGGTCATGATGGTCTTGGCTTGTGCCTCGTCGCAACATCGCAGGATGACTTTGTTTGCGCTCCAACGGAATAGCTCATTATTCCGTAAGAAATAGTAACCGGCTTTTCTTCGCAGGCTGCGAGCCGCCCATTGTTAGATCCGAGATAGCACTCGTCAAGACGGGCTATCAAAGATGTGAGTTTAGGAAACTGGAATGCTTAATTCGACTCTTAGATTATCAAGAAAGTTACAAGGAAGTAATCTCGCTAACAAGCCTAGCGAGATTATGTGATGAACAAGAGGAGAGAGTAAAAGCGTGTAAAGGCCTAGTGATTCTAGATGATTTCGGATCCCTTTTCCCCAATGGGGGGTCTTCAATATATAGTGTTGATAAGTCGGCCGAATGATGAATATTCTCCTTCGGCGAGATGGAAAACTTCCTCTTTTGCGATATGGAAAACTTCCTCTTGTTCTTGATCTCCTTCCATTCTTTAAGTCGGCATGAAGATTTATTTACATTTCTCCATGGATTGTGCCTTCTCTTCAAGTCTTGCCTTTTTCTTGAAGAGTTAGGCCTAAAATCGGATTGGGCTTTGTGACTTTACTAATGATGACGGGCTCAGGGAAATGTGCTAATTTCTCCTCTAACAATAAGTCCCCCCGCCAGCTCGGCAGGTCAAATGTAGTTTGATCTCGGCGAGCTTCATGAATAGAGGACGAGCTTGAGAATCATTAGTAAAATACATCACTTCAATCGGATCTTAGTGCCTAGTGCATGCTGAATGTAGATTCGTGCCGCCTCATTAAAACCTTGGTACGGAAAAACCCAATTGGGACAAAAACCATAAAAAGGAAAAAGAGTACGTTGACGTCATCTAATTCCATAAATGTGCTTCGAATGATTTTTGCCGAGACCAAAAATGCTTTCTTGGTTCGAATGCTGTGACCAGCTCGGTTTTATCTGTGACTGGGCGATTTTGCCACGTCATTGCCCAGGTGGACTTATTTGCAATTGCGTGGGCTGAGTCCGATAGTCGATTAAATCGCGCGGAGGCCCAAGCCCATTAATGCTTTTCCTTGAGCGGGAAAGAAATGAATAAAAAATTCATAAGGGCAGTTGTGTCCCTTGGAAGTCGCGCGATCTCTATTAAGAGACCGTTCGAATATTCATTTTTGCTTCTTTTCTTCTTCTCACTCAACCGTCCCGACGAATCAAAGGTAACTTCCGCAATCCGACTTCAAATCTTATCTCGATTGATTTCTCGAATCGATTTTGCGGGATTTAGGACTAGGGAATCACGAATTGCTCGAATCTAGTTAGGTTGTTCGATTTCGTCTTCTCATTCGCGATTCGGGTTTAGGGTTTTGCTCGTCAGTTTGGTTACTCCAATCTTCGAATTTCCGAATTTTCGTGTAATCGGGATGGATTCGCGAGATAGAAAGGGTAAGGGTATCGCCATGGATGATGATGACAAGACCAAGCGTCGGGCCCGGTCATCCGGCAATCCCGACAGGCTTCTTGGCGAGGCCATCCGTGCTGACGCGGCCGAGGCGCGTCGGAGAAAGGCTGCCGAAGCGGAAGCCGCGGCGGAGGCCAAAAGAGTGGTCGAGAGGACTGAGATGGAAGAGGCGATAAGAGTTGCTGCCGAGGCCGAGCGTCGAGAGGCGGCGGAAAAAAGGATGAAAGCAAGGGAAGAGTGCGGCCCCTGCGATGATTATGATTCCGAGGAGGGATATCATGACGGAATCCCATCAGACGACTCCGATGCTGATTCGGAAAGCGATGACAAAGAGGTTCCGGACCGTCCTCGCTGAAGGGCATCCCCGAGATTATCAAGATGCCGGAGCATGCTAAATCCAAATGCCGCGTATAACGGATGGCAGACGTGGATGACTCCTGAGATTCTTACAGCGCTGACGAAGAGAGTCGGCTTCTCGGGTTGTATTGAGTTCCGGATTCCGAAGGAGCATGAGAGGCCTTACGATGCTCCGCCGGGATGGATATGCGTTTACGAATGCTTTTTTACCGAGTTCGGGATGAAATTTCCTTTGCCTTTCTTGCTGTTGATATTCGCCTGCTGAACGAGGTGTCGCCGTGAGCAGCTGACCCACGGCGTCTTTCGTCACATGGTTTTCACGGAAGCTTAGCGAAGGCCGCGAAACGTCATGTTCGATCGCCATCTTTTTGAGAACGTCACAGATCTTCGCGCGGATCCAAATGGGAGGGGAACTTCAAGCGTTTCCACACCGCGATGCGACATAGGATCGTTTTCGGTGACTATCGGGATAGGATCTCCCGACTGGAAGCGCTACTTCTTTTTGTGAAGATTAGCAAGGGCATCGGTCGGGAATTTCAAATCCGAGCAGATCAAAACCGATTGGGTCACTTCGCCGGGTAGAACATTGGTAGAATTGTTCAGCTCGTCGCTTTATTGAGATGCTTTTTTCTGATCTTTGTCTCTTCTTTTTTGGCAGAGCCATTAAGACGGGCGAGGCCGAGCAGCGCCCTTAAGGACAAATTCAAAGCTTTGAGGGATCTTAGTCATAAGATCTGGCCCGAGGTCGTGGAGAAACTTGAGAGAGAGAAGAGAGAGAGGAAGGAGAGGAAAGAAGGGAGAAGCAAGCCTGCTGTCCCGTGACTCCAGTATCCAGTAAGCATCTCACCTTTCTCTCATATTTGATTTTGTCGGGGATCACTTAGCATCACGTTTTATTTTGACGACGTCGTCGTTGCTTCGGAGCCGGTGCTGAAAAAGAAGTGGGTTGGATCCCCAAGATTAAGGGACTCTCCTTCTCCTTCTCTCCGGAGTTCTTCCATCGCGTCACGTACGAGGTGAGTTATCTGTTGGTCAGACGTTTGGGAATCTTGATGATCAATAATTTTTGGTGCTGAGTTTTGATGCTTTTCGCAGGGCTTCGGCGAAAGAGGACCTCGTCTTCTGCTCCGAAAAAGGTTCCGGGGGGAGTGGTCGAGCTCGAGTCTCCTCCTTCGGACCATGATGGTAATGTATCCCGTCGAGATGACAGTGCTTCTCGTCATGAGGACGACATGAGCACTCCGCCATGCGGTACTTTGCCAGTTCGGGAGGAGGAGTTCCTTACTTCTCGTGACGACGGTCCTTCGTTTAACCGAGGCGGTTTCTCGTCGTTCGGAGGCGCACAGTTCTACTCCTGACCCGAATCTCGATGCCAAGGACGACGGCGTGCTACCGAAGGCCGAACCTGAGGATTACAATCCTCATGCATTCAAGATGCGGTGGTATGGTGTCGTCCTCTCATGGAGGATCGGGACGCTTGTGGAGGGAAGACTTGGTCTTCCAAGGTTCATCCTACTTGGGGCATCCCACGCGAAGGTTTGGTGTTTAGAGATGATTTTGACGAGGCGGCTCAGCATCACGTTATGTCTGGCGGGAAGTTCACTGCGCTGATCCAGAAGTACGAAACGGCGCTTCGGGCGGCTAAGGATGAGGTCCTTCGGTTGCGGCAGGAGCAGGAGAAGGCCAAAGATGTCGATACGATGGTGGCCGATTTGAAAGCTGGACAACTTGCGCTCGAGGGAAGGTCGCGGCGCTGAACAAGGAGATCGTGAAGACTCTCGGACTTCAGGGTAGGCAGACCAGCTTAGAGTGGGCGATTTGGAAGAGAGGGCTCGTCGGGATGCAGAGGCTTCTGCTGCTGAGATGGAGCGTCTCCGACGGTCTCGTCGAGAATCGGTCGAGGCGGCTGTTACTCAGGTCTTCGACTCGGTGAATGACTGGTATGCTCCTCGCCTCCATCGCTTGTCGGATTCGTCGCGCAGCGGGACGTGGTTGAAGCCGCTGTGGGGAGGAGGCAAGTCGACGAAGCTCTCCTTGACTTTCGTGAAGAAGATCCGGGGAGTGGACCTGAACTTCGACGCGATGGAGGAGAAGCTCGCGGCCAAGCTGGCGAAGAGTATCGCGGATGGGGATGCGATTGACGAAGTTGTTATCGATGATGATGACTTCGCTCCGCCTAACAGGTAAGGTTTTTGCTTCTTCTTTTTTGTTATGTCGTGCTTTGCGTAACGTTATGTTTGCTTATGCGTTTCTTTTGCTTTTGTAGCCTTAAACGGCTGGTGCTGCCGGGATCTCCTTCTCGTCGAGACGGTGATGGTGCTATCCGGGTGCGGGACCCTCTACTTCTGGGGCCAAGTCTGCTTAGGCCCCATTTTCATTTGTTTTAAGACTTTTCTGGCTGCGGCCTTTTTGTTGACATTGCCTGGGAAGGTTTTCATCCGTATGCTTTAGGATTTGTGCTTCAGATTTATGCTAGATACTTAAAATGTTTTAAGTATGATTTTTTGCTTGCGTGTTCTGCTGGTCACGACTTTAGACATAATTGATTAGTTCGCAGCGCAACGAAAGTAATCCGGCTTTTGGTTATGTCTTTTAATAAAGGACGATGGTGTCGTCAACCGTATAAAATGAATTAAGTACTTGGTCGTCACCGAGTAGGAAATTCGATTATCGGGATGACTCGTTACCTTTAAGTGTATCACGACATGGTGCGCGTGATGGTGCTAATGCGTCATGACTAGACGCGATGCTTTCGAGTTTTGTCATGACTTCTCTATTCGCGACGAGCTCTAGAAACTCGATTTATGCTTCCGACTTCAAAGCTTCGTGCGGGTGACGAGGTAGCGGTTTTTCGCTCGTCCGACGAACTGAGAGCCGTGCGAGGTGCGTGCTCTCGGCTTAATGAATGGGTGATCAGTCCATGTTTTTAGGGTGCAAAGTGCAAGTGCTTATGAGTTTGCCTCAATAACTTTGGTTTGACGTCAAACGGGTGCGTGCGTGATGTCGACAAGTTTCTGCTTATGGATGAGGCGCGCTTGTCGAGAGAAAGGTCTTAATAAAATAAATTTTATTAAGTATTATAGCTGCGCCCTTAATGAAAAGGCTGCCTACGTACCCGTGCCGGGATCAAGCCATTCGTAGTTCGTTACAAATGTTCATGTCATGGACATGTCTTTTTTTTTTGGCTAGCGCGGTGCTTCGCGTCTAGTCATGGAACTTGCGCAGATCCGACGAGCTCCAGAGGCGATCGGACGTGATGCCTAGGTTGTCTTCTAGCTGATAGACTCCTGGTTTGACGACTTTCGCGATGCGGAATGGTCCTTCCCAGTCGGAAGCCGAATTTGCCGAGACCATAGATCGTATCATCATCGGTTTTGCAAAAGACGAGGTCGTCTAGTGCGAAACGGAGGTGTTGCTTTAGGAAGCGGCTGCCAGATCGTCGAAGCTGTCGATGGAGTCGGCCCAGAGGTTGCTGAACCATGTTAGGGCATCGCCGCGCAAGTGTTCGGCGAGGGCTTGGCAGAAGTGCGCGCTTTGTTCTTCCGGCGATGTATTCTGTCTTCTCATGGCTGTCATGAAGGACGTGATCCATTGCTTGGGATCGTCCGGCCGTCGTAGAAGTTTAGGTGCAGCGAGCGCGCTTCTTCAGTGGTACCTCGGATAGGCGGCTTGTCAGGGGGTTCTTCGAATATCGGCAATGATCTCGAATATCTCCTGATCGAGAATGAGCATTGCGGGGTGCATGGCGATCTGCCCTCGCATGATTCTCACATTCTCCCGATCTCGTCGTCGTAGACAGGAGTATCATCTCGGCAAGGGGACGATTCGTGATAGCATCTTGGTGCTTTATGTGCGGATTTTTCTGGGCGGAGGGATGATGACCTTTTCTTGTTTCGGGTTGAGCCGCAGATACGGGATATCTTCCTCGAGGCGAATGTAGTTTTCAGCGCGAAGGAAGACATCCTTCAGGGTATGGAAGGATCGAAGTAGAAGTCTCACGAAACTTAGACCGATACCAGAGCCCGTATTGGAGGGCTTGGATGAGCGCTGTTTCTGCGATCGGGGGCTCCCCCGGGGTCTCGTCAAGGTCGAGGAGCGTGCTTTTGAATCTGTCGAGATAGCTTCGCAGTGGCTCGTCCTCGAGTTGTTTCATTTTGAACAGATTGGAGAGCTCTTGGTGTTAAGGCTGGACCTTAAATCGGATTTCCAGGCGGGTTCGGCGTTCGCCTGTGGAAACGGTGGCGGTTTCTCCTAGCGTCGTGGTGACGCATCTAGTTGCGTTAAGTTCGTCGGTCTCGTCGTACAATATTGGCTCAGATTCTTCGCGAGGTCGTCGGTTTGAAGGCTCGGCTATCATAAAGGATGATGCGGAGCTTCCGCTCGCGAAGGAAGCATGATCGCGTCATTCTCTGATCCCAAAGCAAGGTGTAAATCCCGGACGGCGTCGGGAATTTCACGCACTGATGGAAAGTCGAGACGATGGCCTTCATCTCATGGAGCCAGGGGGTGCCGAGTATTGCGTTGTAGATGGCCGGTTTGTCCATGACAATCAACTTCAGGAGCTTCGAAATTCCGCCGACATAAGCGGGGAGCCGAACTGTTCAGCAACTATAGGTGTATTCGGCGGTGAAACCGGTGAGGGGACGGGATGCGGGTTTAATTACGCGACGGCTTTTCGCTCGTATTCCTTGATCGCAGATATGGAGTCGTCGTTATCCAGGAGGCCTCCCATGATCATGCTGACTTGTCGCTTCGGCGGTGGAGGCAGGTCGTCGTGGTCGTCACGATTCCTCTTCCCATGCGGAGCTTCCGGCTTTTCTGCATCCTTCCTTGGACGGGATTGTCGTCCGCGCTTCTCCTGTTGCCCGGGTTTTGGTGGTCTCGGCGGGAAGCTTTTTCCTTGGGACCTATTGCCGTCCATTGGTGGGACTTCTCCTCGATGGTACATGCGTATAAGGTTGCTGATAAGGTGTTTGCAGTTTTCGGTGGCGTGGCCAGTTCTCCCGTGGAACTTGCAGAAAGCCTTGGTGTCGTTGTCATCTCCGAGCGAGGTGATGTCCTGCGGCATCGAGACAGCCGCTGCGTGTTCTTGCTCGGACTCATCGTCGGCTGCTGCGAACGCTGCGAGGAGAGACCTCTTCGGATCGTGTCTTCTTTGTGCCTCCATGGGTTCTTGATGTACTTGCATTTGCATAGTTTTAGTACATCTTTTATGCATCTTTTGCATAGTTTTAGCATCCATTAGCATCATATCTTGTTCCTTTTCTCTTCTTATGCATTCATAGTAGTTTTAGGTTGCATTTGCATACATATGCATGTTTGGTCCTTTGAAATAGGTCTTTTGGAGCATTCTGGAGCATATGGGACAAGGAGCATGGAGGGACTTGGCACATGGACGCAGCTCAACTGGATACGCAAAGGAAGAAGGGAGAAGCCATCTTGAAGACCAGCTCGACCGTCTACTCGACCAACCGGTCGAGTTCCTCAACTCGACCGGCCAAGCTTCAACTCGATCGAGCTGAGAAGTCAACAGTCAAACCCGAAAAATGTTGCTTCCCCCTTGACTTTCCTTTGACCCTAAACCTAATCCTCTTGTATTTAAAGGCTAAAAGCCACGAAAAAACCACCAAGCTTTAGATTACTTTTGTTTTAGTTTCTTTTAATTTATTGTCTTTTACTTTTAGAGCTCTAATCCCATCTTTGTGTTCTTGAAGCTCTTGCTTCTTGAATCCTAGATCCTGGATAATCTCTTTGTATTTGCACTTGCTTATTTCAATAAAAGTTGTTTAATTTCATCTCCTCTTTCTTATGATGTCTCTTTTATTGCATTTGCTTGTGTTTACATTCATGTGTAGTGAGTAGTTACCCATTAGGGTTTGAGATGGGATAGATTAGAGGTTTCATATGCTTAATCCTTCTTGCTTATGGTCTTAATCTAGATTCTCTCTCTTTTGGATAATCTTAAGGCTACATGACCACTACCCCTGGCTTGTAAGTCCTTAGGCGATTCTCCACATGGAAGTGATGGAAATCGCTGGAAAAGGTCCACTAAGAGCTCCAATATCTCTTGCTCTAGAAATAGAGGTCTAAGGGGTTGGATGGATTAGTTTGGGCAATGATCCTATGGCCTCCAAGGCTTGATTCTCACTGGCTAACCCCCTGTTTCTGAGATCATCCTTGGTTGATAGCTTTCACCTTGGGAAAGGGTTAGCTAGGCATTGAGAAGCCCAATATCAAGAGAACCTTGATACAAGGAGTTTTAAGAGCAAGATTGATTAAGTATAGCCTTCCTCTGATTGCAAAACCCTGTCTTGAACCCTAATTCTCGCATTAGCTTGTTAAAGTCGCTGCCTTTAGCTTTTTACTTCAACTCGACCCTAAACTCGATCGAGCTCGGTACTCTGTTCCACTCGACTCGAGTCCTTGGTCGAGCTGTTGCTCTACTGCTTTATTTACTTATTGCATTTGCATTTCTGTTTCATTTAGGTTGTTAGTGTTACCAAATCTTTACTGCTTGCTTGACTTTCTGTTGTTTCATATTCTCATAGAGTGACAAGTTTCCCATTTTGGATTGATAACCTCTTTACTACATTGACTATGATGGTTAAGAGGAATTGTTGATTGTGTTTGCATCTTACCATCATCATATACCACTGTTTGCATTCCACCACTCATATCATATCACATCACACAAAATCCTATCATCAATTTGGCGCCGTTGCCGATTTGGGAATATTTTTGTTGCATTTGAGTTTCAAACACACTTGGACGATCAAGCTATACCACCCCTGTTCTATTGTACTGCTGGGTTTTTGTCTCTTTTTGCAGGTGTATGCGAACTCGATCGAGTCGGTCTACAGAGACTTGGTCGAGCTAGACTTACAACGGGTAGAAAGAGGGTTCAGAGGTCACAGAGGGTACAAGAGGAACCTGAGGTGCTTGTTGCTGATACAATGGACGTACCAGAGGGGAATGGAAACCCTTTGGGCAATGGACTCGGTCGAGCTAGGCAAACTCGACCGATTGGTCAAGGAGATGCTCCAAACCGCCACCAACAGAGACAAGGGATTGTTCCACCACCAGTGCAGAACCACAACTTTGAGATCAAGCTGGGAATGATCAACCTTGTCAGAACAAGATGTTCCATGGATTGCCAAGTGAAGACCCCATTGACCACCTTGATGAGTTTGATAGGCTTTGTGATTTGACAAAGATCAATGGTGTCTCTGAAGATGCCATCAAGCTGAGACTCTTTCCTATGTCTCTAGCTGACAAAGCTCACCAATGGGAGAAGAGCTTGCCCCATGGCACAATCACCACTTGGGATGAATGCAAGAAGGCCTTTCTTGCTAAGTTTTTCTCCACCGGTCGCACAGCCAAGCTTAAGGAGAGATATCCAGCTTCATAGCGAAACAATGAGACATTCGCAGAGCTTGGGAGAGGTTCAAAGGGCTACACAAGTCAGTGCCCACACCATGGATTCAACAATGAATCACTACTCTCCACTCTTTATAGAGGATGCTTGGCAAGGTATAGGGAGATGCTAGACACAGCCAGCAATGGGAACTTCCTCAACCAGGATGTGGATGATGGCTGGCAACTTGTGGAGAACATGGCCATATCAACAGAATGCTATGGAGACAATTATGATACAGACTGGAGCTCGACCGCACTCGATCGAGCGAGGCCCAGATGAGAAAAGACTTACAGCTCACTCTTCGAAGTTGGACAAACTGATCCTAGCCAATTCCCTGCCAAGCATGTCAACTCTATGTCTCTGAACAAACAGCTATCAAACAGGAAGGGGAGGAGCAACAACATACAAGCACTCCAAAAAGGAAAACCATCTATGGTCACACACCAGGCAAAGAATCAATCCACATCCAACCAGCAAGGGCACCTACCAAGTTTCCCACCAGGATTCCCACCAATGCCATACCCAACCAAGCCAAGATTGGGATATGAAGGATATGCTCCAACAACTCCTTCAAGGGCAAGCCAAAGGTTCACTGGAAATGAACCACAAGTTGCTGGAATAAACTCAAACTGGAGTCATTGACTTCAAGAGTGCAAACCATTGAGTCTTCTAGTGCATCATCCTCTTCACCAAGAGTATGCTCAAGCAGTTACACTGAGAAGTGGGCGACAATTTCCAAGTAGAGTAGCCCACCCCAAATCGCTGTGGACATCGATGACGAGGAAGGGGAGGATTTGGTCGAGTATGACGACATCCCGGCACCAAACTCGATCGAGCTGGAGAAACCGAGACTCAGAAGACAAACCAGAGCTCGATCGAGCTGAGAAGAGAACAGACAAAGCAAGCTCCAGCCAACCAGCTAAACCTGTTGCAAAGAAGAAAGACACTCCAGCAGGACCACCACCATACAAACCCCCTCTGCCCTTTCCAGGAAGGTTCAAGAAACAACTGTTGGAAGCACACAAGGCCAAGTTTGATGAACTAATGAGACAGCTTGAGCTGAAGTTGCCTTTCATCGACGCCTTGATGCTCATTCCACCTTATCAGAAATTTCTGAAGGATGCTGTTCAGCAAAGAACCAGGGAAGCACAAGGGATGGTAGTGTTGACTCGTGAGTGCAGTGCAATCATTCAGCGGAAGGTTATCTCCGACAAAAAGGAAGATCCGGGGAGTTTCACTTTACCCTGCATGTTGGGACCCCTATCTTTCAAAAACAGCCTCTGCGATCTAGGATCATCTGTCAGCCTCATGCCTTTGTCTGTAGCAAAGAGACTGGGATATCACAAGTATCAAGCCTGCGGAATCTCACTAGTCTTGGCAGATAGATCGATAAGGTTACCAACTGGAATGCTTGAAGACCTGCCTTTGAGGATAGGGAATGTAGAAATCCCCACCGACTTCATTGTGCTTGGAAATGGATGAGGAACCAACAGATCCATTGATACTAGGAAGGCCATTCCTAGCTACAGCAAGAGCAATGATAGATGTCTGTGAAGGAACAATTGAGCTGAACTTGGGAAAGGACCTAAGGATGAAGTTTGATATCAAGGATACAATGAGGAAACCAACTATAGAAGGTCAGCTCTTTTATGTTGAGGAAATGGATCAGTTGGCAGATGAGCTTTTAGAAGAGTTATCAACGGAGGATCCCTACAAGTTGCTTTGACCAAGGATTCTTCAGAAGGATATGTGAGCTCAGAAACTGATGAGTACAAGAAGCTCCTTGACACCTTCAGACCAGTTCCAAACATTCTGAGCATTGAGGGGTTGGACAGGCCAGTTTGCGAAGTCATGGCAGTGAGCTCGATCAAGAGCTCGATCGAGTCGGGTCTCGAACAAACAAACTCGATCGAGCTGGGGACTGAATGCAAGGAGCAAGCTCAAGGAGATTGGTCTGAGCTCAAGGCGCCTAAAGTCGACCTCAAACCTTTGCCTGAGGGCCTCAGGTATGCATTCTGGGTGAAAACTCAACTTACCCTGTCATTGTGAACTCTGATTTGGAACCTGAACAGTTGAGTGCTTTGCTTGTTGAATTGAGGAAGTACAGAAAGGCAATAGGTTACACTCTAGATGATATCAAGGGGATCTCCCCTGACCTATGCATCCATAGGATTCATCTAGAGGATGAAAGTAAGTCAAGCATTGAACCTCAGAGGAGATTGAACCCCAATCTAAAGGAAGTAGTGAAGAAAGAGATACTCAAGTTGCTTGATGCTGGGATAATCTATCCCATCAGTGATAGCACTTGGATATCTCCAGTTCATTGCGTCCCAAAGAAAGGGGGGATCACTGTCATTAAAAATGACAAAGAGGAGCTGATTCCCACTAGAACAATAGTGGGGCATCGCATGTGTATTGACTATAGGAAGTTAAATTCAGCATCTAGAAAGGATCATTTCCCTCTCCCTTTCATTGATCAGATGTTAGAAAGATTAGCAAACCATCCCTTTTATTGTTTTCTTGATGGCTACAGTGGTTTCTTCCAAATCCCGATCCACCCTAATGATCAGGAGAAGACCACTTTCACATGCCCTTATGGTACCTTTGCTTATCGAAGGATGCCATTTGGGCTGTGCAATGCCCAGCTACTTTCCAGAGATGCATGACCTCCATTTTTTCAGATCTGATAGAGGAGATGGTAGAAGTCTTCATGGACGATTTCTCAGTCTATGGAGCATCCTTCTCCTCATGTTTGTCTAACTTGTGCAGGGTGTTGCAGAGGTGTGAGGAGACAAACTAGTACTCAACTGGGAGAAGTGCCACTTCATGGTTCGAGAGGGATTGTGCTTGGACACAAGATTTCCGAGAAAGGGATCGAGCTCGATCGAGCTAAGGTGGATGTCATGTTGCAGCTTCCTGTTCCCAAGACTGTGAAGGACATCAGGAGTTTTCTGGGTCATGCAGGGTTCTACAGAAGATTCATCAAGGATTTCTCAAAGATAGCAAGACCCTTGACAAGACTTCTGTGCAAAGAGACAGATTTTGAGTTTGATGAAGAATGCCACAAGTCTTGGACCTTGCTGAAGGACGCTCTGGTGTCTGCCCCAATAGTTCAAGCTCCAAACTGGGATCACCCATTTGAGATTATGTGTGATGCATCTGACTATGCAGTAGGAGCAGTGCTTGGCCAAAAGATAGACAAGAAACTCAATGTCATCTACTATGCAAGCAAGACTATGGATGATGCTCAGTGCAAGTATGCAACCACAGAGAAGGAACTCCTTGCCATAGTCTTTGCCTTTGAGAAATTTCGAAGCTATATAGTTGGGTCCAAGGTGATTGTGCACACTGACCATGCTGCCCTTAGGCACATCTTCGCTAAGAAAGATACAAAGCCAAGACTTCTCAGATGGATCCTTTTGCTTCAAGAGTTTGACATAGAAGTTGTGGACAAAAAGGGAGTGGAAAATGGAGTTGCTGATCATCTCTGTAGGATGCGAGTTGAAGACATGATCCCCATCAATGATTCTATGCCTGAAGAACAGCTTATGGCAATCATGATCTTGAAGGAGAGTTTTGATGAGAAAGTCAGGCTGGAAGAAGTTAAGGCTCTGCGTGATGAGAATTTGCCATGGTATGCTGATATAGTGAACTTCATGGTGTCCGGAGAAGTCCCTAGTAGTTTTGATGCTTACAAGAGGAAGAAATTCTTCAAGGATGCTAGGCATTACTATTGGGATGAGCCTTACTTGTACAAGAGAGGACCAGACAGCATTTACAGGAGATGCATAGCTGAAGAGGATGTACAAGGAGTTCTAGAGCATTGCCATGGGTCAGCTTATGGAGGTCATTTTGCTACATTCAAAACAGCAACCAAGGTTCTGCAATCTGGTTTGTGGTGGCCTACCTTGTTTAAAGATGCAGCAAGCTTCATCACAAAGTGTGATCCATGCCAAAGGAAAGGAAGTATCACCAAGAGAGATGAAATGCCACTGAACCCGATTCTGGAAGTTGAGATCTTTGATGTATGGGGAATAGACTTCATGGGACCTTTCAAGCCTGCCTCAAACGGGCACAACTACATTCTAGTCGCTGTAGACTATGTGTCCAAATGGATTGAAGCCATCCCCTGCCCAGCCTGCGATGCTAAGGTTGTTATCAAACTGTTCAGAACCATCATCTTTCCAAGATATGGCATCCCAAGGGTTGTTATTTCGGATGGAGGTTCCCATTTCATCAACAAAGTGTTTGAGAAGTTGATGAAGAGTTATGGAGTCAAACACAAGGTCGCTACACCTTACCATCCTCAGACCAGTGGGCAAGTTGAGGTCTCCAATAGGCAGATAAAGGTCATTCTTGAGAAGACAGTGAGCTTTACTAGGAAGGATTGGTCAACAAGACTTGATGAAGCTCTTTGGGCCTATAGAACAGCTTACAAGACCCCCATTGGAAGGTCCCCTTTCAACTTACTGTATGGAAAGGATTGTCACTTACCTGTAGAGGTAGAGTACAAGGCGCTATGGGCAGTGAAGATGCTGAACTTTGATATAAAGGCTGCACAAGAGAGAAGACTAATGAACTTGTTTGAGTTGGAAGAAATCAGAATGAATGCCTATGAGAACTCCCTAATCTACAAGTTGAGAACAAAGGCAGCCCATGACAAACTGATCCGCCTTAAAGACTTCAAGGCTGGGGATAGTGTGCTTTTGTATAACTCCAAGCTAAGGTTGTTTCCCGGGAAGTTAAGGTCAAAATGGGCAGGACCATTCAAGATCCACGAAGTTTTGCCCTATGGATCCCTCACTCTGCTCAATCAAGAGGGGAAGGAGTTCACAGTGAATGGGCATAGATGCAAGCCGTATCTAGGAATGACCCCCACAGAGGAGATCATCACTCCTCTACAAGATCCAACCCCGGCTTAAAAGGGGTAAGGTCAAGCTAAGAGACCTAAAACAAGCTCACTTGGGAGAATTCCCATGTCTATCTTATATATTTATGCTTTACCATTTCACATTTTCTTGCATTTGTTTTTGTTTTTCTTGGTTTTGCCCTCTTGAATCTTTCACTAAATTTCTCTCACACAAGGGACTGTGTGATTTAAGTTTGGGGGAGGGTTCAAGAGATGATTTAACCTTGTTTTCTTTGTTCTTAGTTTTTCATTCATCTTTTGCATAGAAAAACCAAAAAAATCATAAAATTTTCAAAAAATCCAAAAATATTTTCATCTTTTTGCATTCATATTTGTTAGACTTGTTTAGGATTGCATCTTTCACTTGCATTGTTGATTTGACTTTGAAAACTTGTTCATCTTTTGCGATTTCTTGAGTGCCCTGTTTTTAGATTCTTTTGTGCATTAGGGTGAGATTGATTGAGCAACAAGAACCATGTTTATCTTGATCATATCACTGCATGCACATCTCATTCAACCATTGCTGTGATTTGATGCATTTCCCTATCTATTTGAACCATAACTTGATCTTTAATTACCAATGCTTGCATTTGATTTCAACTCATGGCTACCACATACATATCTGGACATTCTTTACCATTTTCATATCCCTTTGCTTGTCCAGATAGCTGATCTCTATCTTTGAGACAGTTACCACACCTTAAACCTAAGCCTTTTCATTTCAAACCCCATATTATCTCTTGTGCGAATGTGAGAACCTTTCTTGGCTTTGCTTAGCATAAGGTGTTGTGTTTAAACCGGCAGGGGCAGTAGTTCTAGTTGTCTAGTTCTCTTGGGATTGTTTTCAGGCTAAGTTTGGGGGTGCCAACTCGAGCTCGATCGAGTTGGGTGTAAAAACCAGAAAAGTGGTAAAAGTTGGGAAAATCCAAAGGAAAAAGAGTTTAGTTAAGTCCAGGGAGTTGGCAGTGTTAAAAAGGGTCTAGTAAAGGTTTGGGAAGTTAAAAAAGGAAGTAAAAAGGGTTCTAAGTAGAATGAAAAGAAGGCAAAGCCTCAAGTGTCAAAAAGAAAAGAAAAGTTCCCTAAGTGTTTAGAAAATCCCAAACCGCTAGATGTTACCTCAAGAAGCCTCTCCCTAGGAAGTTCTTAAAAGAAAAGTGAGCAAAGCTCCTCAGTTTCAAAGGCGAAATGCCAAAAAGGGTAGTTAGGATTTTGTTCTAAAAAGCTCTAAGTGTTGAACTCGATCGAGTTAGGATTAGACGGCTCGAGCTGCTGTTCTTGCATCATCTTTGGTTCTAACACTTAGCCTTCTGCCAAAGCAAAGCCACTTTCTTGAGAGATCCCTGTTACTAAACCACCATACAAAAGAGACCCTCTTTGTCTCTTAACCCATAAACCCTTGAAACCAAATGAGTTGATTGATCTTGCATGTTTTTGGTTCACTGTTTTTGCTTAATGAATGTTAAAGGGATTTGCTGATTTGAATGCATTGTTTGAGTGACTGTGAAGTGGGATTGATGTTGATAAGCATGGTTAAATCTTAATGAATATCTCTCACCTTGTTGCATTCTAGAATCTCTAAGTTGGACATTTAGCAAATCGCTTTTGAGGACATGTTTTTAAGTGTTGAATCAGCTATTTTCAAACCTCATCTCTTTCTTGTTCTATTTGTTTGCTTGAGGGCAAGCAAAGGTTCAAGTTTGGGGGTGTTGATGTACTTGCATTTTACATAGTTTTAGTACATCTTTTATGCATCTTTTGCATAGTTTTAGCATCCATTAGCATCATATCTTGTTCCTTTTCTCTTCTTATGCATTCATAGTAGTTTTAGGTTGCATTTGCATACATATGCATGTTTGGTCCTTTGAAATAGGTCTTTTGGAGCATTCTGGAGCATATGGGACGTAAGGAGCATGGAGGGACTTGGCACATGGACGCAGCTCAACTGGATACGCAAAGGAAGAAGGGAGAAGCCATCTTGAAGACCAGCTCGACCATCTACTCGACCAACCGGTCGAGTTCCTCAACTCGACCGGCCAAGCTTCAACTCGATCGAGCTGAGAAGTCAACAGTCAAACCCGAAAAATGTTGCTTCCCCCTTGACTTTCCTTTGACCCTAAACCTAATCCTCTTGTATTTAAAGGCTAAAAGCCACGAAAAAACCACCAAGCTTTAGATTACTTTTTGTTTTAGTTTCTTTTAATTTATTGTCTTTTACTTTTTAGAGCTCTAATCCCATCTTTGTGTTCTTGAAGCTCTTGCTTCTTGAATCCTAGATCCTGGATAATCTCTTTGTATTTGCACTTGCTTATTTCAATAAAAGTTGTTTAATTTCATCTCCTCTTTCTTATGATGTCTCTTTTATTGCATTTGCTTGTGTTTACATTCATGTGTAGTGAGTAGTTACCCATTAGGGTTTGAGATGGGATAGATTAGAGGTTTTATGCTTAATCCTTCTTGCTTATGGTCTTAATCTAGATCTCTCTCTTTTGGATAATCTTAAGGCTACATGACCACTACCCCTGGCTTGTAGTCCTTAGGCGATTCTCCACATGGAAGTGATGGAAATCGCTGGAAAAGGTCCACTAAGAGCTCCAATATCTCTTGCTCTAGAAATAGAGGTCTAAGGGGTTGGATGGATTAGTTTGGCAATGATCCTATGGCCTCCAAGGCTTGATTCTCACTGGCTAACCCCCTGTTTCTGAGATCATTCCTTGGTTGATAGCTTTCACCTTGGGAAAGGGTTAGCTAGGCATTGAGAAGCCAATATCAAGAGAAGCCTTGATACAAGGAGTTTTAAGAGCAAGATTGATTAAGTATAGCTTCCTCTGATTGCAAAACCCTGTCTTAGACCCTAATTCTCGCATTAGCTTGTTAAAGTCGCTGCCTTTAGCTTTTTACTTCAACTCGACCCTAAACTCGATCGAGCTGGTACTCTGTTCCACTCGACTCGAGTCCTTGGTCGAGCTGTTGCTCTACTGCTTTATTTACTTATTGCATTGCATTTCTGTTTCATTTAGGTTGTTAGTGTTACCAAATCTTTACTGCTTGCTTGACTTTCTTGTTGTTTCATATTCTCATAGAGTGACAAGTTTCCCATTTTGGATTGATAACCTCTTATACTACATGACTATGATGGTTAAGAGGAATTGATTGATTGTGATTGCACCATACCATTTCATCTTTATTCACCCTGTTTGCATTCCACCTCATTCATCACATATCATATCACATCCACGTAAAATCCTATCATCAGTTCTTCTCTGGGTTTTGACGAGGTTGCCCTCCTATCTCCATGCTTCTCGGCGTAGAAGCGTTGGTCTTCCTCGAGGAAGATGTAGTTTCGAGAACGGTGGAACGCGTCCTCCAGAGTCGCGAGGGGTTTTAGTGACAAATCCTCCTTAAACTTGGAGTCATACCAGAGGCCGTTGCGGAGTGCTTCCAGCGGGACGCTATCGGGCATGTCGCCAGTGTCACGGCTGCTTGTTTGAACCTTTCCATGAAGCTGCGCAAGGGTTCGCCTTGGGTTTGCGTCGTGGTGAACATGTTCCGAGTGATTCGGGTCATGTGCATGGAGTAGTGCTTTAGAAAAGCATTGGTTAGGTCGTCGAAGTTATCGATCGACTCGGTAGGGAGGTTAGAGAACCAGGTCAAGGCATCTTTCGCCATGTGCTCGACGAATACTTGACAGTAGTTGGCCTCTCTTTCATCGTAAGATTTGTATTTCTCCCTCCTCATGGCGAGGTTGAACGCGGTTAGCCACTTCTTGGGGTCTTCTTCGCCGGTGTAAGAGTCGATTTTGAGTCGAACTCTTTCGTTCAGTTCAATCTGGCGGAGCCTGCGGGTGAGCGGGCTTCTTCGGGTGTCGGCGAGTGCTTTCGTCAATTCCGGAGCTGAACTGGTGGCGCGATGAACTTTTGAATCGACCTCGTCGAGGACGATTCATCCGTTCGAGCTCTTGGGTGGTAAGTCGCCTGAAGTGCGCGGGACGGGTGTTGTTCCGTCAGCGGGATTGACGGATCTTCATCGTCTTCTCGTGCTAGGGCTTCCACCTGTTCCTGAGTCTTTTTCTGCTGTGCTCGCATTGACTCGAAACCGTCGGCGAGCGGCTTGACGAGATTCTCCATGAGTTTGAGGATCTTCTCACTCGAGGAGGATTTCTTCGAGCTGCGGGGTTTGTCGCTCGAGGAAGATTTTCTTGAGCGGCGTGGTGCGGACGGAGGGGGGCTCTCGTCCTTCTTGGCGGAGGGGATCGTTGCGGCGAAGTTGATCTTTGCGGCGGGATAGATCTTCGCGGCGAGACGGATCTCTGTGGCGAGACAGATTGGTTCCTTGTAGGGCAGGCTTGTCCCTGCCTTCAGCGGGTAGCGACTTGTCTATCGTGCTTGGTAGACTGTCGCTTAAGTTTTCTTCTGAGGGAGACGGGCTCCCGGTGGGAGTGTTCTCTTTCGAGTTCACCATCGTTGCTAGTTCGTGAAAATCTAGATATCTTCGAGATGAATAGCGAGAAGCGTTTCCAGCCCCACGGTGGGCGCCAATTGTTAGATCCGAGATAGCACTCGTCAAGACGGGCTATCAAAGATGTGAGTTTAGGAAACTGGAATGCTTAATTCGACTCTTAGATTATCAAGAAAGTTACAAGGAAGTAATCTCGCTAACAAGCCTAGCGAGATTATAGTGATGAACAAGAGGAGAGAGTAAAAGCGGGTGTAAAGGCCTAGTGATTCTAGATGATTTCGGATGCCCCTTTTCCCTAATGGGGGTCTTCAATATATAGTGTTGAATATCCTTCTTCGGGCGAGATGGAAAACTTCCTCTTTTGCGATATGGAAAACTTCCTCTTGTTCTTGATCTCCTTCCATTCTTTAAGTCGGCATGAAGATTTATTTACATTTCTCCATGGATTGTGCCTTCCTTCTCAAGTCTTGCCTTTTTCTTGAGGAAGTTAGGCCTAAAATTGGATTGGGCTTTGTGACTTTACTAATGATGACGGGCTCAGGGAAATGTGCTAATTTCTCCTCTAACACCCATCGTTCCTCTAACACCCATCGTTCTTCTAACACGATGTCGTTGACGAGGTAGTTTATGATCTCGTCCTGCCACAGTTGGGGTTCCTCCTCTGCCGATTCAGCGTGGATGGGGTCTTCTTCTTCTTCTTCTTCTTGGGAGATATCCATGACGAGCGTTCCCTTGGGGAGTTTGATCCTTGGTTGGTCGATGGTTTCGACCGGGATGACTCATCGTAGCGCTGATTCAGTTTTGGATGCTAAGGCGGCAAGTGCGTCGGCCTCGGAGTTCTCAGAGCGAGGGATCTTTGTCAGCACGAACGTTTTGAATGTGTGGGCGAGTTCCTGCGTTTGCTTGAGATACGCATCCATGTGATCGTCTTTCGCATCGTAGTCGCCGCTAAACTGCTTGGTGACGAGCTGGGAATCACATAATGCGTGCACATGTTCAGCTTCGACTTCCTTGGCGAGACGAAGGCCGGCAATGATTGCTTCATATTCAACTTCGTTGTTGGATGTTGGGAAGCCGAGCTTGAGTGATTGTTCGAGGACTTCACCGGTGGGAGAGACGAGGCGGATGCCGACGCCTGCTCCTTGCTTGGAGGATGATCCGTTGACATGTATTGTCAACTTGAGGATTTGCTAGTCCTCTCGAATTGCGAGTTCGGGTGGTATTTCCATGATAAAATCGGCCAACACTTGTGACTTGGCGCTGGTCCGACTTTTGAACTCGATATCGTATTTGGATAGCTCGATTGCCCAACTGGCCAATCTCCCGGATTGGTTAGGGCCATGAAGAATTTGGCGCACTGGTTGGCTAGTGAAGACGGTGATTGAGTGCGATTAGAAGTATGGTCTGAGCTTTTGTGCCGAGATGATTACAGCTAGTGCCAGCTTTTCCAAGGTTGGATACCGCGTCTCGGCATCGCTGAGGGTCTTGCTGACGTAGAAGACTGGCCTTCGCTCTTCTCGGTCTTTGCGGACGCGGACCCAGCTAACTGTCGTGCTAGATATGGCGATGTATAGGAATAGGGTTTCTCCCTCTTCAGGCTTCGCAAGAATTGGTGGGGTTGTGAGGTACTTCTTCAGTTGCCTGAACGCGTCTTCACATTTTTCGTCCCAAACTTCTTGTATGACCGAAGTAATTGGTAGAAGTGGAGACACTTATCGGTTGAGCGCGAGATGAACCTGTTTAGTGCAGCGATACGTCCGGTGAGTCTTTGGATCTCTTTGGAGGAAGTTGGTGAGGGGAGGTCGAGGATCGCCGAGCTCTGCTTTGGGTTTGCTTCAATTCCGCGTTGAGTGATAATGTAACCGAGGATTTCTCCGGAGGTGACGGCGAAGGTGCATTTCGCTGGATTTAGCTTCATTCCGTATTTCTCCAAGATTTGAAAACATTCGTCAAGGTGTTTGACGTGATCGTGGGCCTTAGCGGATTTTACCAGCATGTCGTCGATGTAGACTTTCATGTTGTTGCCGAGTTGGTCCGCGAACATTTTGTTCACTAACCGTTGGTAGGTAGCGCCGGCGTTCTTCAGGCCGAAGGGCATTACTTTGTAGTAGTATGTGCCACGATCAGTGATGAATGCCGTCTTTTCGCGATCGTCGGGGTGCATGAAGATCTGATTATACCCTGAGAAGGCATCCATAAAAGATAGCAGTTCATTCCCTGTTGTGGCTTTGACGAGACGATCGATATGCGGTAGGGGAAAACTATCTTTTGGGCATGCTTTATTCAGATCTGTGAAGTCGACGCACACTTTCCACTTCCCGTTCTTCTTTTTGACGACGACTGGGTTTGCTAGCCACTCGGGATACTTTACCTCGATGATCGATACGGCTCTGAGTAGCTTCTCCACTTCTTCGTTAACTGCTTGGGCTTTGTCTGTGCCGAGCTTGCGCCTTTTAGGCCTCATGGGTTTATAGGTGGGGTCCATGTTTAACTCGTGGTACGTGTTCGCTGGGTTGATCCCCTTCATGTCTGCCATTGACCATGCGAAAAGGTGAACGTTCAGTTTGAACAGTGTGATCAGTTGCTCTCTGATCTCGGGATCGAGGTCGCCGCCGATGCCGACGCGTCTCTCCGGGTGCGCTTCGTCGATATTGACTTCGTCGACGAGGACCAGTTTGGGCCTTTGGTGGTATGGTAGACGTGGATCCATTTCCTCGTTTGCGGTGCAGACTGCTGCAACGCGAAGCCGATGTTCATGGAGGAAACACGATCTTGCTATCTTTTGGTTTCCTCTCAGAGTGTAAATTCCTAATTGCGTTGGAAATTTTACGCATTGGTGGAAGGTTGAGACGATAGCTTTCATTTCGTGAAGCCATGGTGTGCCCAAGATGGCGTTGTAAATTGCTGGTCTATCAATGATGAAGAATTTGGCCGTCTTGGTTGTTTCCCCGACGTGGATGGGTAGGTGGATCGTGCCTTGACTGAAGATGTGTTCGGCGGTGAATCCGGTAAGCGGGTAGAGTGACTGCTTGATTTGATCTTCGCCGATTCCCATGCGGTCTAAGGTCTCTTTGAAGAACAGGTTCACCGAGCTTCCGGTATCGATCAAGATTCTTCCTACGTTGGAGTCGTGGATGTGTAGGCTAACCACGAGTGGATCGAGGTGGGGGTATCCAGTCACGCCGCATCCTGATCCGCGAAGAAGATTGTAGGAGTTTCTTCGTGGGTCGAGTTGCGATTAGGATCTTCTATCGTCGTGTGCCCACACTCCATGACTGTCGAGACGGAGTCGTTATTGGTAAGGTCACCTATTATCATGTTGACTTGCTGTCTTGATTGATCGTCGGGGCGGTCCGAGGCGTCGTCGGACGTATCTTCCGATGCTAGGGATCGCGACGACCTCCTTTTGTAGCGGGAGCGATCTCCTTTTACCGGTGGCAGTTCTCCGTGCTGATACATCTGTAGGAGGCTACGAGCAAAATGTTTGCAGTTTCTCGTGGGATGGTTATCGTCCCCGTGAAATTTTCAGAATGCTTTGATGTCGTTGTCATCTCCGAGTGGAGCAGCATCTTGCGGCGTAGAGATTGTTGCGGCATATTGTGATTCTTGCTCGGACTCGTCGTCGGCTGCTACGAACGCTGTGAGGAGTGATCTCTTGGGGTCGTGTCTCCTTTGTACCTCCACGGCTTCTTCTCTAGGTTTGGATGGGGCCGTCCTCCTATCTCCGTGCTTTTCGGCATAGAAGCTCTTATCTTCCTTGAGGAAGATGTAGCGATAAGTCATCCTTGAACTTGGATTCGTACCAGAGGCCGTTACGGAGTGCTTCCAGTAGGACGCTGTCGGGCATGTCGCCGGTGTCGCGAGCTTCTTGCTTGAACCTCTCCATAAAACTGCGTAGGGGTTCACCTTGGGCTTGCGTCGTGGTGAACATATTCTGCGTGACTCGGGTCATATGCATGGAGTAATGCTTTAGGAAAGCATTAGTTAAGCCGTCGAAGTTGTCGATCGACTCGGCGGGGAGGTTAGAGAACCAAGTCAAGGCATCTTTCGCCATGTGCTCGACGAATACCTAACAATAATTGGCTTCTTTCTCATCATAGGATTTGTATTTCTCCCTTGTCATGGCGAGATTGAACGCGCGGTCAGCCACTTCTTGGGATCCTCTTCCCCGGTGTAAGAGTCGATTTTGAGTCGGACTCTTTCATGCAAATCGATTTGGCGGAGTCTGCGAGTGAGTGGGCTCCTTCAGGTATCGGCGAGTGCTTTCGTCAACTCTGAGGCTGAGCTGGTAGCGCGATGGACCTTAGAATCGACCTCGTCGAGACGACGATTCATTCGTTCGAATTCTAGGGCCGCTCGTCGGCCGAAACGTGCGGAACGAGTTGCGGTCCTGTTGGTTGTTGCGGCAGCAGGATCCAACGGTTCTTCGTCGTCTTCTTGTGCCAAGGCTTCGACTTGTTCCTGAGTCTTCTTCTGCTGTGCTCGCATTGCCTCGAAGCCTTCAGCCAGTGGCTTGACGAGGTTCTCCATGAGCTTGTGGAACTTGTCGTTCGAAGAGGATCTCTTTGAGTTGAGGGGCTTGTCGCTCGAGGAAGATTTCTTCGAGCGGCGTGGTGCGGATGGAGGAGGGCTCTCGTCCCTTCTCGGTGATGGAGATCGTCGCGGCGAGGTGGATCGACTCCTTGGAGGGACAGATTTGTCCCTGTCTTCAGTGGGTAGTGACTTGTCTATCGTTGGTGGCAACGGATGGTCACTTGGGTTTCCTTCTGAGCGGGATGGACTCCCGGTAGGGGTGTTCTCTCTTGAGTTCACAATTGTTGCATCTTCGTAAAAATCTAGATACCTTCGAGATGAATAGCGAGAAGCCTTTCCAGCACTACGGTGGGCGGCAATTGTTAGATCTGAGATAGCACTCGTTAAGACGGGTTACCAAAGATGTGAGTTTAGGAAACTGGAAGTTTGATTTAACTCGAAGAATATCAGGAAGATTGCAAAAGATGTTATCTCACCAATAAGCTTGACGAGATGAACTATGATGAACATGAGGAAAACATAGAGGAAAGTCAAGAGGGCGCTAAGCCTACATTTCTTATGGGTAATTCTAGATGATCTTTTTTTATGCCTTTCCACGAAGGGTCTTCAATATATAGTGTTGATAGGTCGGTTCTTTGGCGAATATTTTCCTTCCGGCGAGATGGAAAACTTCCTCTTTTGCGATATGGAAAACTTCTTCTTCTTCTTGATTTTCTTCCATTCCTTGGGTCGGCGTGAGAGTTTGTTTATATATCCTCATAGATTATACCTTCCTCCTCGAATCCTGCCATTTTGTAGAGAAAATTAGGCCTACAGTCAGATTGGACTTCTTAATTTTATTAATAATGACAGGTTCAGAGAAATATGCTAACTTCTCCTCTAACACTAATAGTCATTTAATTGAGTTGTTTAATAATATATTTTGGCCAGATGTATAAGTGAAGTATTTGGTTTCAGGTGGTAAATCATTAATGAAGGAGAAGACTCACCACGTGAGTAGTGTGAGTACTAGCACGGACCCATTCACACCCGTCTTTCCAAAGACAAATCTATTTCCAGTTTCTCTTGCTTGCATATTGTTTCAACATTTCTTTTGTATGTGCATTCTCTCAGTTTGAGTTAGCTCATACGCTGAATTCCATCTTTCTTTCTTTTTTTTTTTTTTTTTTTTATGAATGGGAATAAAAATAGGTTATTTAGCTTATATTATTGTCGTTCATGCAGATTAATAACTCAAACATAAAACTCTCCTTTACCAACAGAGAAAAAAAAACGTTTTACACCCATATAAAAAATACCAACATCTGCCTGATACCATTATCGGAAAAACATTATCGGAAAAACATTATCCAATATATATATATATATATATATATATATATATATATATATATATATATTTGCCATCCTCTCTTAGTTTACTTAGATTATTGACGTAATTCATCAGACTATATAAAATATATAATCCTATTTCTATCTTAGATTTGGAAAATATCAGGTACCATTCCAGAAGAATAATTTGTATGGGGCACAAATAACTAAAAAAGTATAAATTATATATAAAAATATTATTTAAATTTACATATACCAATATTATACAAGTTTGAATCTAAAGACTAAATTATTAAATAAATTAGAAAATGATATACCACTGTTTACTTATTAACAAGTTTTAATAACATTTTTTAAATTAAAATGTAAATTTTAATATTTTATCGTATAAAAATATGATCTAAACATTTTTATTACAATATGACGAAAAAGAAAACTAGATTTCAAATTGGAATTAAAAAAGTAAAAATATATCATAGTGAAAATAACATATTTTATTTAATAAAAAGATGTAATCAAAAGCAAATAAAGAAAATACTTTTAATCCTAATTTTGAAAAAGATGAGAAATAGTTAATAGGAACACAGTCCAACACAAAAGACGTGCGAAGCAAAAAAATCAATGAAAAAAAAACAGAAAAAAAAATTGAATGGGATAACAACCTTTCACTTGAAGTCTGACATGGGGGCACACGTTGACATTTAGGCTACAAGAATCATATTGTCCAGTAAAATAATAGAGAAGTATTAATATTAGGGTGGGGCACGTGCCACACCCCTCGTCGCTGTAGATCCGCCACTGGGTACCAATGCATTCCAAGCACACAAATTCTCTAAAATTAACTTAGTCTGATTAAGTTTGACGTATATGATATAACAGCAACATTTCAGTATATATCTTCCAACCAATTAATACACTATATGAACTGCAGGCCACGGCTAATTAGGAGATCCTTTTCCGATACACCACTCATGGGCATCGATTTGAATGTGGAGGAGCTGGCGAAAGAAACTCCACAGCCTTGAAACTTTAAACGGTGGCATCTCGGGAAACCAATTTACAGTTCCCATTCTATGAAAATGGCGCAGCTCCTTCAAGGTATGGATCATCAGAGTCTCTCTCTGAAACTTGTTGCACGCAGTGATTGTTACTCCTTTTGTGACTCATTCTTACTCTTTGCTTACATCTGCAGCTTTCAGCTCTGTTTTGCGCGTTGAAGAAACATAAGATGTTAGACATACATAAAATATAGAAATTATGTGACTTATGGAGAAAAAAAAAAGTTTCACATAATACATCAATAGACTAATTCTCATCATAAAATCAATAGGAAGAATCGAGAAGAACGCATCTTAACAAATTTTGTTTTACAATAGTTGTGCTATCATGATTACCACACTACTTGCATTATACTTATGAGGAAAGTCCCATTTCTATATGATCTTACATATTAAAAGTTTCTGACATTTATACATCATTACATCAACCCATTAACGAATACCATGCGTGAAAAAAAAATCACACATAATCGTATTCCTAAAGCATATCACTTTCCAAATATTAACAACGGAACACATAAGGTACCATCAATGAACCGCTAAATCTAATATGCACAAAAAGATGCTAATTTCACCAAACTTATGAAGCTAAACGAAATTAAATAATTTTTAACTGCATCGATAACCTCTACAATGAGGTACACATGGGACACACATCGATAATTCTGAAATATCTTCTAATCAAACACCAAAAGAAACAGACGGTATGCAGTGATAATAACACCAGTATACATCAAAAGAGAGTAATGTCGTAAACAAAAACTAAACCAATATGGGAAACATAAGGAAAAAAATGTCCCTTTTTATGTCGTACTAAACTATTGTCATCCCTAATATATTAAAAGAGAAAACACTAACTAAATAACATTTGTCCAATATGTTATTAACAAGAGTGCCATTGCTTAGGTGTCACCAGCTGATTCACTCTTTAGGGCAATTTCTAATTAAGACAAGCTTTACTAGAAAAAATACAATATATGCCATTGCATTAATTTGGTTAGAGAATAATGTATATAATTTATTTATACATATTTCAGCATTTAATTATAAAGATATTATGATTATTTCCATATTTTATCAAATATATCAAATTAATTATTTTCTTAAATACTATATTTTTTTCTCTCATTTTTTAGTTAGACTAAATTTTATAAAAATAAATAAATTTATCTTATCACATTAACCATATATTAAAAAAAATATACATTTTTTACACAAACTATAATTTGAATTTTTAAAAACAGATATCATTTACTAAAATGATAAAAATAATTCTTGCATTTCTAACCCACAATTTGTGGTCAATGGCAAAAGTAACCTGCTGTTTTTTTCATTTTAGCTTTACCCTGTTTTGTCCAGATAATAACGAAAATGCCATTACTTTTATCTCGGTGGTCTACGAATGAGGTCTACGTTCGACCAGAAGACCAACAGAACCTCATCCTCTACACTTATTCACGAAACTGCCACTCTCATCAATGAACTCAACCACCATTTTCAACTAACTTCCAAGCTTTTAATGCTTGATACTATTAATTGTGATACTCCAAACATAATTGCACATCCCATACACTCTAACACTATCATTTTCTCCACATTTTCATCCCAAAAACTCTCTAATTCTACTTTTCATATTTCAAGTTCTTGATTTTCTCAAAATCGGGTTTGTGGCTTTCCTCACCACCGCCGAACGGTTGTGAAGGCTTAAAGACAAAGTTTCATCCCTCGGCGGCCCTAAAGACGACGGCCAGGTTGTGGTTTACTCCATTTTCGTTTTTTCAGATCTGAGTCGATATCGTAGATCTCAGGGTTAGGTCTATAGGTCAACGCAGAGGTTAGTTTTGCAATTGACTAAGACAAATCTGTGGAGTTAGACCGCGTAGAGAGTTCTAATAATCCCTTTGAAAACAAAAAAAATATCGTAAACCTCAAGCAGAGGTCTATTTTGAAAACAGGTTAGTTTTGCAATTGACCAAGGGAGGGCTTTTTTTTTTGAGGTCTACAGATGAGGTCTATTGGTCAAAGAGGTTAGTTTTGCAATTGACTGAAGTTCTGGTTTTTACCTTAGACCTCTTAATGTGGTCTATAACAACAAATTTTAAGCTGACGTCTACGCCAGAGGTCTACATAGGTTTTAGATCTCAGTCTTAGGTCTACCTTAAAAAGTTGGTCAACGCAAAATAATAGGAGGTCTACGATAGTGGTCTACAGGTGGAAAAAAATTTCAAACAATTGCAAAAGTAACCTGTCTGAGGTCTACAGATTTCGTAGACCTCCCCAGTAGACCGTATAATTTTGCTAGACTACAGGTTGAGGTCTATTTTGTTCGTGAGGTCTACCCAAATTTTTTGGATGAATTGCAAAACTAACCTCTTTTTTTGTAGACCGCATTTGTAGATCTCAAAAAAGTCTTCCCTTGGTCAATTGCAAAACTAACCTTTTTTAGACCTCTTTCTAGGTTTACGTCTACGATCTAGTTTGGAGGTCTACATTTTTTCCGTTTTTTAAAATCGATTTTCTGCGAAATTTATAATTGTTTTTGTTAATTTTTTTCATAAATACTTCTGTTAGCCTAATAACTTGTCCCTATGAGAGTTTTGCATGCTAATGTTATGTAATGAAGGTTGTATTAGATTTTTGGTTAAATTTGGTAACTTGGTTAAACTCTGTAGACCGCAGCCGTGTGTGGAGGTCTACGTTTCCGTCTACAGGGCATCCATCAATATATATTAATGTGTTTTCCCTTTGGTTTTCATGCAGATCATGGTTTGTTTGGCATCCGTGTATGGAGCGTGGACTATCAGAGACAGAAAATGGTATTTTGAGGTTGATAAAACGAGAGGAGGTAGAATGTTCTACCTGCAGGATGATTGTAAACATGAAGAGCTGGTTGAAATGGTTGTGAACGACTACATGTTGCAAGTTAATGGCGAGCTGCTGGAGTTGTCATATCCATTACCAGCTGCTATGATGGAGAAATTGCCAACGGATTCACCTCCTATGTATGTGACGAACGACAGACAAGTTGGGAGCTTGGTGGAGTTATGTAAGGAGCATGTGGTCCGTCTTTGCGTCTCGACCCGCGTTGGTATGGGAAGGAACTACAACGAACCAATACATGAGTGTGTCCAAGAAGAAAAGTCTGAAGAGGTGGATAAAGAACACGTGGAAGAAGAATTCGGTGATGAAGGCTGGGATGATAACGACTCTGATGATGTAAACTGGAATGACAAAGCATGGGATGTAAATTCAGAAGATGAATCTGATGATACTCATGACAATGATAGTGCTGATGATGTCGACAACCCCGACGATATCGATGCAGATTATAGTAAGTATGGCAAGGTGAAAGATGAGGAAGAGGGTGAAGAGAGTTTGTCTTTCCGTGAAAGGCTCCGTAGAGGTGTTTGGAATGGTGGAAATGGAGGGTTCACAGGCACTTGGTGTGACACTATTCTGGTAAATCACAGCTATGCCTCTAAAGAAGCCCTTCTTTCTGAGTTGCGACTGACGGCTGTGATGGCAAGATTCGCATTTAAAGTCTACAAGTCCACTACGGATTGTTTGTGGCAAAATGTGTTGTCAATGGATGTGCATGGAAGTTGAGAGCAGCTGTGAAGAATGAACCGGATTGCTTCTGGGTTACCAAGTACGTAAAGGGTCACACTTGTTCAATTATGGACCGTGTAGCTCACCGTAGACGAGCTACTCCAAGATATATTGGACAATTGTTTGTGGAGCGGACTGGACTCATAGATGGAATTGTCCCTCGACAAATTGCAGATTCGATGAGGATCATGTTTGGCCTGAATCTTACCTATACAACGTCATACCGGGCTCTCAAATTCGCTCAAGTATTTGTCAGGGGAACTCCAGAAGATGGATATGCTAACCTTCCTTCCTACCTTAGAAGACTGAAGCAAGCAAACCCTGGCACTATAACACACCTGCTCTGTGATGAAGAAGATCGCTTCAAGTACTGTTTTGTGGCGTTAGCGGCTTCAACAGCGGGATTTCAGTACTTGAAGAGGGTTATTGTGGTTGATGGAACACACCTTACTGGGAAATACGGAGGCACATTACTCGTGGCATGTGGACAAGATGCAAACTTTCAAGTATTTCCTCTAGCATATGGTGTTGTTGATGCGGAGACTAATGAGTCTTGGGGATGGTTTTTTGATAAATTACAGACTTGTTTCTCACCACATCCGATGGTCATTGTTTCAGACAGAGCATTGTCCATTGAAAATGCTTGTGTGAATGTGCTTCCATGGGTCACTAGAGGAATATGCTACTACCATCTTCAGCAAAATATTATCAAGACATATGGTGGTAAGGAGCTTATGTATCTGGTTAAAGGAGCTGCTTATGCCCACACTCTAGCTGAATATAATCGGTGCATGGACTCACTAAGAGCTGCGCACCCAGACCTCGCAGCATACATGGAGTTGGCCGACCCTAAGCTTTGGTCTAGAGTACATTTTCCCGGTGATAGGTACAACATCAAGACGAGCAACATTGCTGAATCTATCAACTCGGCTATTAAAAAGGCAAAGGGTTTTCCCATACCCTCTCTACTCCAGTTTATTAGAGAGATGTTAGGGCGGTGGTTCTACAAAAGGCGTGAAGATGCTTTAAGTCTGCAGACACCATACAGCAAGGGAGTTGAGTATATACTGGCCATCCGTGAACATTACGCTCAGTCAATGGATGTTCAGCGGATAGATGCAACTAGTTTCCATGTTGCTTCTGGACGTTCGCACTTCGTAGTTGATCTAGAACAGGGTAAATGTGAGTGTGGAGTGTTCCAAGTCGAGAAAATGCCCTGTACACATGTCCTTGCAGCGCTTGCCTCAGCTGGTGTGCACGTCTCACACCATACATGTGACACATACTCGCAGGAATGCTTGTATGCGACCTACGCCCATCCTATATATCCTGAGGAGGAAATTGACAACCACAAGAAGAAGAGCGAGCGGTGCCGACCTCCAAAACCGAAGGATGGGCCTGGTCGTAAGAAGAAATCAAGATGGCAGTCGTGGCTGGAAATTTCTAGGAAGTCTAAGAAGAAAGGCAAGAGTCGAAGGAAGAAGCCCAAAGTTTACAGCTGCTCCAAATGCAAGCAACCAGGACATACGCGCCCGTATTGTGTAAGCTTCGTGCGTCCCGCATTCCATTAGTTTTCATTACACAACCTCTGTAATTTGTTTGCTCTTCACTAGGTGTCCAAGCCTGCTGAGAAATAACTCGGCGGTCTACGAGCGGTCTCGGCGGTCTACGAGCGGTCTTCGGAGGTCTACGAGGCGTTCACGGAACTTCTATGGAGGTCTACGAGGCTTTAACGGAACTTCACTGGAGGTTTACGAGCTACTAGACGTTATCTCGCGATCTACTTATACATTCGTGGAGGTCTACGAGATGTTCACTGCGGTCTAATATTGCTTTCGTACTATTTGATCATTATTATTGTTTAATACTAAGTGATGATTTCCTTGTTCTCGGGGCTCTAATACTAAAGACGGATTTCATTTCATTGCTTACTGCGAGTCCGAATAGATACATCCGAAATAGTTACAAAATAGTTATACAAAAGGTGAGATCAATGTTGTCAAGAGGGGCCAAAAAAAATATAAACCCTCCCTTTCACCGTTAGTAGAGGGGCACAATAAAATTAACCCACCCTGAAGCCGTTACTAAAGTTAGATCAGCATCTCCCGTCGAAAGGATCAAGACCGTCCCAGTCACGGATCCTCGGTCCCTTGCAATCGGTCTCCTTGAAAATGTCACAAGCATACCTACTCCGAATTGCCTTGATGTTCTTGTTGCACAGTGAAGAGGCTGAAAAAGCGTTTCCAGTTGCGTGACACTCGATGTATTTCAGACAGTAGACACCGCAATCCCCGGGACCCTTTTGCTCCGGCACACCAGCAATACGTTCGTGAGTAAATTTATCGAACGGATAGTTGTCACGTTCTTCCACAGTGCCATCTCGCGTAACATGTACGCCATCATCACAGCCACGGGTTCCACCTCGTCTCCAGTTCTTCATCGTCCATACGGCAGGGATAACTATCCCAGATCGTGATGTGCCTCTTCGGTAAGGAGATGAATAGAGCAACCCAGTGGTTCTTCCCAATGTTAAACGGGAGATATATCGTCAATGTCCCTGCACCATCGTTTATTCGTCTGGCAGAATTCTGGTTTCGTGCCTTGGAAGTAGTCAAGTGAGTCAGGTGGGAGGTACTTCCCAAGTCCAAAGACATTAGGCTCAGACTTCTTGAAATCGTCATACTTTGCCGTCCAAAACAGACTAAGACCACTATCGATGAGACAAGCCGGTCACTTCTAAAGCTGTGCGGTTGTTCTTTCATTCTGAGCCGCAGCAGATTGATGACCGCGTCCATGTGCTGATGAAAAGAAAAAGATTGAATATTGCATTACAATTACACTAAACCTCAATATGCGGTCTACAAAAGAGAATTATGACAGAGGTCTACATCGAGGTCTAAACATAGACCTCTCTAAATGGTGTACTAATGCTTACCGAGTCCGATAGCCATTGCGGCTGCGTAATGAGTTCCCACCACCAATACCACACGGGAAACTTATCCTTGTCAAGCTTTGGATACCCACTAAAGCAAAAGTGTGTAATTAGTATACTAATCACAATAATCGGAATTATAAAGAAGTTTTCCAGAGGGTTACTTACGCTGTAGACTTCAGGAACGCCGTTAGTTCCTTCCGAACATTCTTGTCTTCGGGCAGATACGGATTGTAGACCGCTAAGCGCTGCTTCTTGTTACGTATGAGCTCCTTAACCGTAACGTTTCCCACGAACGGAGACTTTTGAGATGGGGCCAGTTTCCTTTCCCTCTGATCCTTAGCCCTGATACTCATTAGTTTCGCGTTGAACTTTCGCTGATTCTTCCTGATGTCTGCTAGGCATTCTTCTTTGCTTGGCACATAGGTCTTAACATATGCAACGCTGCTGTCGTCACCGGTTAGCACTGTTTGATGGACCGGCGTTTTGGTTCTGCATTTGAGGACAATTTGAGTTTGAAAAACAATTCAGACCACAACAAATAGGCACAAACACTCTCGGAACATTTATTGTAAGTCAAGTAAACAGGTTCATTAAAATTACACACATGATTTGCAAGGAAAGAAAAACGTGACAAGTTTATGTTTATAGATTGAAAAAAACAACGGATTGGGCTCTACTTGGTCTTCAATTTTCTAGGTCGAAGGACCCTATCCTGGTCAGGCTTAACTTGCACTTTACGCTTATCTTGCACTTTAGAAGAGTTGGGAGATTTGGGAGAGGGATCAGTACTAACCGGTTGAGCAGTTTTAGCTTCTTTGGCGCCGGTCACATCTTCTTTGGCGCCGGTCTCATCTTCTTTGGCGCCGGTTTCATCTTTTTTGGGAGAGGGATCGTCGGATCTACGCTGCTCCTGAAGCCTTACATCCATCAGCTGCTTCACACTACGCTCCAGACCAGCAACTGTCGAGGTAAGTGCAGCTAGTTGCCGGTCATACTTCTGGAACCCTGCCTTCAGATCAGCAGACAAGGTCCGGGTGCAGTCAGAAATCAACCTCTGCATCGTCTCCTCGATATCATCATAGTTCGATGGAGGAGTAGGACGAGGTCTCTTCTTCGAATCTGTGAAACTAGCCTCCACTTTTATTGGAGGCTTCACGTCCACTCGCGGGTGATTGGAGACCAAGACACCTTCCTCGTCCCAGTCGCTTGGCTTCCACCTCCACCGACCACCTAACTCCCCGTAGATTGCCTTGATGATGTTGTCGACGTACAAATCTTCTACATCATCATCCCAGCGTGGATAAACTTCTTCCCTATCGACTAGCTCACAGTTTTTAAAAACAACCTGCAAAAACAAAACAAAATGAGTCCAGGTCTATCTACTAACTACTACTTGCCAGCAATTACTCGATTCTCAGATTTATGTTTACCTGCTTCAGCATTGCCTCCGCGATGTACCTTTTGCCTTGAATACCCTTGTACGCAAGGAGCGGTGGTGATGGTTTAGATGGCAGAGGAGCACCGTATTTCTCTGCAAAATTCGGCATGCTCTCAAAAGCCCAAATTTGGAGAACCTCGATGAAACCCTCCAGCACATAACCCGACTTCTCCAAATCCACTCCTTTAATGGACTTGATGAGCTGCAAGAAACAAACTCGGCCCCACGGGTATTCCTCAAACTTCTCCAAATCCAACACAAGCCTAGCTAGCTTGACAGGTGTCTCGGCAGCGGATCTACGGGCTGAATGAAGCCTGCGTATATGGCTAGGTAGCCCAATCTAAGCTTATCCTCCCTTGGCCACTCGCCTGCCCACTCACAAGCTTCAGCCAGCTGGTCAATGCTAGGCCCTACCTCGACGTTGACACCCAACCTCTCCCAGAACTCGCACACGGCATCCGTTGCTGGAGCATCAGGTGTCTCTAGGTTCTCAACATACTCGCAGTTGAGGCCGGTGATGGCTGAGAACTCGTGCAATGAGAATCTTATCGGATTTGCCCCCACAGCGCTCCATATCTCATACTTCTTCTTGCATACAACCTGGAAACAGAGCATGGCATGCGCAATCCGTGAAGCCCACTCGAATTGAAGGTCACGGAACTTTAGGAAGATACCAATCCTGGAGTCACTGATTTCATTCCATTCGTCGTCGGTGAGGAGCTTTCGGAGACTATCAAGAGCTTGGTGTTCTTGCTACACCTGGAAATGCTTTTCCCTGCGTCCGGATCGCCTCCTTTGGTGTAGAATCTCCTGGGGAATGTCGGCTTTGACATCCTACAAAAAGATTATAAAGCTATTAAGTTGAGGTCTACCAAGGAGGTCTAAGCTCGAGGTCTACATTTACTTATCAACTACAGTCTAAGTATGATGGCTATGACTGAGGGCTATCACTGAGGGCTACGACAGCGGTCTACGATACAACATTAAAAAACGGTTTTAAGATACCTGTTGTTCGCGAAATCCCAACGCCTAACGCCAACGAAGATCTGGAAACCTGATACAGTTTTTTAAACAGAAGGAGTATTACCATATCGAGTTTCGTAATAATAGCAATTTTTCAATCAAAATTACCCGTGAAATCAATGTCGGAAACGAGACTTACGGGGTGAAGTATTAAGGATTAGACCGCGGCGGAGTAAGGAGTAAGGATTACGGATTAAACCACCACATGCAAAGGCCAAAGAACTCTCAGTGGGAAATAAACTTAAAGTAGTTAGAATTTCACTAGAATGAAGAACTTACCGGCGGCAGCGGGTTGTGTAAGCGGCGGAGACAGCGGGTTGTGTAATCGGCGGAGACAGCGGGTTGTGTAATCGGCGGAGACGCGGTTGTGTATTCGGCGGAGACAACGAAATCGCCTCTAGCGGAGAGCGAAAGGTCAGACACAGATTAGGGTTACGAATGAGGCTTACCACAGCGGTTTTCCGTATATATATGTCGGTTAAATGGTTTAACTTGGTTTTCTTCGGTTCGAATTAACTGAATCGGTTTAACTATACTCGACTAATTTTTCCATTCGATTTGGGTTTATCTTTTCTGATTTCTTAGTGTTTACGGTTAAATTACGGTTTCCTCTTTTCATATAACTTTATTCCCAACTTTATAGTCCTAACGGTTAAATTAGTGTTTAGAGGTCTCAATCACAGTGTATACGTTTGAGGTCTACGTTTGAGGTCTTCTGAGGTTTACGTATGAGGTCTATTTGGAGGTCTACGTAAGAGGTCTCTGATTAGGAATACGATGATTTGCAATACGCACAACCAAATTAAGTGTTTGAATAGCTACATTCATCAACCAAACACAACATAGCTACATTCAACAACCAAACACAAAGTAGCTAATGAGACAGACAAGCACGGCAATTACAGTAACCGCCGTCGTCACCTCGACTCTTCTTAAACGCTTCATCTTCAGAACTTGGTTCTTCACATCAGTTAACTCTGCCTCAGTCCGAAGCAAGGTTTCGCGTTCTTCAGATTCAGGTTGGCGAAAGCCAAAACGAGGGTTGTCGACGGCCCATTTGAGTTGTAGAAACTCCTCCATCATAGCCTCGTCCCACCATTTCATAAGATGTGGGAAACCAAGCTACAATGATGAAAAAACGAATCTCTTCAATATTTTTGGTAAAACAAAGCCACTAAGATGTCGAAAACTATTTACAGTTAACATTACCTTATAATTCTTGCATCCAAAAAACATCCGCCCTGGATGCTCGTCCGTATGGTCCATCATTTTCAGCGGAGTTAACAAACCGCAGTAGCATCTGCTCGGTATTCCATAGCTTATATCTCGACTGGTATGAGAACTCACATCTTCTTCGTCCTTACTGACTACCCTAGCAGAGCTTCGAGTAGCCAGCTGGTCAGAGCTACTCGAACCCTCCGTTAACCAGCTAAAGCGCCCCATTCCTGTGTACGATGAGAAGATATCAGTTATTTTAAAAAACAGTAATTATTCAATGACCAGATCTCACCCACAAAATGAAATAGAAGCAAACCTAACCAATACGATCGCCGGAACACTTGATACTGTCGACGGCGGCAAAGAAGACGGATGAGAACAGCGGCCGGAGGATGAGCGGCGGAAGGATGAGCGGCGGAAGCCAAATAATTTATTTCTAGAAAATTAAAATTAGGGTTTACATCTCTATTTATACACCCGAGGGAGCTGCGGTCTAGTACTGCGGTCTAAGAATTTGAAATTTTGGTTCGCGCTCATAATTCCCGCTCGGTTCCTTTTAAAATTTTGAAATTCCCGCATTTGTTTGTTTTCGCGGTCTACAACTGAGGTCTACATAACCCTAAACCACAAATTTTATAAAAAACATGAACCAAATATCAAATTTTGTTTGCCATTTACAATATTTATGGTTTGGATAACAAAACAATTAAATATAGAAAAAAAACCAACCAAAAACAAAAATACAAATTGAAACTATCTAAACCCTAAGAATTGGACAACTAAACCCTAAACTATCTATCCAAACTCTTATCAATTTGAAACATTTACTCATGACATTTATAGACTGATTCATTTTTCGTATAATTTATTTTCAATAGATGTCAAATGTATAAGAATTAATTATGCATACAAGTTTTTTATCAAATTATTTTTTATCAATTTTAAAAATTATTTTTAAGATTTCATTTTCCTGTAGACCTCGTTGTTAGACCTCTCACGGTTTTGCAAGTTTCTAACCTAATTTGTTTTTGTCAACCTAAATTCACTTATTAACATGTATGTTTATTTTATATGGACTCTAATTGTCTTTGTCTTGTTTATGAATACAAATTTTTCATCTAAATATTTTCTATTTATTTTATAAATTAAAAGTTTCATTTAATTAAACCGTAGACCTCATCCGTAGACCTCTTACGTTTTTACAGCTTTCCAAACTAATTTGCCTATGTTAGTTTAATTTGACTCATTTGTATGCAATTATAATTTTCCAAGATGCAAATTACTATTTATGATTTATGTATGCAAATGGTTTCATCAAAATGTTTTTTTTGTTTTTCCCAATTAAAATATAAAATTAAAATACAAGGTAGACCGACTATAAAAGTCTATATGTAGACAGCAAGCGTAGACCTACGCTCCGGGTTAATTTGGTAATCGCGGCAAATTTTTTTTGTTTGTTCATGAGGGTGACCTTTGTAATTTCGCTACCCAAACAGGTTAGTTTTGCAATACTTTCAAGTTTCGGGTTATGGTTATAGAAAAAAAGCAAATTTCGGGTTATATGTGGAAATTCTCCCTATAAAATTTATATTATTATAACTATTTCACATTGAAAAATTTGAAAATATTTATATCAAGATAGTAAAATATTTGAAATAGTTTAAATTTGTTAAAAAGTTAAAATATTTTCTATCACCAATTTGAATAGTATAAAATTTCAACTTATCTTATGAAATATATGAAGTACAATTTTTTTTTCAAGAATAATGTTTTATATTCAGTTTTTTGTTTTTTGAATTATCTTAGTCATTTAGGTTTTATGTATATTACTTGAATTTATCATATTTAATCTGTAGTCAATATTTTAATTTTTTACCTTTTAAAAAAATGGTTGAATATGCTTAATTTCTACACTATGAACAAAGATAAGAACCCAAAAATTCCGTCGCAAAAAAAATTTTGAGATAATTAAATATATTTGTGTAATAAAATATAATTACATTTTTAATTAAATACATATGCTTTTATAAAAAAAAAAAATTAAAATCGTTACCCCATGCAGGACGCAGGTCCAGTTCAATTCAAAGAATCACTTAGTTTGTTAAACATGTTTTCCTTAAGCTCCATTGCTGACCTGAAACGTGTATTTTTTTAATGTCATTCAACCTGTTTTATCATACGTCTATGGTTAAGTTTTATTTCCGATCCTTTCAACCTCTCGAAAAACTCATATACGATGATTAATTCTAAATTCGCTCTAACAAAAGACATGTTATAAAATATGCCGTGAAAATACACATTTATGAAAACAGTAAATTATTAGTAACAAAACATTAGACCAAAAAATTTCACCCTGCACTGGGTGAGGGTCAAAATCTAGTCCCCATTAAAAGAAAAACAATTGATTTGAACAAACAACAAAAGATTCAGAGAAGCCTAACGCTCTTCACATTTTAAGCAAAAGATTCTTAAGTAAATTAAATCAATCATCATCAAAATCATATGGAGCAAATATTTAGTGCTAAACTCAATTACTCAAACTAATATTCTTAGATAAGATATAGAAAAAAAAAACAAAAGCAGTTTTCATCGCACGATATAAGAGTTTGCATTGTGATACTTTTTGTTTTTTTATAATTTTTATCCATTAATTTTTTCCATGTTAAGGTTTTAACGAGCTACATGCAACTATAATATATTATTCAATGCTTATCCTCTCCATTACTTTGTCCCCAAGTTTCAACGACCGCCTATGTTGCATTATTTTATTTTATTTTCCTACCTATAAATATATAAGAGATGTATGTGACAATCATCTCATTTCCCTTTACTTTATACGTGAATAGAAAGAGCCTCTCATTTCTTTCTCTAGCTTCCATCTTTCTCTTTGGCCCCACATAAATCTCTTTATATTATACTTGTTCATTTCAAATTAGTTGTCATTTTGAGAAAATGTATCTGCAATTTGGATGTATTTTTCAGTTTAATACATCAAGATAACTACAGATACATTTTCCTAAAACAATAACGAATTTAAAACGGAATGAATATTGTTTCATAACAACTTAATCTTAATGTAAAATTAAAGTTGGAATCAAGCTCCCGAACAAGTATTTTGTTGTTATTTGTTGTTAACGTGCAAGAACCCACGGGCGGAGCTAGAAATATTTTTAAAAGGTCAAAATAAAATAAATAAAAAACTAAAAATATAGTTTTTTTGTTTCCGTCAGCTAAAAATATAGTTTATAAACTGCCAAATGAACAAAAAAAAAATTGTATCAAAATTAATAAAAAAAAAACTAAAAAATATAGTTTATAAACTTCTAAATAAAGCTAAAAAGGCAAAACCGCTGAAAAAATACAGTGCAAGAACCCACGGGCGGAGCTAGAAATATTTTTAAAAGGTCAAAATAAAATAAATAAAAAACTAAAAATATAGTTTTTTTGTTTCCGTCAGCTAAAAATATAGTTTATAAACTGCCAAATGAACAAAAAAAAAATTGTATCAAAATTAATAAAAAAAAAACTAAAAAATATAGTTTATAAACTTCTAAATAAAGCTAAAAAGGCAAAACCGCTGAAAAAATAAGAAAATGCTTACCTTGAAATTGGAATTTTCTCTTCTATGAGAGAGAAAAACGAAAAGGAATTTTAATAGTTTTGTTTTGTGCTTTTGTTTTTTTGTTTTCTATATTTACAGCACTAGAATTAGGTGATTTTAGATTGAAACTTAATTTTAGTATAAGCCCAGCGTAAGCCCAACTAGTTTTCATGATTTTTTTTGTTTAAGATTTTAGATTAAATAGGTTTTTGACCCGCCCACGGGCGGGTCTGTTCTAATGAAATTAAAGTGTTATATTAAATTATTTTTTTTACAAACACTTCACATTTTTTTATTTTTTGCTATTTTTTTATAAACTTTTCTTTGTAATATACTTTTTAATTATTTAAACTTTTCTTTTTCATATTCTGTTTAATTAACAACCGCGTTTCCGATTCCCGGTTCCATTGTTTTGGTTTGTTACAGTTCAGTTTTGCTATCACATTGAAATTAGAAATGATTCGTTGTCTTTCTTCATTGACCGACAACAAAATCGAACAATGTTTCTACCTTATTCCCACCGGAACATTGTTAATCTCATCATTGAGATCCCTCTTCTTTGTTTCTCATCTTGGATATTTGCCTTAATTCCTCTGAGCGATTGAGACATGTCAAAACTAATTAGATCAATTGATTGATGGAACAGTTTCTGCTTTAATCCCTCTTCCGAGACTTTATTTCTCTGTTTCTTCTAGTGATTCTCTCAAGCTAATCACTTCGTGAAAGGTTTGAATTTTCCTTATTTTGAAGCCAGTTTTGTTGATGTTGAGATTATGTGTTTAGCGTTTAGTCTATTTCTTCCGATCCAAATTTGTGATAAATCTATTACTTTAGGTGATGCCAACTGCTCCGCCAAGTTTTAGAGACTCAGAAATGTCTAGTTTTTCAAAATTGCCGCCTTTTGATGAACGTTTTGGGGTAAAGCTAAGGACTTTGCCTCTATCATGAGCGAGTTTTCTTTTATCAATTTCCGAGTACTTGTCGAGTTACTTGTTTCTCACCCAAGTGAAGGTTTATTATCTAATTTATGATTTTGTTCTTTTCTTTTTTGTATTGACTAAGTATTTGCGAGTTCTTTAGTTGTCTAAAGCTTTTTTTTTATATATATTTGGTAGATTAAATTGCCTCTTTATCTTTAAAAAGTCCCTCAATCACCGAAGTTCCATGCTTTTCAAAAGATGGTGATGTCTACTTGCAATTCATATTCGCTGTGTTTAGCATTGATGATACGTTGGAAGTTAATAAGGTCGAGAGAGTAGCATATGATGATGTGAAAGATGTGGAGTATTTCTTGAAACAAAAGTTTGAATCACAGCCAGAGATTGTCAAGGTTGGTAAACTTTCTCTCTGTTCCACCAAGTACTTAGCAACATTAGATAATAGTCTTTAGATAAAAAGTAAAAGGATAAGCATTAGATAATAGTCTTTTAATCGAACATTAGATCTAGTCTATCTATTATAGCACGGCATGTCTTTGAACTCAGCTATTGATCGTCCATGCTGGTTCATAAGTTTTCTATCTCCATCAAAGTGTATTGCTTTAGCTGATTTTCATTTAGACGTAGGCTTGGGAAAGTTGAAAGTCTTGCGTTTTCTGTGAAGCATGTCTTCACCTAGTGATTTCCAATAGCGATTCCACAAATTTAGAGGACTCCCAACTTGACAATATATCAGCAAGCAAACAAATAGTCTTCGTAGTTGATAAGGTGTAGACCATTGAGTTGTCGTCCATCACGTCATGCCACTCGGAGTCTGAATCTAGGAGACCTCTATCATAGGATACTGATTTGTAATCATCATATTTCGTGTCCCCAGCACTTTGAATCTCTTCAAACTACTTTCCACTTTTGACCATAGACTTCTATCGTTGTTCCATGTAAATTTTTTTCAGAAATTCCGAATAAGTTATCTGATGAGCCTCTTCTGATTCTTCGTTTCTCTCCATCCATCGTCTAAACATACTTTTCTCAATGTCTTCCTTTGATTGAACTCTACTCATAATGAAAGAGTTATTACCATAAAGGTCCTCGTTCTTGTCAACAGATTCATTAAACTCGGCGTTGGAACGAATCCCAAAGTTTTGACCCTCAATAGTGTAGTCATCATGGTCGGCTTGCACCATTGTTGTTTCCGGAATGAATTGGATGAGAAATCTGTGTGAGGAGAACTTGTAGCTCGTTTTATTGATGATGACCAAAAAACTACCAATGTTGTAGACTTCTCCCGCCTTTTTTGTTGTTGATGACCAGAAAGCTATTAAACTTGTAAACTTCACCAGCCTTTAGTTTTTCCTCATAGTCTCCTAGTCGATAGCTGGTATGAATGCTTGGATTGTAGTTCCCTGTATTAAATTATGGTAGAAAAGAGTATTATAAGTTGATGATGATTTAACTTTCTATTGGTAATTGGTAAATAATGTTGGTGTCGTTACCTTTTGATAGAAGCAGTTCATATTAGAAGCAGATGACTCTAGCAAGCAGCTCTTTCTTACAAAATCTTTAGTGAGTTCATCAAAACAAAAGGACGCCATAACTGATCAGAAACAGAAGAGCTGGAAGAAGACATAGCTATTTAATACACGAAAACAAAAGGATGCCATAACTGATCAGAAACATAAGAGCTGGAAGAAGACTCTCTCTCTCTCTCTAACTGAATATAGCTTTTCCAATAATATGTTATTTTTGTTAGTTTAACTATTTTTTATGTTAAATTTCTATTAAACTATTTTAAATAATAGGTTAAGGGAAATAATGTAAGTATTAAAATTAAAATAGAACAACTTCCATTCTTTAATACAATAATTATAATTTTTCTCAAAAAATTATTTAATTTTCGATTTTAAAATTAAAATGCTGATTTAGTGAAATTTAATTGTTTTTTTAAAAGCTGATGTGGACGTTCTCAGAGGCTTATAGCCTCAACTTTTATGTAGTATAGAAGTTAAATAATGTAAGTATTAAAATTCAAAATAGTACAGTTTCCATTCCTTGATACAATAATTGTAATTTTTCCCAAAAAATATTTAATTTTCGATTTTAAAATTAAAATGCTTATTTGGCGAAATTTAATTGGTTTTTTTAAAGCTGATCTGGATGCTCTCAGAGATAAGTCTCAACTTTTATATAGTATAGATATTTTAAGGGAGTGAATTATTAATTTAAAACATGGTCACTAAAGTAATAAGAGAGAAAAAAAATTAGTAGGGGTCAGCTGACCACCCAATCTTATCTTATTATATAAAGCTGGATGCGCGCGACGTGGTTGCGACACATAGGATTTTTATAAAATTTAGGATTGCGACATGTGTCACTTTTAATGTTATATCCGTTAAGATCGTGACATGTGTCTTAGAAAAAAGGAAAAAAATAATAATTAAAAAAAATAGATAAAGGAAAAAAACGAAATTTTAATCTTTTATAGTTAAAAGAAAAAAAAATTATATTTGTCATATCCTAATAGAAAAAGGTTTCCCATTCATCAAATTTATATTATCCAAACACATATAAGATTCAAATTAATGAAATAAATAAAATCCTATTAGTACATGAAATAGGTTAGGTAAACTAAATTTCCTATAACTGCATGGAATAAGTTACATGAACCCCTATAAAAAGAGAGTTAAATTAGTCTTTTTACTCACAAAATTGCGATATGTGTTTATATTCCCATTATGAACAGGAAAAAAATATATATAATAAGCTATTGCGATTCAATTATGTGCTTCTATCTTTTGTATAATCTTTTCTCTCATAAAAATCATGTATTTAAAATTCATGGTATCAATGAATAATATTTAACTCTATATTAGTTGGATAGAAATCAAAATTATTGTCGATACATGTATCTAACTCTATATCGGTTGGATAGAAATCAAAATTATTGTCGTTACATGTATTTGATCCGGTGAAGACATGTTAATTGGAAAAATGTTAAACAGATATAAAAACTAGAAAAAAAAAACTAACTAATAATGAAAATGAAAATTTATAATGGTCTGAGTCAAAAACAAAATTGAGAAAGAAACAATATAAATAGAAAACTAACAAATTAATTATCAAGCAACTAACTTTTTTTTTTTACATCATCAAGCAACTAACTAATATTAAGAAAATATAATGAACCGATATTCTAATTTTAAATAGTTTAATTTTCAATATTGTTAGGTAAAAATTATTAAATAAAGATTTCATCAATTGAAATCTCTTGAATGGAATAATAAAGTTTTGTTGAATTAATTAATCAGTTGATCATATTTAGACATATATAAGTCTTTCTATATTGGATAAAAATAAAAATAATTAATTCATTTTTCATATCATGAATTCAAAAAAAATATCAATTACAATAAAAACGTAAAAAGGTTACCGATCTTATTTTATTTAAATATTTTTATCGGGTTTTTAATATTATTCTGTTTACTTTAAAATGATCAAATTTGGTTTAATACTTTTCCATGATTTTATTACAAAATCTTAAAATAAACCCGCGTATACGCGGGTCTTAATCTAGTATATAATAAGAGAGTTGCTCTCTCTCCTAGGCTATCCACATCAGCAAAAAAATCATTAATTGTATTTAAGATATTTAATATATGTGTATTAATATTTATTTATATATATTCCTGCTTTACACATAAACAAAACTAAGAAAAATACACAAAAAATTTAATTGATTAATATAAAGTATGTGATATTTTGATGTTAAAATTTTTAAAAAAGTTCTAATATAAAATGGAGATTAAATAAATAAATATTTAACTTGAAATAGTATATAGTTAAGTTTTAATTCAAATGATTTATCCTATTTAAAAATGTTATAATGTACTTACAAGTAAAAAAGGTACATTATAAATTATTTAACATAGTAAAAAGCTAATAAAAATTAGAGTTAGAGTTTGTTTTATTAGAAAATAGAATCGAGTTATTATTTAAATTTCATTGCAACGAAAAGCATGAAAATTTTAAGAATGGTGATATGTTTGTTTCAAAAATACAATTTATATCTACAAAACTAACATAATAGAAAATAATCAATTCTCACATACTACATAATAAAGCATATATGTAAGAACTTATACATGTTTATCTTTTTCATCATATTTTGAGTGCAATTTCGATTCTACATCATGTTTACAAATTTTAACGTTGAGTCAAATGCATATTAAATTTTAGAAATAGAAAACTCGAGATGAAGAAATGTGTTAATATCTTAATAAAAAAAATTGATCATATTGTTAGTGTTAATTGTTGTGTTAACTCAAAATATAACCAAAACATGAAAGTTAACATATAACCATCATAATTCAAAATTTCAAATCAATGAATATAAATAAAATCAAACAGAAAAATTATCTCGAACAACCCCGCGCTTGCGCGGGGCTTTAATCCCTAATGTCCTTAATTACTAGCTCCGCCCCTGCAAGAACCACAAACTTTTAGTCCGAATCCTACGCATCGTCATCATGTGCCTCCAAGCACTGAAAGAAAAAGTTATAACCAGTTCTCTATAAAATCATGTGATTTCTCTACTTGTTCTAATTTTGTTATCCTCTCATGTTGATGATGATATAACATTTGGTGAGTTAAGTACATGTGGTATTTGACAAGCTACTCACTGTGTCTCTTTTCTTCTAGTATCGAGTGTTGCAGCCAAGATTCCAAGCAACTGAGCAAGTTCATGTAACCTAACACAAACAGAAATTTGCACGATATAAAAACATGAAGAAGGCATAGGTTTTGAGTTCAATTACTAATAAAAAAAGTTTTATTTTAGCTTACAATAATACCAAGATTTTTTTTTTTTGGTAAACACAATAATACCCGTCCCAATTACGTAATATACTACTATTGATCTCACGAAAAAATAAGGGACCCGAAGTTGGACAGGCTGTATTACTTGTATATATTTTTTTATCAATACTCTTACTTTCTCGCTTAACAGCTCACTTTTTACCTCTAGAAAACATAAACTTTAAGACAAATTAAGGTTGGTACTTTGGTCGAATTTTCTATACTTTGGTATATTACGTAATTTTTTTTATCATAACCCTTAAAAGTTTGGTTTGGGTTCAGTTTTACTTTCGTGTATAATTTTACTATCTTTTGGGTTGTAATAAACATTGTCTTTAGTGTAGTTTGACGAGTTTTGATTTGGCGACAGCCCACAAGTAGTATGGTCAGACGAGACTCAGAGGCAATCTCAACGATGGACCTCTACAGAGCGTTCATGGGAAGTAAGAGCGTAATGGCGGAGCAGTTTTTAGAGAGATATGCGACTTTATTCTTATAGTCACTTCAATAGTGTTTATCTCAACAGTTTGACTTCCTCTAGATTTTGTACTCGCAATTTCACAATATATAATGTACATGAGCATTCCACACCTTTGGCCAATTACATTGTTTTTTTTTTGGTTTTAATGTTAAGATAAATTACATGCATTGTTGATTTAAAAGCATTTTAAAACAAAAATCATTAATCATATATGTTAGATCTCAAAATCACACCAGTAATAGTAAGATAAGAGATGTGGGATTAGGAGAGTCTCTTTATTAGATCAACCAAAGATAAAGATGGTACAAGGGATGATTCGTCTCGACGACAAGTCTTGACGAGACGAATACAAAAAGAAGTAAAAAAGCTAAGAACAAAAACGAATAATAACTAGGGTTTTCTGAATATTTCTGGATGAATGAGGATATTTGTGGATGGTCTTCAAGAAATAAGGGGGTCTTCTATTTATATGGAGAGGAGGTCGGTTTCTTCAAGATATTCTTCCATATTTCTTTTAGAAATATTCTTCTTTGGTGTTGATCTTTTTCCATTTTTCTTGGAAGTAGTCTTTTTCTCCAAGTACTTCCTTTTCTTTGAGGAGGTGGAAGTGGGAAACGGGCCTAGCTTGCATAATATTATTAATTGGGACGGGCTCAAAGGAATGTGCTAATTCCTGGTCTAACAATAAGTCCCCCCCCAGTTTGGCGAGATAAATGCAGTTTAATCTCGGCGAACTTCATATATCAAAGAGGAGCTCAAGAGCAATTAATATTAGTTATGTGATTCCGCCGCGATGCATGATGCTGCGCTGACGCGATGCCCCATTGCGTTATTGACTTTAGATCCGTACCGCCTCGTTAAAACCTTGATATGGAAAAACCCTATGGGATAAAAACCATAAAAAGGGAAAATAGATTGCCGTGATGATTTTTCTCGGATTCGTGCTTTTGATAATTCCTCTCGGACTTGACGAGATGACTCTTTTGTCTCGTCAAGGAGAATAGATTACCGTGATGATTTTTCTCGGATTCGTGCTTCGACGAGATTGGTTAGGGTCGTGCCTCGACGACACCGATTGGGGTCGCGCTTTGGCGACACTTGTTTTTCTCGGGTTCACGCTTCGACGAAACCGGTTGGGATCGCGCTTCGGCGACACTTGTTTTTCTCGGACTTGACATATGCTCGTCAAGGAGGATCAATCTTCGGACATGACTAGCTTGTCAAGGAGGAATTATCGTTCGTCTCGTCATTGACAGCAGCTCGTCAAGGAGGATTGACCGTCGGACTTGACGATAGTTTGTCAAGGAGGACGCTTTTGATCTCACTTCGGCATGGTATCTCTTGTCAACAAATTAATCTATTGAGGAAATAATTTACTGACCTTTTGTCGATGTCGAGATGATGAAGTAGTTATGCCGAGACCGCGTTCGACGCGATGCATCGTATACTCATTCCGAGATGGTGGGAAAGTAATTCCATAGTCGAAGTTTTATCTCGACTCTCGGCATTTGGACTTCAGATTTCGGACTTTGGGACACGACGACTTTGGTCGGCCTCCAAAGTCTGAAGGAATAGTTTTGCCGGTTTGGACGCGATGACTTCGTCGAATTATTCCGTGTTATGAATCTGAGAGATCAGAAACATGCGAAGTTTTATATCGACTTTCTTCGACTTTGTCCTTCAGACCTCAGACCTTTCGGGCTCACCCAAAGTCTGAAGGCATTCTCATCGGTTCGGACGCGACGGCTTTGCGTCGGCTTATGATGATAGGATTTGTGTGTGGTGTGAAAGATATGAAATGAGATGTGGTGGAATGCAACAGTGGTATATGATGAGGTGGTAAGATGCAAACACAAACACAGTCAACAATTCCCTTTAACCATGATAGTTGTTATAGCATAAAGGGTTATCAATCCAAAATGGGAAACTTGTCACTCTATGAGAATATGAAACAACCAGGAAGTCAAGCAAGCAGTAAAGATTGGTAACACTAACAACCTAAAAAATGAAAAGCAATGCATAAAAGTAAAAAAGCAGTAAGCAACAGCTCGACCAAGGACTCGAGTCGAGTGGAACAGAGTACCAGCTCGATCGAGTTTAGGGTCGAGTTGAAGAAAAAGCATAAAGGCAGCGACTTTAACAAGCTAAGCGAGAATTAGGGTTCAAGACAGGGTTTTGCAATCAGGAACTACACTTAATCATCTGCTCTTAAAACTCCTTGTATCAAGGCTTCTCTTGATATTGGGCTTCTCAATGCCTAGCCAACCCTTTCCCAAGGTGAAGGCTATCAACCAAGGAATGATCTCAGAAACAGGGGGTTAGCCAGTGAGAATCAAACCTTGGAGGCCATAGGATCATTGCCCAAACTAATCCATCCAACCCCTTAGACCTCTATTTCTAGAGCAAGAGATATTGGAGCTCTTAGTGGATCTTTTCCAGCGATTTCCATCACTTCCATGTGGAGAATCGCCTAAGGACTTACAAGCCAGGGGTAGTGGTCATGTAGCCTTAAGATCTATCCAAAAGAGAGAGAATCTAGATTAAGACCATAAGCTAGAAGGATTAAGCATATGAAACCTCTAATCTATCCCATCTCAAACCCTAATGGGTAACTACTCACTACACATGAATGTAAACACAAGCAAATGCAATAAAAGAGACATCATAAGAAAGAGGAGATGAAATTAAACAACTTTTATTGAAATAAGCAAGTGCAAATACAAAAGAGATTATCCAGGATCTAGGATTCAAGAAGCAAGAGCTTCAAGAACACAAAGATGGGATTAGAGCTCTAAAAAGTAAAAGACAATAAATTAAAAGAAACTAAAACAAAAGTAATCTAAAGCTTGGTGGTTTTTTCGTGGCTTTTAGCCTTTAAATACAAGAGGATTAGGTTTAGGGTCAAAGGAAAGTCAAGGGGGAAGCAACATTTTTCGGGTTTGACTTTGACTTCTCAGCTCGATCGAGTTGAAGCTTGGCCGGTCGAGTTGAGGAACTCGACCGGTTGGTCGAGTAGATGGTCGAGCTGGTCTTCAAGATGGCTTCTCCTTCTTCCTTTGCGTATCCAGTTGAGCTGCGTCCATGCCAAGTCCCTCCATGCTCCTCGTCCCATATGCTCCAGAATGCTCCAAAAGACCTATTTCAAAGGACCAAACATGCATATGTATGCAAATGCAACCTAAAACTACATGAATGCATAAGAAGAGAAAAGGAACAAGATATGATGCTAATGGATGCTAAAACTATGCAAAAGATGCATAAAAGATGTACTAAAACTATGTAAAATGCAAGTACATCAACACCCCCAAACTTGAACTTTGCTTGCCCTCAAGCAAACAAATAGAACAAGAAAGAGATGAGGTTTGAAAAAAGCTGATTCAACACTTAAAAACATGTCCTCAAAAGCGATTTGCTAAATGTCCAACTTAGAGATTCTAGAATGCAACAAGGTGAGAGATATTCATTAAGATTTAACCATGCTTATCAACATCAATCCCACTTCACAGTCACTCAAACAATGCATTCAAATCAGCAAATCCCTTTAACATTCATTAAGCAAAAACAGTGAACCAAAAACATGCAAGATCAATCAACTCATTTGGTTTCAAGGGTTTATGGGTTAAGAGACAAAGAGGGTCTCTTTTGTATGGTGGTTTAGTAACAGGGATCTCTCAAGAAAGTGGCTTTGCTTTGGCAGAAGGCTAAGTGTTAGAACCAAAGATGATGCAAGAACAGCAGCTCGAGCCGCCTAATCCTAACTCGATCGAGTTCAACACTTAGAGCTTTTTAGAACAAAATCCTAACTACCCTTTTTGGCATTTCGCCTTTGAAACTGAGGAGCTTTGCTCACTTTTCTTTTAAGAACTTCCTAGGGAGAGGCTTCTTGAGGTAACATCTAGCGGTTTGGGATTTTCTAAACACTTAGGGAACTTTTCTTTCTTTTTGACACTTGAGGCTTTGCCTTCTTTTCATTCTACTTAGAACCCTTTTTACTTCCTTTTTTAACTTCCCAAACCTTTACTAGACCCTTTTTAACACTGCCAACTCCCTGGACTTAACTAAACTCTTTTTCCTTTGGTTTTTCCCAACTTTTACCACTTTTCTGGTTTTTACACCCAACTCGATCGAGCTCGAGTTGGCACCCCCAAACTTAGCCTGAAAACAATCCCAAGAGAACTAGACAACTAGAACTACTGCCCCTGCCGGTTTAAACACAACACCTTATGCTAAGCAAAGCCAAGAAAGGTTCTCACATTCGCACAAGAGATAATGGGGTTTGAAATGAAAAGGCTTAGGTTTAAGGTGTGGTAACTGTCTCAAAGATAGAGATCAGCTATCTGGACAAGCAAGAGGGATATGAAAATGGTAAAGAATGTCCAGATATGTATGTGGTAGCCATGAGTTGAAATCAAATGCAAGCATTGGTAATTAAAGATCAAGTTATGGTTCAATAGATAGGGAAATGCATCAAATCACAGCAATGGTTGAATGAGATGTGCATGCAGTGATATGATCAAGATAAACATGGTTCTTGCTGCTCAATCAATCTCACCCTAATGCACAAAAGAATCTAAAAACAGGGCACTCAAGAAATCGCAAAAGATGAACAAGTTTTCAAAGTCAAATCAACAATGCAAGTGAAAATGCAATCCTAAACAAGTCTAACAAATATGAATGCAAAAAGATGAAAATATTTTTGGATTTTTTGAAAATTTTATGATTTTTTTGGTTTTTCTATGCAAAAGAGAATGAAAAACTAAGAACAAAGAAAACAAGGTTAAATCATCTCTTGAACCCTCCCCCAAACTTAAATCACACAGTCCCTTGTGTGAGAAAATTTAGTGAAAGATTCAAGAGGGCAAAACCAAGAAAAACAAAAAAAATGCAAGAAAATATGAAATGGTATATACAAGGGTTGGTGTTTGGATACCTCAGTGCCCCCCAAAGAACTGGGAGGCAAGGTCGTGGTCTGGAGATGGGAGACGGCCATCAGGAGCACTCCACTCGACGGGTTCACTCGCTCGATCGAGCTTGCGGCTCCTCTTCTTCCTCTTCTTCATCGAAGTGTGTGTGGCTCCCTTGGCCTTGGTGGAGCATGGCTAGCTCGACTGTCCATAGGGGTTCCATCTACTCTGAGGAGGCTCCTGGTAAGGCGTTGGATCGTACTCAAATCCAGGATCTCAAACTGGGCTCCTCCAGGTCAACTCGACCCTCAGCTCGATCGAGTTGAGTTTCCTCTGTTTGGACTCGATCGAGTCCGGTGGTCGAGTGGAGCGTCTGGCCTTGGAACTCTTCCTCCTTCTCTGCGTGTTGTCTTCTCCTTCCCTTGGCTCGAATGTGAGGCTCTTGGGCAGGGAGCCTCCTTGGAGTGGTGAGGAGTGATCTACTCCTAGGGAATGGGGGCCTTGGCCTTCTTCTTCTTGCTGAAGAACCAGAAACCTTCTTCTCCAAACTTTTGATCTTGCTCACCATCTTGTCCATGGACTTTTGCATCTTTCCATGGCTTTCCCTTGCCATTTGTTGAACTTTTGGAGAAGTCCAATCCTCTTGTGGGCAGCCACAACAGAGGGGTTCATCCTTGGAGCCTCATACTCCTCAAATAATAGCACTCAGGCTCACCCAAATCCGCATTCCTGACTTGATCTTCAGCTCGATCCTCAGCTCGATCGAGCTCAGGCTCCTCTTCTCGCAAATCATCCTCATGCCCAACTAATGTGTACACAGGGGGTCTGAAGTCAATGTTCTCACCCCTACTACTGTGGTGAGCTCTGGGTTGGGCAGGAGAAGCTTGGAGGGCCAGCCAATGGATGTGTGAACTTGAATTGGAACCTCCCATCCAACTCCTTGTGCTCAATGAGGTGGTTGGTCTTGCAAAACTTGATGTCCATCCAACCTGGTTCAGTGGCTCTCTTATCAGTTGGGTTCACTCCAGCAGCACACAAGATAGGAGTGATGAGCCCTCCAACACTTAGCTCTTCCTGTTGATGTAGTGTTGTAGGCTGGTCTTGTAGGTGAGGAGTGTCAAGGAAAGGCATCAAGTTCCCTGTGTGGATCTATCTCCCCTGATCCTCTTGCCATCGCTTGTGCGTGAGAGAATGGGCTTGATTCCCATGTCAAGAAAGCTTGAGTTCCCCCTCGTTGATTGTCCCGGTGCCTTCCTTGCAAAGAAGGTGTTGGCAAGTGCCTTGTGCACATATCTCAAGCACTGGGCTCCTGATCTGAGCCCTTGGACCTTGAGGAAGAGTACTCCATCAGCGATTGTAGCCCAAACCCTTTGGAGTTCCTTTTCCTTGAAGTTCCACTTGGTCCCTTCTCCATAGTTGAACCCAAACAAGATCTCCAACTGCCTAAAGGTCACCATTCTCTTCTCTCCCTTAGTGATGATAGGATTTGTGTGTGTGTGAAGTGATATGAATGAAGGATGATAAGATATGAGGTGGAATGCAAACAGGGGTGAATAAAGATGAAATGGTGCAATCACAATCAATCAATTCCTCTTAACCATCATAGTCATGTAGTATAAGAGGTTATCAATCCAAAATGGGAAACTTGTCACTCTTGAGAATATGAAACACAAGAAAGTCAAGCAAGCAGTAATAGATTTGGGTAACACTAACAACCTAAATGAAGCAGAAATGAAATGCAGAAAGTAAATAAAGCAGTAGAGCAACAGCTCGACCAAGGACTCGAGTCGAGTTGGAACAGAGTACCGAGCTCGATCGAGTTTAGGGTCGAGTTGAAGTAAAAAGCATAAAGGCAGCGACTTTAACAAGCTAGAACGAACAATAGGGTCTAAGACAGGGTTTAACAATCAGAGGAAGGCTATACTTAATCATCTTGCTCTCAAACGACTTGTATCAAGGTATCTCTTGATATTGAGCTTCTCAATGCCTAGCTAACCCTTTCCCAAGGTGAAAGCTATCAACCAAGACTTGATCTCAGAAACAGGGGGTTAGCCAGTGAGAATCAAGCCTTGGAGGCCATAGGATCATTGCTCAAACTAATCCATCCAACCCCTTAGACCTCTATTTTCTAGAGCAAGAGATATTGGAGCTCTTAGTGGACCTTTCCAACGATTTCCATCACTTCCATGTGGAGAATCGTATATGGACATACAAGCCAGGGATAGTGGTCATGTAGCCTTAAGGTTTGTCCAAAAGAGAGAGATTTCTAGATTAAGAACATAAGCAAGAAGGATTAAGCATAAAAATCCTCTAATCTATCCCATCTTTGACCCTAAGGGAAACTACTCACTACACATGAATGTAAACACAAGCAAATGCAATAAAAGAGACATCATAAGAAAGAGGAGATGAAATTAAACAACTTTTATTGAAATAAGCAAGTGCAAATACAAAAGAGATTATCCAGGATCTAGGATTCAAGAAGCAAGAGCTTCAAGAACACAAAGATGGGATTAGAGCTCTCAAAAGTAAAAGACAATAAATTAAAAGAAACTAAAACAAAAAGTAATCTAAAGCTTGGTGGTTTTTTCGTGGCTTTTAGCCCTTAAATACAAGAGGATTTAGGTTTAGGGTCAAAGGAAAGTCAAGGGGGAAGCAACATTTTTCGGGTTTGACTGTTGACTTCTCAGCTCGATCGAGTTGAAGCTTGGCCGGTCGAGTTGAGGAACTCGACCGGTTGGTCGAGTAGGTGGTCGAGCTGGTCTTCAAGATGGCTTCCTCCTTCTTCCTTTGCGTATCCAGTTGAGCTGCGTCCATGTGCCAAGTCCTCCATGCTCCTCTCGTCCCATATGCTCCAGAATGCTCCAAAAGACCTATTTCAAAGGACCAAACATGCATATGTATGCAAATGCAACCTAAAACTACTATGAATGCATAAGAAGAGAAAAGGAACAAGATATGATGCTAATGGATGCTAAAACTATGCAAAAGATGCATAAAAGATGTACTAAAACTATGCAAAATGCAAGTACATCACTTAGCCTAGAACGTGATCCATCCCAATCCTTGGTCCAAATCAGCTCTATCTTCCTCATCGTACATGTGGTACCTCATTGAAGCCAAGAACTCGCAAGTGAGCTCCTTGTAGGATTCCATGTGATAAGAGAAAGCTTGGCCAAGTGCATGTTCTTGAGAACTAGCTCCACATCTTCAAAGATTCCAAGGGCCTTCATTGTGTCAACATGTGGGTACTTGGTATCCACAAAGTCCATGGAGAAGAGAGCATTGTAGTGCTCTTGGTACATGGGGAGTTCTTCCTCCTCCTCTTGTGGCTCAACCTCCTCCATAGGTTCATCTTGGTTACTCTTGCTCACTCTCATCAACCAACTGATTCACCTCTTCTCCTTCCTCTTCACTCTCAGTCTCATCACTTCCTCTTCACTTGGAGAGCCATTTCCCCTCCTCTTGAACAAGGTTCACTCCAATCTCAAACTCTCCTTGCTCACTCTCACTACTAATGGGGTCATTCCTCTTCTTGGTCCTCCTTTCCTCCCTCAATCTCTCGCTCTCAGACTCTTCCTCAGAGTACACATACTCCTCTGCATCAGACTCTTCCATCCTTTGAGTCATCCTCTCCAAATCGGCTTGCATCTTAAGCCTTCTCTCCCTTGCATTGCTTGATTCACCCTCAACCATTCTCCTTGTGAAGCGCGACTTCCCTCACTGTTTGTCATCTCTGTTACACTGTTTCTTCACTAAAGTACCTGAAATGCATCAAAGATTACAAAGAATTAGAGTTGTAATGATCGGTTTGGTCAACTCGACACTCAGCTCGATCGAGTCAAAAAACTCGAGTGACAAACTCGATCGAGCTAGGTGAAAACAGAGTATAACCGAACCTAATTCAAGTATTAAGAGCTGGAAAGGATGCTAATCAATCAAATTGAACCAAGAACAACTAGTAAATGGAACAATGAGCAATTCTAGTGAAAATAAGCATCTTAACCAATACCAAACTCAAATTCAATGTTTTCAAGCACATGCAACAAGTTCTAATGGCAAAACAGAGGTGAGGTGAGGCAAATTCACAAATTATACAGGAGATGATTGAAAGCAATTACTCAAGAATAAAGTCCCACAAGGGGCACATGCAATCAAAATCAAAGAGAAACAAGCAATAATGGAAATCGAGATGGAAGGAATCAAGGGTTTAGGGTTCATACCTTGCTTGAATGATGAATTAAGAGCAGTAACTAGAACCCAAACAAAGAATGAAGAACAAGGAAATCGCAAAAACTTAAGAGAGAGATTGAAATTCGATTTTCTTGTGGTGAAGAGAGAGAGATGATTTCAGAAATTTTAGAGTGTGGGAGAGTGGAGAAGTGGGTTCGATCGAGTTATGGGGAAGAGGGAGTGTTTGAGATGTGTGGTTGAGATTAAAAGTGAAATAAAGAGGGGACAAAAGCTAGGGTTTTTCTGATCAATTAGGGTAGTGGGGGACCAAAATCAGCTTGTGGGACCCACTCCCTTGACCAAGAAAACGGTTATGAATTTGAAATTCAAAAACTTACCTCGGTCGAGTTGCCCTTGTTTCTAGCTCGATCGAGCTGTCGGTCGAGCTGGCTCCTTTGTCACCTAAACTTAACTTATTGAAAGGTTAAAACACGAAAATAGATAGAAATTGCATAAATAGAATATGTACAAGGATAAACATGGGACTTCCTCCCAAGTGAGCTTGTTTAAGGTCCCATAGCTTGACCTTTACCTTCTTAGGCATTGGTTGAGCTAGTCCCACCATCAAGGGTGATAGTGAGGACTTGAGACAGAAGCTCCTTTAGCTTGGTTGGGTCCCTGGATTGTTCTGAAGTCACCAAGGCTTTGGCTCTAGAGAATGGCCTTGATCTCCCCTTGTACCTTATCTTGTACTCAATCTTCCCATTTTCAAACTTGGTGGGGAACAAAGTCATTGTGAGCTGAGATGGCTTGATGAAGGGGCCTGAGCTGGTGGATCCTTTCTTTTATCCCTGGTCTTGCCTTAGAGGCTACATCCTCCCCTTCTTTTAGAGCCCTTCCTAGTGGCTCATCAAACAAAGCTTGAAGGCTTTCTTCATCAAGCACACAAGGGGCTTGAACAAGTCTATCAGCTCGTGGTCTATCAGAACGTGGTTTCTCAACTCTAGCCCTCTCAAGACGTGGCTTCTCAATCCTTGGTCCTCTCTCAACCTTATCCTTCCCAACTCTTGGTTCTTTGTCAACCCTTTCCTTCACAACCTTTGTAGCTCCATGACTCTTAGAACTGAGAGTGGTACTGTCAATTGTGGCACAAAAGTCTGAACCTCTAGGCTGCAAGCGATATGACACCAAACTATTCACCTTGTGAAGGATCACTTCTTGCTTGTGAAAGTCTATTGAAGCGCCAACTGTACTAAGGAATGGGGTTCCCAATAACAGAGGTAGATCCTTCTCTTCTTCCATTTCCATCACAGTGAGATCAGTTTGGATGATGCATTCTCCAATTTTCAAGTGATAGTTCTTGAACACTCCAAGAGGAGACTTAGAAGTTGCATCTCCAAACATGATTGAAGTAGTAGGGCGCTGCAAGGCTCCAGCAATGCCTAGCTTCTCTGCCATGGAGAGAGAGATCAGATTGATGCTTGCTCCAGAATCCACTAAGGCATTGTCAAGCTCAAGATGCCCAAGTGTGCAAGGGAGAGTGAATTTCCCTTGATCCTTGACCTTTGGTAGGAAAGTGGGTGAAGTAAGCAGGTTGAACTGATGAGTAGACTCTTGTAGGACCTCTGAAACTTTATCACTGTTGGCTAGAACATCCTTGACCATTTGCATTTGATCAAATGCCTCACTCATGCTATCCATAGGAGGCAACTCAATTCCAATCCCACTGAGATCTCTTCTGAACTTGTGAATCACTTCCTTGTGACCTTGACTAAGTAGGCGAGACGAGGAAGTGGCAACCGGTTGGTAAGGATCAAGCAAAACGGCTTTGGACAGAAGAGGTCGGACTCGATCGAGCTAGAGTTGGACTCGATCGAGCTGCCGATCGAGCTTGTTGTGCGAGCTCAACTGGTGAAGTGTGAATGGCCACAGTAGGTGCCTGCACTTCTGGTTGATCAATCTGGACTCCAGGAGCCTCAGCAGCAACAATCTCTTCATCATTCAGCAGTAAACAAAAATCTTCAATGACCCTTTCTTGATCCTCTTCTTCAACAAGTCCTTCTTGAGTGAAGATGACCTTGCACTGTTCCTTGGGGTTCTGAATAGCTTTACCAGGTAGTTGTCCTTGCTTTGTAGCAGCAGCAACAGAAGAAGCATGATTCTCCAGAGAGTAAACCCTTGTGTTGAGATTCTCGATCTTGGAGTTTATTTCAGCTAGCTTCTTGCTTGTGTCCACTACCCCATCAGCTTGCCCTTGAAGTAGTTGCTTTAGCATTGCCTTGAGCTCATTCTCTTGTGAAGGTGCAGGCTGGGGCGGTTGGTGGGTTGATCAGCTTATCCAACTTCTCATTCAATGCCTTAACATCTTTTCTCAACTTTTTGTCTGACTCGATCGAGTGGTGGGTCGAGCTCCGATTGGTGCGATCATACTCTTCTCCATAACTTCCATTGGAGTTAGCGATGTTCTCAACAAGCTGCCAACCATCATCTACATCTTGGTTTAGAAAGTTGCCATTGCTTGCTGTGTCCAGCATCTCCCTATACCTAGGCAAGCATCCTCTATAAAGAGTGGAGATTAGTGATTCATTGTTGAATCCATGCTGTGGGCACTGACTTGTGTAGCTTTTGAACCTCTTCCAAGCCTCAGCGAATGTCTCATTGTTTCGCTGGATGAAACTCGATATCTCGCTCCTAAGCTTGGCTGTGCGACCGGTGGAGAAAAATTTAGCAAGAAAGGCCTTCTTCCATTCATCCCAAGTGGTGATTGTGCCATGGGGCAAGCTCTTCTCCCATTGGTGAGCTTTGTCAGCTAGAGACATAGGAAAGAGTCTCAGCTTGATGGCATCTTCAGAAACACCATTGATCTTTGTCAAATCGCAAAGCCTATCAAACTCATCAAGGTGGTCAATGGGGTCTTCACTTGGCAATCCATGGAACATCTTGTTCTGAACAAGGTTGATCATTCCCAGCTTGATCTCAAAGTTGTGGTTCTGCATTGGTGGTGGAACAATCCCTTGTCTCTCTCCTAGACCGCCACCAACAGAGACAAGGAATTGTTCCACCACCAGTGCAGAACCACAACTTTGAGATCAAGTTGGGATGATCAACCTTGTTCAGGGTTTAGATTGATCAACCAGAAGTGCATGCACCTACTGTGGCCATTCACACTTCACCAGTTGAGCTCGCACGACAAGCTCGATCGGCAGCTCGATCGAGTCCAACTCTAGCTCGATCGAGTCCGACCTCTTCTGTCCCAACCTTTTTGCTTGATCCTTACCAACCGGTTGCCGCTTCCTCGTCTCGCCTACTTAGTCAAGGTCACAAGGAAGTGATTCACAAGTTCAGAAGAGATCTCAGTGGGATTGGAATTGAGTTGCCTCTATGGATAGCATGAGTGAGGCATTTGATCAAATGCAAATGGTCAAGGATGTTCTAGCCAACAGTGATAAAGTTTCAGAGGTCCTACAAGAGTCTACTCATCAGTTCAACCTGCTTACTTCACCCACCTTCCTACCAAAGGTCAAGGATCAAGGGAAATTCACTCTCCCTTGCACACTTGGGCATCTTGAGATTGACAATGCCTTAGTGGATTCTGGAGCAAGCATCAATCTGATCTCTCTCTCCATGGCAGAGAAGCTAGGCATTGCTGGAGCCTTGCAGCGCCCTACTACTTCAATCATGTTTGGAGATGCAACTTCTAAGTCTCCTCTTGGAGTGTTCAAGAACTATCACTTGAAAATTGGAGAATGCATCATCCAAACTGATCTCACTGTGATGGAAATGGAAGAAGAGAAGGATTTGCCTTTGTTATTGGGAACCCCTTTCCTTAGTACAGTTGGCGCTTCAATAGACTTTCACAAGCAAGAAGTGATCCTTCACAAGGTGAATAGTTTGGTGTCATATCGCTTGCAGCCTAGAGGTTCAGACTTTTGTGCCACAATTGACAGTACCAATCAGTTCTAAGAGTCATGGAGCTACAAAGGTTGTGAAGGAAAGGGTTGACAAGGAACCAAGAGTTGGGAAGGATAAGGATGAGAGAGGACCAAGGATTGAGAAGCCACGTCTTGAGAGGGCTAGAGTTGAGAAACCACGATCTGATAGGCCAAGAGCTGAGAGACTTGTTCAAGCCCCTTGTGTGCTTGATGAAGAGAGCCTTCAAGCTTTGTTTGATGAGCCACTAGGAAGGGCTCTAAAGAAGGGGAGGATGCAGCCTCTAAGGCAAGACCAGGGATAAAAGAAAGGATCCACCAGCTCAGGCCCCTTCAGTCAAGCCATCTCAGCTCACAATGACTTTGTTCCCCACCAAGTTTGAAAATGGGAAGATTGAGTACAAGATAAGGTACAAGGGGAGATCAAGGCCATTCTCTAGAGCCAAGGCCTTGGTGACTTCAGAACAGTCCAGGGACCCAACCAAGCTAAAGGAGCTTCTGTCTCAAGTCCTCACTATCACCCTTGATGGTGGGACTAGCTCAACCAATGCCTAAGAAGGTAAAGGTCAAGCTATGGGACCTTAAACAAGCTCACTTGGGAGGAAGTCCCATGTTTATCCTTGTACATACTCTATTTATGCAATTTCTATCTATCTTTATGTTTTAACCTTTGAATAAGTTAAGTTTAGGTGTCAAGGGAGCCAGCTCGACCGACAGCTCGATCGAGCTAGAAACCAGGGCAACTCGATCGAGTTCACAACTCGACCGAGGTAAGTTTTTGAATTTCAAATTCATAACCGTTTTCTTGGTCAAGGGAGTGGGTCCCACAAGCTGATTTTGGTCCCCCACTACCCTAATTTGATCAGAGAATCCCTAGCTTTCTTGTTCCCTCTTTATTTCATCTTTTAATCTCAACCACACATCTCAAACACTCCCTCTTCCCCATAACTCGATCGAATCCACCTCTCTCTCTCCCACAATCTTAAAATTTCTGAAACTCATCTCTCTCTCTTCACCACAAGAAATCGAATTTCAATCTTTCTCTCTTAAGTTTTTGCGATTTCTTGTTCTTCATTGTTTTGCTTGTTTTGTTTACTGTCTTCAATTCATCATTCAAGCAAGGTATGAACCCTAAACCCTTGATTCTCCATCTCGATTTCAACTATTGCTTGTTTCCCTTTGATTTTTGATTGCATGTGTCCCTTGTGGACTTGTTCTTGAGTAATTGCCCTCATATTTCGCCTCTGCTGTATAATCTTGTGAATTTGCTTCACCTCACCTCTGTTTTGCCTTAAACTTGTTGCATGTGCTTGAAATTGAATTTGAGTTTGGTATTGGTTAAGATGCTTAGTCTTCACTAGAATTGCTCATTGTTCCATTTACTAGTTGTTCTTGGTTCAATTTGATTGATTAGCATCTTTTCCAGCTCTTAATCTTGAATTAGGTTCGGTTATACTCTGTTTTCACCCAGCTCGATCGAGTTTGTCACTCGAGTTTTTTGACTCGATCGAGCTGAGTGTCGAGTTGACCAAACCGATCATTACAACTCTAATTCTTTGTAATCTTTGATGCATTTCAGGTACTTTAGTGAAGAAACAGAGTAACAAGGATGACAAACAGTGAGGGAAGCCGCGCTTCACAGAGGAGAATGGTTGAGGGTGAATCAAGCAATGCAAGGGAAAGAAGGCTTAAGATGCAAGCCGATTTGGAGAGGATGGATCAGAGGATGGAAGAGTCTGATGCAGAGGGATATGTCTACTCTGAGGGAACAGTCTGAGAGTGAGAGATTGAGGGAAGAAAGGAGAACCAAGAAGAGGAATGACCCCATTAGTAGTGAGAGTGAGCAAGGGGAGTTTGAGATTGGAGTGAACCTTGTTCAAGAGGAGGGAAATGGCTCTCCAAATGAAGAAGGAAGTGATGAGACTGAGAGTGAAGAGGAAGGAGAAGAGGTGAACCAATTGGTTGATGAAGATGATCAAGAGGGAACCAAGATGAGCCAA